ACAAAAAGTTAAAATCTCGATCATTTGTAACTCAGCTCAAAATTCCTTTGAACAAAAGGAGTACAACTTAGCAGAAAGTCAACATTGGTTGTCCTCTTCAGACTTATGTCCGTCGAATGAATATTGATTTTAAAGTTGACAATGTATAACCAACAGATGAGCAAAGCCTCATTGCTCATATTTCGTATTGGTTAAGTCGACCACCAACAGAGATTTTAACTGAATTTCACAACATTCCAATAGTCGTAAGATAATGCTAGTGCCATCCGATAGTTTACTCACTGTACTGTCTAGGCAAACACGTGGAAAGCCTATGCCAATGACGTGTACAGCAATCACGTTCATATATTGAACTGCATAGGCATCAATGTATTGTTAACATACACACACCATCGTAACAAATCACAAACGTCAAAATGCCACCCACCTCAAATGAGCAAGCGGACAGTGCTTTTGTGATGTGGGCCTTTTTTTCTCTAATTAAAATTTGTAAAGCAACGTTGCACATTTTATTCCGAATGTTCTTTGGATGCGAGACGACAAATCACTGTGGATTTCCTGAAGGGTATCGTAGTTACAAACTTCGTTAGAGAAAAGCTCACGGAAGCAGATACTACCACAGAACTACATGTGAGGCAGTTAAGTGACCTCTGTTCCATAACGTAGGGGGCAGCAGTTTTTCACCTGATTTGAGAAGAATGTTTGCCGCATAACGGTAACAACCAATGTTTTAAATTCTCAGAGCTAAGATTTCAGTAATAATTACAGCTTATATGGTGACTTAAAAAATATATCAAGGCACTTTACAACAATGACGATGGGTGTTGGGGGTAAGTAGTGGCTAAGAAAGAGGAAGCCTTCTGCTTAAAGAGAAATATTTTATATCCCAACCGAGCCAGAGTTCCACAATCCAGGTGCCACATAAATGAATGCCCAATCACCACAATTATCAAAATAAGGTGTTATTTTTTTTGTGAGCAGCCACTGGTAACCAGGCTGAGATCATGAACTCACTACACTTCTGAACTCGGTTTTAATGATTCAAAGCTAGGTTTCTCAGTGGTAGCAGGTAAGTGCTTTCACTTTTTCGTCACCCAGCTAGCTCCTCCTGTCTCTGGCAGAGGTCACCATTTAAGATTTTATTGGGATTAACCATTAAAGAGAAAAAAAAAGATTAGGGGCCGTCCATAAATGACGTCACGCGCTTTTGGCCGATTTTTTTACCCCCCCTCCCCCCTCGTCACACAGCGTCACAAAAATGATGTTGGAGGGGAAAACACGTATTAATAAGGAGGCGTTGGAGAGCTGAAATTTAGCATGAAATTCACTTGAAAATATTCAACGTCTAACTAAAACCGCATATGTTCAGAATATTATATTTAAATTCTCTAATAATTATAAAATATTAAAAGTAATTATAACTATAAAAAAATTGAAACTTTGTAGTAGGACGAAAAAAAATGGAGAGTACAATTATAACAATCACATATTAATTCCACAGAATGAAAAGCCCTGGTAGAATCATTAGAATCTAAATGTTTAATAACAATCATTCAAAAATGTAAAAAAATTCATGCTTCACCATTATCCCATGGAGAAGCAAAATGCTCCTTCATGGAATAAATAAAAGGTGACCTAAGCAAATTTAAATCAAATAGTTAATAATGAAAATTAATCAAAATTAGTGTTGTTATAACAATTCTATTTAATTAAGTTTATTTAAAGTTGTGAATTTTGATGTGACGTCACATTTCTCAAACCCCCCCTCCCCCCCTCGTCATACATCGTCACAAATGTCTGACCCCCCCCAAGTTGCGTGACGTCATTTATGGACGGCCCCTTAGTTGACTACATATACGAGACAATTTACAGGATTGATTTGAAGCTTTCGTGACTGCAGGAATCCATACTCTTTGGTTCTTTCGGTAAAGTCACGTAGGTATAAAATAACTGAAATCACGTTTCGATTGCAAATAAATTAAATCACGTTTCGATTGCAATTAATAAATTAAATCACGACGTTTCGATTGCAATCGAAACGTCGTGATTTAATCGATTGCAATCGAAACGTCGTGATTTAATTTATTTTATACCTACATGACTTTACCGAAAGAACCAAATGGGTCCCTGCAGTCACGAAAACTTCAAATTTACAGTAATACATTGTTATAATGCAGGAGTAAATCACAAACTCTGTAAGTCACATATAAGACGAATCGGCGTGTGCAATTACATATAGACTATTACACACATACGGTATTTAGTAAGACTTGCGGTGTGAATACAGGGTGCTAAATATTTGCAGGGAAACATCATACAAATAAGTAATATTTAAAAAAAAATGTTAAACACGCTTTAATAAAATGTACCATTCTAGTTATGTAAGAACTCCACATCTCCAGGAAGTGGGCCCGAAGCTTGCCACAACGTAAGGGGGCCGTGGCCAATTACAGCCAACGTGAGTTGTGCGTGGACAATAAGACCCAAGCCGAAACATAACATATAAAAAATGTTTAAAGATATATTTATTATTTTAAATTAAAGAATATAGCATTGTCATCAGTATGACATAAGTATACCAAGTTTGCAGTCGATACCACATTGGGAAGTGGGTTAAAATTGAGTTGCAAGATTTGAGGATACAACAGAGTTAATAGAAAGCGTGTAATTAGTTTTTTTCAAAAGTTCCAGATATTGTGAATACTGTACTGTAATGTACGTACAAACATTAAGCTATACATTTCACACATGTAAATACTGGACAGTTAAGTTAAATGTAAAACGTAATGAAGTACTTATGGAATAAACGTGACGTTCGTGAGACGTCAAAGTACAAGTATGCAAATGACTGGCAAATGCGAATAGACCAAGTGTCCAGCTCACCTTTTGTTGAAACAGCGTTATGGATACTTCTTAAATAAAAGCTCGTTCACTGCTCTTATAAAACACCGGATCAAACACCGTACAACATTTTGATTTAAAGCTTCCGTGACTGCAGGGATTCATATTCTTGGTTCTTTCGGTAAAGTCACCACGTAGAAGGGCAACAACACAATAATATCATCATCAGGTGTGAAAACCTGATGATTGCTCGTGTTGGCAGTCGAAACGTCGTGATAATTTTATTGTTTTATACTTTTATTATTTTATTGTTTCCCTTCTACGTGGTGACTTTACCGAAAGAACCAAGAACACTGTACAACATCACGATGATTGCGTGATGTGGGCCTAGGGCCAAATTACCGGGAACGCGCCCAGCTCTCGTCAGAAAATCAGAATTGAAGCCAGCCTAAAACAAAAACTCTCTACACAACAAATCTTTGGTTGGGTTGACCAGCGGCCGTGCACTTTTGTCGTGCGGTGCTGCGTTTGTCAGCCCAGATCAGTGAACACGCACGGACGAGCGCGAATTTGTCGTTAGATAAGAACCCGAAACGCGACCCCGCGCAGGCACGGGCAGGGCCCCCCTTCGACCAGCAACGGATTGACAACATATTGCTGCGCGTGTATACTGGTACACAATTGAGACCACAACACAGGGACCCCCCTCGAGCCGCGAGACGGGGGGGGGGGGGTGGCCGCATTCAGGAAACCCCGTAAGGCTTCGGGCCTCCTCCCAACCCACTACCACTTCGGAAAGGCGCGTCAGGAAGTGCGCTCACCGCAAATAAACACGACGAATATGAACTTCTTCTTCTTGGCCTCCGCTATTGCGGCGGGAATGGCTCCATCGAACCACAGCATGGCTGTTAACTGCGGCGACACTAAACTCTGTGCAATGTGAACGTCTTCGCGGGACGGAGCCTGGGTTTACTTAACCCGAGAAGATTACAGTTCGCCCTGGCCACTCGCGTCGGCGGATTGGTCCGCGCGCCTCACGTGGCCCCCTACGCGCTCCATTCCCATTGGCGCAGAGGCGGCGGATATGCGCTCGACGTTACGTCTTTGCTGTACAGTATTGGGCGATTCCGAATCGGCTCGTCACGCGAGGCGAACGTGGTATCGATGCCTGTCTCCACCCCAGATTCAGAATCGATCAAGTACGCGCAAACAGGGATGATTCCAGGCACAGTTAGCGATTCAATAATCGAGACACTGAACACGCAAATAATTCCAAATCGATTCCTGTACATCGAGATTGGCAGTCCTTGATTTACGAACATCCGACTTACGAACCAGCAGCTTCCACGAGATATTTTTTTTTACATCGACTTAAAACGCGAACTCGCACATGCAAACTAAACCAGGGAACGGATTGTGTTTGGCGGAGCAATCCTCCGCGAGATGAAAGGCGTTAGCCTCGCCAGCATCGACACTCAATGGAAGTGAAAATAAAACATGTTTCTTTATTTTGTTTTATTTAGCATCCTATATTTTACATGCAAACGTACGTTTCTTCTTATTTATAAGTTTTGCGATGCTTCCCTTTTTGTTGAACTGCAACATATTTTATAACCGACCTTATGTACATTTAAATACAGTACATTGTGTAGCGACTTCCGAACGGGCCTCGGGAACGGAACCCACACGTAAGTTGAGGTCTGCCTGCACTGTATAGAAGGATCACTTGTACTGCAGCAGTACTCATGACGGATGGAGATCTGTCAATTTTCCTTAAAAACCAGTGACCCGGGCGGTGGCGACGACACACGCCTGGTAAACCAGAACTGTGGACGCAGTAAGGGGTTAAGTTGATCACAAATGCGATGCAACTCCCTTACCGTGGGTGTCGAAATGCCACACCTTGGCCAACCAATAGGCGGTGACACCAAGCGTGGACTGAATCTCCCATCTGCATTGGATGGTGTTACCCAAACACATGCGCGAGTTTTCTCTGGGTGCTCCAGTTGCCTCCGACATTAAAAGTTGGCCAAACCTCCCAATATAGGGTCACAGAGCTTGGGCAATTGTTGGTGCCCGTCCTGGCTGCCTGCCTTCCCCCTCCCTCTTGTCTGTGGTGGTTTACCACACCAATGTATACGGAAAGTATGCATTACACATTTTAACTTTGAAGTCTCAGACTTTATTATACAATGTACAAATATACACAACGTATGCACATGTGTGCTGTGATATGCACACAAGAGGCCGTCTCCACATCGATTGTGGCTTCGTGGGTCAGCTGTTTAAGGCATCCTACACCATTTAACCAATTCTGCCGTTACAGGACACCGTATTTCTCCATTCTTTGATGTTGTAGCTAATGCCTTTTAAACCATCTAATGATGTCCCGATTTATTGTGGTTTTGATAATTTCATTGCATCATGAATGCAATAATCATTTAAATTCGTCTACTGTACTGTAACTCGGTGGACTAAAAGTGGGGGAAACTAGTCTGGCGAGCTGCAAAACTAATTAAATGTAAAAACTTTTTTCTGGAAATCTAATACGATGAATGTATTACTGTGTGGCGTTTGTTACTGTACAGACCAAAAAATAAGTCCTATGGGACGCTGTTGTGTACTGTGCTGTCCTATATTTATGGCGGTCAGTGTGAGGATATGCGGGTCCCCCATCCCCCAAACACCCCTCCCCTCTCACCCCCTCACCACCATACTCCCCTAGCACTAATGTATTTCTGCAAGTACATTGACCACTTTTTCCATGTTATATACACACACAACATAACTTGTTTTAGTGCACTTTCATTGTTGTACGTAACATGTTCCAAAGCTTATAGGATGTACATTCTTTTACGTACTATTTTTTGCATAATATATGTATAACTATTTAATTAGCCTACCTGGTGACGCAAAATTGGAAATTTGGCTCGCCGGTGTTTAACTGTATAAAAGCCTTAGTTTCAACGCTGAGGGTCCTGCATTGAGATGTGGCATGTGGGCAGTAGCTGGACCACTTTGATAGGAAGGGATAACACTCAAAAGGCTCTGCACAGATGGGTCATGTGAGTGGTCCAAATCTGTAGGCCACAGGCACCTATTGCTGTACTCCTATAAAAAAAATAATCTTGAATCAAATCGCCACCTGGAATTGTGGCCATTATCGAATTGCAAAGGAGAACCATCGTTAAATACCTAATACAAGGACGTGACTTTCAGACTCTCTCGTGCAAGTAGAATGATCATTACAAAATATGCATCTGAACATCACGTTGGTATGCCTCCTGGCACAATGTACATGTTAAATACCGCATTTCCTCCTATAAAAATATTGATGCGTTCAACTCTTTGTAGAAAACACATAAAACGACCACACAAAAAAACAAGAAAACTGCAGAACTAAAATGTCACAATCATTAAAAAAATATCGCCATATAATCGATGTCAAAATATGCCATGCCGATTGAATGTTTCTGGAAATGGTCCTTGAGCAGAAAACATTACATTAAATAGTAATTATATCTGCATGATTTTGTACACCCTTCAAGGAATGTAGCTTGTTAAAATGCTATTTTTATTTTGACAAAGTGAAAATGGAATTTTGTGCAACAAAAAAAAGTCCCAGGCTTAAAAGGATGTCACGTTTTTGGGACAGAAGGGAGTTCCAGGAAGGCTCCATAGGATAACTCCACGATTGCATCAGCGGTTTGAATATACTGTGATCATGAAAGGCTTTTATACATATATATCCAGGAAAGTCTTAACTTTTATCTTCATGAGCTTTTCAAGAAGGTACTGCTGCAGTTGTCTAGTAGATTGGGCATCTCACAAATTATGGATTATTATCTGTATGGATACACTAACTACCACTGAAAATTTTCTGGGCTGCAGCCATGCACTGCACCACAACTAATACAATCAATATGACTAACACTTGATTTTTCGTGTCCCTTTTCATATATAGACCAGAACTTGGTTGTTTGATGAAACCCAGGAGGGAGTCTAGCATCTCTCGAACACCCTGTAGAGGTCGGTGAGGTTGGCGATCTGCAGCAGCGTTCCATCCTCCGCAAACTGCCGAGGCGGCAGCAGGACAGAGCGCAGGGCCTTGAAGACACAGTGTTCCACTGTCCACTTCCAATGCGGAGACTGCGGGGAAAGGGATACAGGCAGTAAATATGCTATACCAGCACCTGTCTGACCCTATCTAATGATCACAGCGAAGAAGATGAAGTCTTTTTACTTCGATGCATCAGAGTTCAATGAGGTTCACATTTGTAGAAAGGTAATGTTAAAAGATGTGGCCACGCAATTACTTGCTCACGACAATACTGGCAGAAGGGCATACACTAGAGGGAGTTCAAGAGAGCCTGTCTAGAGGGAATTTGCCCTCTTTCATGCTGGCCAGACAGATGTCTTGGAAGAGATGGGTGTACCCATACTTTACCCCACCACCCGTGATCTGTAGCTCAACTAAATAGGGGAGACCAGAGTTATTAGTTACATCAGAAGATATATTACGTTTGAAACTGTTGAGTTGGAGGTTTTTAACTTTGAAAACTGAGCAATTATAGTGGCAGAGGGTGGCCTATTTAAATTATGTACAGGGTAAATGCAGTCATGTTTACAAATACAATGAAGATTAATTTATTAGTTCCAGATAAAATATATTATGGCTAGGGAAATGGATGTGTTTGGCTGAGAGTTATTAATTAACTTAATATTAGAAACCCATATTTGTTTCCGGGCCCATATTTGTTTCCGGGTTGGGCCACGTAGCAGTAGTTTTATGCCAAAATCCCTGTCATCAACCCTCCACCACGTGACAAGCTTGCCACGTTTGCAAAGATATTATTTGGTGGTAATGACAATTTTGGCATAAAACTAACATGTGGCCTAACCCAAAAACAAATATGGATCGAACTATAAACATTTTGTTTTATTTTACCAGGTAATGCCCACTGAACTATATCTCTTTTTCAGAAGCGACCTGGCCACAAATGATAGCTCAACAAAGTGGGTTATCACGTGGAAATGTATTGTAGCCAAATACTCTAAACGCATTATTATAAATGTGGAGGGAAAAACCGGAGGACCAAGAGAAAAATCTATAAGATAACAGGGAGAGAGAACATGGAAACTCCAAGTATACAGGCGTCAGGGTCAGAATCGAACGCAAGACCTCCTGTATACCATACCAGGCGAGGTAATTAACATCTCGCCACAGTGGTGCCACCAAGTTATGAATCATTGGTTAATGTAATAAGGGGCTACGGAGTAAAGCTAATGTTGCGCATGCATAGCTGGTGTTATAAATGGAATTACGCCTGTGCTGCTTGGCTCCTGGCTGGGCTCAGTTTCGGCCGTCGTCTCCTCCAGGGTAAACTCTTTGCGCACCGAGTAGAATGCGCTGCACTCGCGGCTGAAAGATTCAAAGCACTCCTTCTCCTCCTCCCAGTTCACCTGCATGGCACATTTCCATAAAAAGCAACGTTAATTTCCTTAAGCTGATAGAAAAACGGCAACAGTTGAAATCGGTGGCCAGACAGCAGCTTTGTTGAGCCACTGTGTGGACATGTTCGAAGAAGAGTGTGCAGCTATGCACAGTCAGCTGCACACATAAAATGTATGTGTTAGGGCTACAGAACAGATACTGCGCAACCTCCTAGTGAGATTAAGTCCTTTGCATGGTTGAATAAAGCATTATGTTTTGTTATGTTTGGTCAGAAATTGACTAAAGTTTAGACCTTGATACACTCTTGAGTCCCGATATCAATGTTTACTGATCATCATCATGTGTTCAGCGAGATTGCAGCCTAAAACATAAATGTTCATTTTTTTTTGTCATAGGGACATAGCTAGATTTGGGTATGCTGGGCTGTCTCGAATTATTAACACACTCATTTGAGATTCAACATATTTTCAGAAAAGTTATGCATTTGAATGTTTGGGAAAAAAAAAATTTGACAAGTGTTTTTCGATAAGGACCACAATGCAAATGAGAGAATAACACTCAAAGGTCCGCAAATATAGGTTAAAAAGTATGTCATTCATCTAGAAAAGCGATATCAAGTTTGAAGACAATTTTAAGTAGGTCTTGCACTGGAATGTTTGGTCATGTCTAATTAAAACCCCAAAGTTCATAATCAGAATATTTATTCACACTGGAGGAATCCAATGAGCTATACACATCTTTTTTCACAGATGTCCAGTAGGAGGTTGGAGCACACAGTGATGAACAATGAGGTAAGTAGTAAAATATAAGCATTGGGACAGGCAGATGCGAGGCTATTTTAACACAGATATGAGTGGTGTTACCAGGCCTTTAGAGCTGCACCCCCTGGTTACCTCTGTGGTGAGGCGAAGCATGAATAGAGGAAGCCCCTCCATAGCTGGGATGTAATTGTCAAGCAGCAGAGGGAGTCCAGATAGGTTACCATCCTGCACGTGTTTCCCCAAAAATAAAACAAACACAAGCTGATCTTGACCAACGCTCACCTTCAAATTCAAGTCACAGTGGTTCCCTTCACAAATAAGCAATGGAAGGGCATTCATGAGGCGGTAGCCTTGAACCAGTGCTGAAATTACACATTCCTAAAATAATGGCAAAAAAATGAAAAATATGCTTTACCCTTTCTGGCAATAAAACAGGTTTAAGATGTTCCAACACCAAATAGATACCTATTGCAAGGCATTAAGTCTGTATTAATCACACATAGTTGTGGCAAAACATGCGAATAAACATGCTCTGATAATATATGCAGTCAGTTAAACACGTAGGCTTTCGCTATCTAACCCAAAAAAAACCTGCATTATGGATATGCATTGTCTTTGAAGCCAATTGGCCTACACCAGAGACAGCATGTGTGGTTAATGCGGACTTGATGTAGGTACATTCTACAGCCCCCATTGCCCCCACCGCACCTGATCGATCTCGAGGGAGAAATAGTCCTGCAGCATTTCCGCCCGCTGGTTCAAGAAGGCAGCTGCGTGCTCTGCAAGTTCCTCCCGAGGACCGTCCTCCTCTGTCCAGCCGCTGTCCGGATCCTCAAGCGCCATCATGATAATCTGGTACAGGGGTGCCGGAGTCTGCACTCGCACACAAAGACAAAGGTCCCTCTTATAGCCTTCAACAGATTGTTGGGGCAAGAGCTCTTCGCGGACACCTATTACGGCCAGAAGGGCACACGAGGGCTTGAGGGGCCAGAACCACGCCCAACCGCCTGTCTCCCCAATGCTGATGTTTACACACTGCATCAGGTACATGTGGCACATTAGGAATGGACCACTTTTAATTATTTCCTCGTGCAGCAAGGGAGTAAAGTGTGAAAGTCCTTATGTGCTGTGCAGTACATCAATGCACGTGTGTACACCAGCATGTGATGACTGAGTTTGGCCTGTGGGTGGCTGGCAGGGTTACTGATTAACCGGACTTGTACACCAGTCACGTGGTTAATGGCTACTCCGTTGAGGATTGCTGTGCGTGACACATGTGCTGTTGCATTTTACAGATTAACCACAATAAATGTGTTTGCCCTCGATTTGAAGCACCTGCCCACGTCCTTCATTTCGAGTGTGCAACATACACACAAGAAACCAAAATATCTCCCTCATAGCCTTAACAGACTTTTGGGGCAAGTGCTGTTAGCGAGCACATATGAAGGCCGCCACGGTATACTAGGAGATGGGTGGCCAGCACCATGCCCGGGCATCTGTCTCGATAGTGGTGATGTTTCCACACCACCCCAGGTACTAATTTAAGACTGAATCAAACTAAGGGACGCCAAGAACTAGTTCAAATATTCGCCAGTTATTGATTGTGAGCAGGAATCGAACTCAGGTTGTTGGGTTCATAGATTGCTTTTGCAATCCATTGCAAGACAAGACAAAGATCCCCTGTATAACCTTAACAGACTGTTGGGGCTAGTGCTGTCAGCGAGCACCTATGAAGGCCGACAGGGCACATGAGGGGGTGGCCAGCACCATGCCCAATCGCCTTTGTCTCCCCAGTGGCGATGTTTACACACCGCACTAGGTACTCATTTGAGGCTGAGTCGACCTAGGGGAGGCCCAGGACTGGTTCAGATAATCGTCACTGGTGCTGGCTGCGAGTGGGAATCGAACTTGGGTTGCCGGCTTCGTAGCGCAGCACACTAAACGCTACACTACCGCTCCCCACTGCAAGCACACACACACACGTTTAGATTCATTCGCACAAATGTAAACGTACACATTTCACCCTATATCTATGCACACAGAAACAAATGCTTACACATTTGCACGCAGAAATATACAAATAACCATCCCTGTTGAGTTGTATAGAATGCATGGTCCTACAACTCCAGTGCCCAAATGTGATCCTCGTGTTCAGCATGCATCCACAGGCATGACAAAGCACTCACAGAGAGACGAAGAACTCCAAAGTTTCCAAAGTCTTGTATGAGGATCTGGTAAAATAGCTCTTGGCTGTGGAAAATAATAGGCCATGAGTCAAACATCATCACACAAAGGAACAAGACTTTTTTTTCAAACACATTCATGTGGTAATGCCGTGATTGTTGTGAAGCTGATGGGCACTATGATTGGTAATCTCGTCAGCTGTTATTATTACCAATGCCTGCTTTGGAAACAACGGAATCTCAATGTGTAGCACAAAGTCTCACTGAACCTGAGCTTCGTGGTGTTGACAAGGTAGAGCCTGGTTTGGTGCTGAAGGAGAGCCCAAGTCGGGTCAACACAGCCCACAAACGTGTGGTTCTTCATCACCTCATGCAGGCCTGAACACAATCACGGAAATGCGCAGCCTCAATGACATGCAACGTATAGAAAGGCATCACAGCAATTTTACATATTTTAAAAATACAGTTACATTCGAATTGTTTGTTCATGGCAGATACAATGCAAATGAAATTCTGCCCAACCTTTCGATTTTTAAGTTACAGCACACTACACAAGGCACCAACCCAGCCAGATAGGATATAGATCCCTTATATGAGGTGGTCAAGTGACTAATGGGTCAGTGAACTGCCACTGCTGAGATCTTGGGTTGAAGAACAGATTTAGCTGCCAGAGATTAAACCGGGTTCTCCAGGATAGCAGGTTGATGGTCACAATCCAGTCACCATTGACTTTTGGAGAAAAATACTAACTTTGGTGTGATACTTACTTTGGGTAATTTCCAGCTTTGACAAACAAAAAAATAGACAGTTTTCACTGTCATTTGACAAACATTTCTCTATAGTGGAATGTGTGACAAGTGTAGAGCCTCCTCGTGTGAACAAAAATATCACTTGAAGTGATCTCAGAAGCAGTTCTATGAATTGTTATCCTCGTCCTGCTCTGTAATATCCATAGCAATTATGTTTTTTTGATAAAAAAAATAGGGAAAAAGGTATAGAATCATAAAAACGACAAGAAACCAGTGGTTTAACATGCTGCATGTGTTTTCTGTGCATACCATCGTGTTTGCTGGAGGTGATTTCACTCTGCAGAGCAAGAATGCTGACGAAGCTGAAGACACGGCGCTTGGGGAGGGCGGCTGCCATCAGTGGCTCCTGCTCCTCCTCCATCCCCTCTTCCGCCGCCGCCGCCGCCTCCGCTTCCTCCACTCTTGAGCCACCTGCAAAGGCCTCCGCCTCGCAGCCCATCGCCCCATCTGCGTCCGTGCGCGGCCTCTTACTGGCGGTGTAGTTTGCAATCCAATGAGATTGTGGACAGGGTATGAGAAGAAAAAATAAAGCCAGCGAAGCCAGTCCATTAAGTGAGGTTTCACTTCGTGTGATGTGACATTTGCAACTTTACCATGACCCGTATGCATGCAGAACTTCTTTCGCACCATACATAGCTAACCGTGCTAATCAGAGGTGTGGGGGAAGGACAGCAAACTAAACACAAAAAGCAGTTCTAAAGAAATTAGTTTTCAATACAGATTTAAAAGTGCATAGCTTCAGTGGCTTCCCAATATCAGAAGGACCTGAATAATTAGTCCAGGAGCCAGAGCTGAAATGGCACCACCAGGAGCGGTAAATCCAAGGTGTACTGATTTCTCTAAATGGCCAATAAAATTGATTACGAAATTAACTATTCATTTTAAAAAGTTCACAATGTATTGTCATATAAACAGTACCACCAAAGGTTTTCCAGCATGGATGGTAACAAGTGAAAGACCTGATCATGGATTACATCATATTCCTACAGTAATTGCTTCAGATTTGGCACGGTACATAAAATATAGAAATTAATATCTGGTACAAAATATGTATTACCGAAGCTATCAACAGAAGGTGTGTACAGGATTAACTGCACTCGTGGGAAATCCTATGTTGGGCAAACAGGACGATCAGCACGAGACTAAAAGAACATCAGAAAAATATTAAATATTCCCAAATACAACTGTCAGCAGCAGCAGCAGAACACGCTTGCCAACAAGGACACTCAATTGATTTTGGTAATGTTGAAGTTCTGTGCAAAACTAGCTACTACTGGCCAAGAATAATTAGATAATCTATCCAAATTGAAAGAAATAAAAATAATTTTAACCGCTCGGATAGCTACCGACTTAGTGCTGCGTAGAAGCAAATCATCAAATAATACATTGTTCTAATGCATGCCTATACAGGCCACCATACATCAATACGGATTACCGTTGGTACAGCTATTTTAATACAATGGAGAGGAAGGACAAGATCAAAGGGCTCACATAATGCGCGTGCATAATGTACGTTGACTCATTAATCCCCCCCCCCCACTGATCACCCCATCTACGCCTCTATATAAGGAACGAAACAGCTGTACTCGTGACGAATTAGCATGTTCTGTTTACATGACAACCCTTACGAGTTGGCTGTGTCAGGTGGTGGCGGGTTTTAACGACACATTTATATATTTACGCGATCTAACCCAAAAAAACCTATATTATGGATGATGATGATGATGAGTAAAACATCTGCTGCACTCGCATGCGTTTTATTGCCCATCATCAGTTTGACCAATGATGCACCTGCTTAGCTCAGCACAGATGTTCAATGACGATGAAGTTGACAAAATACACACCAGAGAGGAGAGCTGGCAACATCCGCATCACGTTCCAGCGTCTCCATCATGGCAAGTTCACTCGGTGCGTCCGTCTCTTCCATCTCCCCTTGCTGAGGCTTGGGGAGTGTGTTCTGTGAAAGTTTGGTTACAGATATACAGCACTTATTAATCGTAACAATGCATTAGTAGGTGTCCTGCGGAGACAATATTAAAGGACAAAGTATTTACTCTTTAATTCCTGCAGTCACGAAAGCTCCGAATCGACTTAGTATTTTTGTCAAATAGAATACAATTTTGTGGTTTTGTCAATGGTTATTCATCTTAAGGAGACAATTCGATTCGCCAAGAGACTGTGGAATTTTCACTACAACCTCGGGGCTTCCAACGCTCCCACAATGTTCTTTTGACCCGAGACTTGCACACACAGAAAGACAAAGACCCCCCCCGTATAGCCTTAACAGACTGTTGGGGCAAGTGCTGTCAGCGAGCACCAATGAAGGCCGGAACAGCACACGAGGGGGTGGGTGGCCAGAAACCACACCCGGCCGCTTTTGTCTCCCCAGCGGAAATGTTTACACACCACGCCAGGTACTCATTTGAGGCTGAATAGACGTAGGGGAGGCCCAGTACCAGTTCAGATATTCGTCACTGATGTTGGCCGTGAGTGGGAATCGAACTCAGGCAGCCAGGTTCGTAGCGCAGCGCGCTAACCACTACACTACCGCTCCCCACGCACACACACACAGAGACACACATACAACGATATGCAAACAGAATAAATGACCCACACTTGAAGGTTTGTAGAGATCTGCAAGACACTGACAATACAGATAATAGAATGTGGCAAACATTAAATTAATATAACTTTCCCGAGGGAAAAACAAAGACACACATGGCCAGAAATAGCGCACCTGACGAGCCGGTGGGAGCCCTACCTGAGCTCGTGCTTGGGGCTGCAGGAAGATGTTGATCTTCTGGTCGCGCGCATCCTTGCGCACCAGCTGGTGGGCGTACACGCGGTCCGAGGCTGCAGAGGGTCCCGGCCTGGTGCTGCCACCTTCCTGGGTGGACTCGAGCCCCACCAGTGGAGCATTCGGCAACAGCGCCTTCACAAACACAACAAAAACTATTTAAATTTATGCAGCGTAGAAATGCAATCGCAAACTACGAACCCAGTAAATGTAACGGGCTCACACGGCATTCAAGTGTTAAGTACATTATGCCTCTGGGTGGCATACATTCAATCAAGTGTTTCCATTGTGACGGCACTGTAGAAAAACAATCATGATTTGTTCTATAGAAGTTTGATGTTCTCAATTACGGAGTGTGGTGTTTTAACTCTTTATGTAGACATGCTTCATGTCCTATATAGAAGCATGTTATGGTCCAGGTAGATGAATGTTATTTTTTTGTTGATGTGTGTGTTGCATTGGGATTTGCAATTCTTCAAAGACCGAATCCTATTGCAAAATCTTCATGAATTTCAATGGCGTTCTAGCATGCCCAGAATGCAGAATTATACCAATTCCACCCCAAATCTGGTGTGGCATTCAGGCCAGAAGGGAGTGTCCATGAGACCTCGACGGCCTAGTGAATTCTAGGCAGGGCATGGTCCTTACCCGCACCAATGTGCAGCAGGGATACACAAAGCATACAAGTGTAGTGTCTTTTTAAATTACACTGACACATTGTAACAAGTCACCTGCTTACACTTTATTCACCTATTCTTGCACCAGTTGTAGGCACTCCTATAACTATCTATACGGTCACTTATGTTTAACTTCTCCCCACTCTTATCTACCTTTCACCTCCCTTATCCACCACCTTTCACCTCCCTTATCCTGCACTCGGCAGCTCTGCTCTCAGTGTCTCCGCACACGGCGTCTCCGCACACGGCGTCTTCGCACACAGCGACTCTACACACAGTGTCTTTGCACACAGCGACTCTACAGCTCCACCGCTGCTCTCACCTACGCTCCCCCAAACCCGCTCACCCGTCTGTCCCGGGCGGCGGGGATCAGCCAACACACCCTTATATCCCTCTGCTAATTATGCGAGACCTCTAGTGCGTCTCTTTAGGCTCTCGCCAGGCAGGCGCCTGTGGACCCATCAATCAACCCTGATCTTGCGTCTCCCTGGCAACACCTCTGGTCTCAACGTGCACAACCGGTCGACCCCGGCGGTTTGTCCGTGCAAACCCCATGTTGCACACGCGCACCTGTTTGCCCTCAGTTGCCCTCAGTTAACTGTGCGCACCGCGTATTTCACTATTCTACACAAGTGTATGGGCAAGGTTACATGTACATATGTCTTGTGTATATGCTTGGCTATAATCACATTGCTCTTTGTATAGCCGAGGCTGGTGAAGTTCCATGGGAGCTTGCTTCTTGCCTGAATGCTTCGTCAGAATTGGGGTGGATCTGGAGTCAAATTGGCGTCGACCCCAGGGACTATCGCTGCGATCTCCCGATCTACTGCTCAGACAATCGGGACCACCGAGACTACAATTTGGCCACCGAGACCACTACAATTCAGACCATCAAGATCACCAGACGACCTGTGACTACAATTCGGCCCACCACCAGAATTGCCGGGACTACGACTCACACCACAGAGATTACCATTTAAAACCACAAGGCCCACTGTAACTACTACTCATACCATGGACCTACCACTTTGTTTTAAGAAACTCATGGTTTGTAGAGGGATGTGTGTGTATCTCTGTGGAGATGTGCGTGTATCTCGATGGAGACGTGTGGATATCTCTGCGGGTATGTGACACGGGAGCGGTAGTGCAGCGTTAGCGCTCTGCACTCAGAACCTGGCGACCCTGGTTCGACTCCTGCTCACGGCCAACACCAGGGACGATTTATTGAAAAGGTCCTGGGCGTCCCCTGGGTAGACTCAGCCTCAAATGAGTATCTGGTACGGTGTGTAAACATCGCCACTAGGGAGACAAAGGCGGTCGGGCGTGGTGCTGGCCACCCACCCCCTTGTGTACCGTGCCTGCCTTCATAGGTGCTCGCTAACAGCACTTGCCCCAACAGTCTGTTAAGGCTATACAGGGGATCTGTCTTTGTACATGTGTAGGGGAGTAGTGGGTGACGTCACGTCACGCTCGCCCTCGGAGAGAGTGGCGTCGCAGAAAGTGACGTCAGGCGGACCCTGGGGGGACGGTGACGTCATGCCCCAGGGGGGTATTTAAAGGGGGACCCGGGATGTAACCGGGGGTCGTCGGGGGTAGCAGTGGGGACTCAGGGGAGTTGATCCTCACCCGAGGCTAGGGGGAGGCTACTCCGCCCGACCGGCCGAGGTTGGGGTAGTCCCGGCCCGGGGCAGGGAGGAGAGCCGAGTTAGCCGGGGTTGTAGGGATCCTGGTACCCCTGTCCCCTGGGGAGTTAGCCGGGGTTGTAGGGATCCTGGTACCCCTGTCCCCTGGGGAGTTAGCCGGGGTTGTAGGGATCCTGGTACCCCTGTCCCCTGGGGAGTTAGCCGGGGTTGTAGGGATCCTGGTACCCGTCCCCTGGGGAGTTAGCCAGTGTTGTAGGGATCCTGATACCCCTGTCCCCTGGGGAGTTAGCCGGGGTTGTAGGGATCCTGGTACCCTGTCCACTGGGGAGTTATCGGCTAGGGGGGTGGGTTGGCGTAAGCCCCTAACACACTTGGCGGAAGCCCTTAACACACTTGGCGGAAGCCCTTAGTAAACGTGGCGCGAGCTCCTAACCGCAACCTGCTTCGGAGTCGTGGATTGCGCCGCAACACATGGCACAGTGTGTCGGTACGGTTGAGCGCGCTTGCCTGTGAGAAGTACGTGCGCGAGGAGTTGGAGCCGAGCAGCTTGCTCTCCACATGCTGCTGCACGGCCTCCGTGATGCTGTCCTCGTGCAGGAAATGCACCTCGTGCTTGGTGGGGTGAACGTTGACATCCACGTTCTGTGGAGCCAGCTCCAGGCTAAACAAAGACAAAGATCCCCCATATAGTCTTAACAGACTTTTGGGGCAAGTGTTGGTAGCGAGCACCTATGAAGGCTGGCTGAACACACAGACACACGTCTTTCTCAATTCTTCTTTTCTTGGTTGATGTGAAACTATTTCCGCCTTTTCATGCACAGCTCCCCGAGAACGACTGTTTAAGGGTGCTTTATAAATTTAAATTGTTTTTATGAATTAAACAAATTAGAGCAGTTTAACACGTAGGCTTTCGCGACCAATATTATCCATAACAAAGGCTTTTTTAGAGCACTCAGTATATTAATGGTTCGTGAACAACACTGGGGCTGGGGTGATTTTGAACACCATTTTTTTTACTTTGGGTGGGTGGGGGAGGTGACGCGTGAGAGCGTCGTGTCGCACCTGATGTAGAGGAAGGGGTGCGAGTTTTTGGGGAGGTACGCCGCGTACACCATCTCGATTGCCTTCCGCAGCGCCGTCGAGTCCACAAGCCGGTCTGCAAACAACGCCGCCAAAACATTTCCATTTCAACATGTCAGTTTTCAGGAAAGGAATAATATCAGAATCGGAATCTTCACTTAGACCGGAGGAATCCGGATGAGCTATGAAGCTCTTTGTTCACAGATGTCAAGTCGGGGGCAAGAAGTCAGGAAATTAGAATACAAAAAACTGATAGGAGTGCAGAGGATAGGAAAGGTCAGCAAGTAGATAATAAACAAATAAAGATCAAGTATATAAGTACAAATTTCAAAAGTATATCAAGCCAGCAAAACAATGACAACAGTCCTAGACCACACCAAGAAAACACACAATCCCTCAATAATATTGACATTAAAATTGAACTCTTGATATATGGGTAAAGATCAAAGTTACAAATAGTATTTGCAAATATGGCTGTATTCAGCACTAATATTCTGCTTCAGGACCATCAAAATCTATTCAGAACTCCTTCCGTCAGCTCAGGACACGCATGAATCTTGAAGAGACATCAGATAATGAGGGTCTGACTCTCGATCATCCGCGGGCAGATTATCTGGGTTGCGGATTAAATGTGCTCTCCGATGGCTTTTAACGTGTATACTCCTCAATCGTCATAGGTCAGTGACTTAAAACCCACATACGTGTCCGCAAACAGGTCGGCAAGTAAACCCCAACACTTAAAAAACGAGAAAAACAAACGATACATTGTACATCTTCACCACCATTCTGCATAGGTAAGCAATTAAAACATTTCGTGACCTAATTTACAAACCTTTTCTTTTGTCAGATCTGGGCTAAGCCTGCCCCATAGTCCCCTGGTTAAACTTGAACTGCCCTTACACACTCACTTTAAAAGGCCTCCATTACCCAACACGAGAAGACAATGTCATGCTGGGCAGATTGGATTTCCACACTTAAATGACCGTAAACATTTTCAAATGTACCCCTCAAAACTAGACTTAGCTGAACTACAATGAGGCAAACGTATACGGTAGGTACTGTTTGTGCAGTCAACGGTGGTCAGGCCGAACACATTAAGTTGTTCCACCTGTGAACCTCGTTTAATTACAGGTGGCTGATTAAAAATTTGAATTCTAAATCTCAGTGGTGCTGGCTCAGTACTAAGACAAAGGCATTAGCCGAAGGAATCACATCCCCACTTTTCTAATTACCCATTCTTGTTACCTGATAGCAAAATTCTTCACGGATATTTGCTGCGCAAATAGCAGTTACAAATTGACGATGAACGGGTGCCTGCACGTACGATTGATGAAAAGCAGGAAGACGCACTTCTTCATGGAGTAGTTGGCGTTGGAGATGTAGCCTCGCATTTTGAGCACCAGCTTTTTATCTTCATAGTTCACCTCAATGAGCTCCCTGTACAACAGCCAAGGACAGGTCACAATGCCACCTGCATAATCATTTTTTTGGGTTCATCAAAGTCTGTTGCTGACAGCCCATATGACTATTATTAGCCTTTTGCCCGTCCAAGGACGGGTGTATTGCAGTAAATCTGAAACTTGCAAGCGAAAAGCAGACCTCGACGTGATATTCATTGCATGAATGGGTGTGCAGTTTGTAAGGGCGCGGTGTCACAGAGCTATTTCATTTGAAGGTTATAATCCTTCGTTCATCATGACGTCCTTTTTACTTTGATGTCTCAATAGCGTTACAGAGATCACGTGACGTGAGGGTTCTGCCTTTGTAGTGAGGGTTGTAAGTTGACGCCGAGGAGGGGGGAGGAGGCGCCTCGCCCCCCCATGTGGCGTGCCGTCAGCCGCTAATTATTACGAATTGGGGGGGGGGGTGTCCATTTGGAGGACGTCACCTGCTCATGAATATTAATGAGGGGGGCTGGCCGATGTGGAGCAACGTCACGAGCATTAAGGACAGACATTCCTGGGTGATTACATTATAGGAGGTATTATTACACTTGCATGTGTTTCTCTCGCGCTCTGCAGTTTCCTCCCACAGCTAAAACAAACCATACAATGTAACTGTATTGGCCAAACATCCCAATGCACAAAAAATTCTTCAAACTTACTCATACTGGGATTACATATAACATCATCATCCCTCAGCAAAACACTTTGCAGGATCTTTTTTTTTAATGTTTTATATATATTTTGTTATTTTGTTGTTTCTCTTCAACGTGACTTTACCGAAAAAACTAAGAATATACTTTGCAGGATCCTTCGAGAAACAGTCTTTCATCTCAGAGACTCTTCCTGGGTAAACAAGGATAATATATTCACGAGGAAAGGACGCTTGTTTGAGACCCACCGAGCAACGGATGCTCCATACACGGCTCGAATGTTGTCCACCGTCGTGGCTCCAGGAAGTGTGCGCACGTCTGCTGTGCTCTCTCCTTGCTGTTGGGATACAATCTCCGTCACTCATTCATTCGTCCGGGAGACTTGGATGTCTCTTAGTGGGCAAGTGCTCTCAATTGTATTCCAGTTGTGCTATCAGCCATAAACTCTCACAGCGAGCAGTATAACATAATTTGATACCACAGAATGACACAGGAAGGTGATGTGATAGACCCTTTGGTGTAAACTAAGTTGCACACATTTTATATGCCTGCCCTTCAAAGAGTGTCCATAAAATTATAAAAATGAAATATTCACTCCTCAGCGATGGGGTATGCTGAATACAACCTCCTTGCTTGAAGGCCCAATCAATGTACAAATCACATGATGAATACTATCAAAATTAATTATGGTTTTTGCACAGTTATTGGATAATAGGTTGAGACCATGGACTTTCTCCACTTGAGCTCAGTTTAATCATAAAAGGTGGCTTCTCAGATTACAAACCCAGGACCCTCAGCTAGCACGAACTGTAATCGTATCCACCAAGTGTGATCACACACTGGGTGAGACCAATAACCAGTTATCCTATACAATCACAATAAAAATGAAGATCTCATATATGTAGATGTTTCTCATACACATCTTAAATGCTCACCTTCTTCAGTGTAAAACTTACTCCAGAGTAGTGTATTGAATACCTGACAAAATAGAAACATCTAAAATCACAAATGTATTTTATGTTGAGTACAAATCACAGAATCACCTGTCTCCCACAATTAACAACTCAAAAAGAAAAATATCTAGAGTTTTATTTTCCACGTAGCTCTATTTCCCATGGCCTCCACATGAGAAATCAATGTTGTCTGTGGATGCACCCAGTTGACGTCTACTAATTGTTCATAAACGACGAATGATTATTGCGTGTTATGTATTACATAATTTTGCATCAATCTAGGACCATCTTAAAAAGAGGGTTTCGTCCCTATAACATCTGGCAGTTCACCAGCATTGGTTCAACCAAACCTGACACTGCTGATAAGACACGATGTCAAAACCTGCCCGGTTTGCTTGCACTGAACAAATGCTGCTGAAATTATGCAAGCCCAGAAGACATTGTGGTTGACGAGAAATGTAAAAAACACTTTTATTTAAAATTGTACTTTATAAATCAAAATTAAGTGACATTATTTGTCCTGAGCCAAATAGTTTAAACTCCACATTCTCACGTCAGGGATGAATCATTCTATGCAAAGAATAACCACTGCTGAATTCCAACAGAACGGTACTTATTTTATGCAACCCAAAGGACTGATTAGCTGAATCGTCCATCCTAACTAGCTGGGATTTTGAGGGGAGTGCTGTGACATGTCCCGACCTGACTGCATAAATAGGGCTTACGCGTCCTGAATTACATGGCACGGTGATACACCACTGGGAGTTCTCTCACCGGCTTACGACCTCAGTGATCTTGCCGTGCTCCTCACTGGCACTCTTGAGGGCTTTGCGTCGGGTCGCCACATTATAGAACAAGTCCTCAGCCTGTAGTAAAAAAAAAAATGTTATTGCTTCCTCTATATTTTTGGCAAATAACAGTAAAATATATATTTTAAGATTTAGATATTAATTATTTCAGCAGGAAGGGCCCAATGAGCTGTTAGGCTCTATTTCATAGGCATCCTGCGACGGTACAGATGTCATATGGTCCAGATCTTTGTTAGAATTGTGCGTACATAGTTTACGATAGAAACAGGGAGTGTCAGTACATACTTTATATGTAAAATGTCTTCATTTGCAGTCAAAATGGTTACATGAATAGAAATATACTCATTGAGGCATCCATTCTTACTGTGTAAGAAGCTGCTGCTCAATATTCGGTCATGCTAAAATGTTCATATTAATAAAAGTGTTCATGCTCTTTCCCTGAAATTAACAATTGTTTACACGGCATCGCATTGTAAAGGGTGGTTTCTGTTTTCTCTTCTTTCAAAGTCTATTGCCTGAAACATCACACGACTATATGTTTATTTTATAATGTAGAATTCATTATGAAGACGGTGAGCTGTAACCTATTTGTAACATGCCCTCTGGTTATCGGTTCAGCTCTTTTTCCAAGAGACAAGTGTTTTTGGATTCCGAGCACAAACACCGCAAGGACAGGTTGAAGGACAGCTGCTTTATTTATTACCGTAATCTGCGTTCCCTGGTTTCCCGCGCATGGTTTGGGAGGCGCCTTCAGTTTGCCATCGCAGTACATTGCCCTGAGAAGCACAAATACCCATCCTCCAGTGCACAAACCAAGTCCTTCAGGTGGAACCAAGAGACATTCCAATGGTATCAAGTCTCCATTGCAATGGAGAAAATATAACAGGATAAGAAGGAATTAAAATGCAGTGTATGCTTATAAGCACAATAAGCACAATCATTCATGGAGTGTGCTCAACTTACAATTGAAAGGCTGCGAGAGTTCATATCCTGGTCAGGGGAAATCTTGAAGTAAATGAGTACGACTTTGGGAAAGTCAATGGTTGCTCGATAAAAGACACCACAATGTGGAATATCTACCATTAGCTTAGTACAATGAACTGAGAATAGCACCACTCCATTACTCCTTTAAGCATGGGTACTGAGGTTTGGAAACATTTTGCTAATGCAAAGTATCCAGAAGGATGTATGTCAAAAATACATCCAAGGTGCAGTCCCATCTTCCTACCAGGGTCAACATGAAGAGTAACTCATTGTGAGAAAACTATAGAAATTGTTCAATGTCTACAAATTACTCCTAATCACCAACAGAGATAAGCGCCACCCAGAGCATGTAAATGCAATGAAACTAAATTTTAATTATTTTATAATCCATGAAATAAAAGAGGCACTGTGTTTCTACCGACCCGGGGGTTTGTTCACGTGCGATTGAAAATTTGCATTCCTCTGAGTAAATTATAGTGCAGTATTGCTTATGCATCACATGTTCTGTGCTGGCACCTGTAGGCACACATGCTGTCCGCTGTCTTGGTAGTTATAGTCACGTGCGCCACATGACTGATGCTGGCTAGAGCCTAGGGGGGAAGAACCGGAATGGGGTATGGAAACACACATGACCGGTGAGCAACCTAAGTATATCTACATACATACACACCTCGACAGAACAGCTTTGTAGAAAGGTAGATAAAAAGTAGTTCCCCACTCAAACATGTGTGGAGTGATGCTCATATCCGTTTATGGTATTGAGCCAGTGGTGAAAATGTAGTTATCCTATGGTGGGGATCAACTAATCTGTAGTGTCCATAGTACAACCGCTTGAGTTACATATTTACATTGACAACAGTCCAACTTAGGCGGACTAATTCCATCCAATCACCAATCATTTGCAAATTTCCTTTGAAAAGGGCTGCTGTTCATATATATGATTAAAAATAAAACTTGTGACTACTATAATTTTTAACAACACATTAATACTGAAGCGATCTTACCCAAAAAAAATTATTATAGAAATAAGCAACAACGAAAAATAAAAATGTGATGTTACATCTAAAGTGTACAGTCTGGTTGTATTCATAGAATTGGCTGATTTCATGGTATTATTTCTACTGAAGGTGGTTGAAGTGGAATGGCAGAATACTATTTTTCTGGGTCGCTGTCATATGACTGAAGTTACACATTGTCACTGCAATACAAAAGCAGTTTTTAAAAAAATTATACGATTTTATTTTCCAAGTGTAGCATATATCTCATTTGAATATTCAAATAATGAATTAATCTTTTTTTCTTACAGTAGCTAGTAATATCTATTCATTAAAGTGTTAACCCACCACCACTCGACACAGCCAATTAGTAAGGTTTGTCATGTAAATAAAACGTTTTAATTAGTTACTACCTCAGAACACTGGTGTGTTGGAGAGTAAACCCACAACATTTACAATTTGAGTACGACGTGTCGCTGGTGATTACAACCAGCTTCATCAGGCGATTTGGGTTTACTCTCCAACACACCGGTGTGCTGAAGTAGTAACTAATTAAAAGTTTTGTTAACGTGACAAACCTTACTAATTGGCTGTCGGGTGGTGGTGGGTTAACGACACATTTATATTTACGTGATCTAACCCAAAAAACCTTTATTATGGATATTGTTGCCGAAAGCCTACGTGTTAAACTTGCTTATTTCTGTTTTCAAATATTCATGAATTCATTCAAATGAGTAGCTTGAAAGTGTAGCTTATCAGACCTCTCCACGAAACCCGAAGGTGGCGATGGAAGACAGGTCCTCAAATTTCTCCAGCTTGCTGGTTGTGAAACGCTCACACACGATCTCCATGTCCTCCTTCTGTTGGGAGTCAAACGCATCACATTGGTCAAATGGTAGCGATGAGAATCCATAGCATGTATTACTGGTCAGGAGGGCTACAAAGAATTAAAATTTTACGATTAGCATCATGTTCCATGACATAGAAATTGTCATTTGCAACTTTTACCGAGACCAGTGTAACATCACCTTGTGTCAGAGAACAGCCTTCAGAAAATGACAAATTTGTAGGTTCCTTCAATAGGCCTATTATCTATACTTGGCAGTGCACATTTGAAAACGCCCCGTTAACAGTGAAAAGTGCAACATTTTTAAGCCTTAAAGGTGAAGTAAGTGACAAGCTAAATTAACGTGGCTTTTTGGTGCCATAATTGGTGATCAGGCTGAGAACATCTATTTCTGATACTTGAGAACCCGATTTGCACAAAGTGGCTGCCCCCATTGGATATTTGATTCAGGAGACACTTTCACTTTAAGACCTGAATGATTTTTCAAAACCATATTAACCCCAAAGTAATGAGAACTGGGTGCTCCAATTCCATCACGTGAATTCGGTGACCACAGACATTGGGATGGGATAGGTTAGGTGGCCTCACTTTGGCCACAGTTGTTGACCGATGGCATCCAGTGGCCTTCGTGGGGTGCGAGGCTCACTCGAATACCCGTGCCATTGTCCTGGATCTGAATAAGCTTCAATCCTCCATTCTTCACCGTCACCTGTATGCTCGTGGCCTTGGCATCCAAACTGAAAGTACAAAACAAAAAGACAATCCAAATATGAGGAAATGACAGGGGACACTCAGCTGTTTATGCTATGCGGCCGCCAAGCATGACATGACATTTCATTATTTTAAAATATGTATAATCTGACAAAAGGCAACGTAAATTCATTATCCAAAAAACTGTTTTTTTGGGTTAGATCGCTTAAATATATAAATCTGTCGTTAAAACTGCCACCACCTGACACAGCTAATTTTTAAGGTTTGTCACATAAACAGAACATGCCAATTTATAACTAGTACAGCAGACCAGCGTTGGAGAGCAAAGCCACAACATTTACAATCCGAGTACGACGTTTCGTCAGTAATTACAACTAGATGTGATGACATTTACCCCTCAATTTAAGGAAGGAAACAGGAGGATTTCTCCACAAATCTGGCTGTCGCCAGATGGAGCTAGTTGTAATTACTGGCGAAACGTAGTACTCAGATTGTAAATGTTGTAGCTTTGCTTTCCAACACACCGGTGTGCTGTACAAGTAATGAATTGGCACGTTCTGTTTATGTGACGAACCTTACTAGTTGGCTGTGTCGGGTGGTGGCGGGTTTAACTAAACTTTTATATGTTTACGCGATCTAACCCAAAAAAACCTGCATTATGGATAATGGTCGCGAAAGCATACGTGTTAAATGAATGTTAATCCAAATAAAACAATGAAACTATTAACTCAATACGGAAATGGCCAACATTTTCCAATCCATATATAAATTCAGGCCTATTATAGCATATTATATTACAATATGCAGATAGTGTACAGTAAATCATACAGTTGCATACATATTTCAATGAAATGGTAATACGTACAACTTTGATAAAAAATTGATAAGGAATATTTATGAAAGAATAATACTAAATTTCAGAAGATGCCTTTTAGAAGTTTATATTTATATATTTATTTCTATATTTCAATGATATATATACAATATATTGTAGTCATCAATTCTGTTGGCAGCCCCGAGCAAGGGGTGCTGAAAAGACGGGCTTTTGTGTTAATCCTGAATATATTGTGAACTTGCAAGTGTCTGAACAGGAGTTAAATGCTTTAAACACAGTGCTGCTCAAGAGAGGTAAATAAACTACGTCAGTACATTTTGATTTAAAGCTGTCGTGACTGCAGGGATTCATATTCTTGGTTCTTTCGGTAAAGTCACGTAGAAGGGAAACAATAAAAGAATAAAAATATAAAACAATAAAATTATCACGACGTTTTGACTGCAACACAAGCAATCATCATCAGGTGTGAAAACCACAGCAAGAAAATATGAAAAAAGTGGCGGTTATTTTTAACGCCACTTTTTATTGTTTCCCTTCTACGTGACTTTACCGAAAGAACCAAGAATACATCAGTACAAATAAAAGTGGAGTCTATCTTATTGGCCCTGGCTTGACAGCTTGATATGCAGTAATGGCCATGCGTTAGCCCAGATGCTCTGCTCCTCACCAGTTCTCCATCATCTCCTTGATGGCATTGGCTGGACGCTGGATCACCTCCCCGGCCGCAATCCGATTTACGACGGCCTCATCCAGGCGCCGGATCACGCACGGTGCAGCCATGGCGTGCTGAACTTTGTCCCACTGGGCTCTCAAAGACACACGGTGGCACAAGAAAATCACTTCTGTAATAAGTAATATTTAAAATAACACGCTTTAATGAAATGTACCCTGCTCGTAATGGCAGAACTCCACGACTCCTGGAAGTGGCCCCGAAGCTTGCCATAACGTAAGGAACCGTGGTGATTTACAGCCAACGTCAATTGAGCGTGGACAATTAGACCCAAGTCGAACCCTAACACTAACATATAAAAATGAATGTTTATAAATACTTATTTTTTTTTATAGAATATAGTATTGTCATCAGTAATACAGAAGTACACCAAGTTTCCAGTCGATACCACATTGGGAAGTGGGTTAAAATTGAGTTACAAGATTTGAGGATACGACAACAACAGAGTGAGTTCATAGAAAGCGTGTAATAAAGAGCACAGCTCAACAAAGGTTGCTCCTCGCCAGGTGGAATAGTGAAGTTAACAGTGGCACCTGTGCGGTGGTGGCTATGCAGCACTGTTGAGGCGAGGGTTGGTGAACTAATCTTCATGTAAACTAATCTCCATCTGTTTCCATCTGCACGGGGATAAAGTGTTTCCCGCTTGCGCGAGTGGGTTTTCTCCGGCTGCTCTGGTGTCCTCCCACTTATATAAACCCTCATTAATTGGCTGAAAACATCTTAAAATAAAAACCCAAAGCAGGACCCTCCTGAAAAAAAATAGTCCAACGACTCAGTGTGCCTTCAATGAGGAAAACAAAGTTTGATGTTCTCTTAACACATCCAATCGGCGACACGACCTTGTTCTGGGGACGGAGTGCAATATTTCTGCGGCACTGGTTCAACACGAGTAGAAACTCTGCAACTGGGTTTCGGCATTCGGCATCTCATCAGTCGTAGCAGCAGCAGAGTGAGGCTTTACTTGTGTAGTGTTCGATTTCACTCGGGCAACTTGTCTTTCTTCGAACACCGCTTTATTTACAACTCTCAGCATGTCCTCCACATTCCACAATATCCAGGTCGCCATGGCTCGCTCGCCGTGCTTCACTCGACCCGCTCGCCACCTTTGTCTCTCCACTCCCCACGGTTACTTCGCTTGCTCCGCATTCAGCAACTCCGCATTCAGCGACTCCGCACTGAGCAACTTCCCACTCAGCAACTCCGCACACAGCGTCTTCGCACGCAGCGTCTTCAGCTCCGCTATCGCTACGCTCTCTCCGCTATCGCTACGCGCTCTCCGCTACTGGCTATTCTCGTCTCCAGCTCCGCTATCGCTACGCTCTCTCCACTGCTAACTACTTCTCTTCTTCAGCTCCGCTATCGTTACGCTCTCTCTACTGCTAGCTGCTTCTCTTCTTCAGCTTCGCTCCACACTCTGTTTCCAAACTCCGTCTCCAACTCCAAACTCTGTTTCCAATTCTGTCTCCAAACTCTCCTCCAAACTCCACGTGTTGCCTCGTCCAGCTCCCAAATCCCGCTCCAATTGCTGACCCCCCCAATTTATCCCCGCTCTCATTACGCCCCAATTAATTAGTCCGCGTCCCAACGGCTCCCCGCGTGATCCTTACACCTGCTTCTCGCCAGACTTCAAGACGCCTCTCCAGCCCCGGCAACAGCCACAACCAATCACAGCCGTCCTTGGCTCTCCCAGCTTAATTGCCCCAACGTAACCTGCACTGTATTTGCCTTCGTTACAGGCTGACCCAAAATAACCCCAATGACTTTGCCTTCACAACATTCTGTGGGTCTTTCGGTAAAGTTGCGTGACTTTACCGAAAGACCCAAAGAAAACTGAAACACAATGTTCGTGAAACCGCCAGCTGTTTACAGCACCCGGGGAGCGGTAGCGCGCCGCGCTCCGAACCTGCCCGCCCGTCCGTCCGAGTTCAATTCCCGCTCACGGCCAACGCCAGTGAGGATTATGTGAACCGGTCCTAGGCCTCCCCTAGGTAGACTCGGCCTCAAATGAATACCTGGTGCCGGTGTGTAAACATCGCCACGCGTGGTGCTGGCCACCCCACCGCCTCTTGCGCGCCGTGGCGGCCTTCATAGGGTGCTCGCTTAACAGCACTTGCCCCAACAGTCTGTTAAGGCCACACGGGGCGGGGAATCTCTGCCTTTGTTTACAGTAACGGGGCGCGTAGTGGTGGCCGTGATGCTAACCGTGTTGCCCTTGCTCGTCTAAGAATGTTTGTGTTGCTCGAGTCGCGTCAGTGGAGGGAGACGCGAGCGGGAGACTCACGCAAGGTCAACTCGACGACGACGCCGCAACAGTCGCTGAGGTTTCACTCGACGGTTCGCGCCGACGGCCGCGCAGCGAACTTCCCCGCCAAAAATAAAAAAACGGCGGCGTGACGTCATTCCGCAGAGTAACACCGCTATGTCGCACGTATATACGTCACCCAGCTGGAAATTATCGGTGACGCAATCACGTAAGTTGGCGTTTTGACGTCGTCGCGCAAAGCGCAGTACCAACGCGATGATGTCATCACCCATTTCATATTAGTACAGGACCAGTGTGGGGATGTCATCCCGCATTCCGCGCACAGTACAGTACCAGCTAAATGACGTCATCACGCATTTCATATTAGGACAGGACCAGTGTGGTGATGTCATCCCGAATTCCGCGCACAGTACCAGCGCGATGATGTCATCACGCATTTCACATTCGCACAGTACCAGCGCGATGATGTCATCGCGCATTTCATATTACGGGCATGACGTAATGACTTACGCCGCTCTCTCTCCCTTCCTCCCCCGTCATCTGCATGCGCCCGAGCGAAATGCGATGAGCGGTCTCTGTTTTCAGCTCAAACCTTCGTCGTCGACTCTCGCTCTCTCTCATCGCCATTCATTTGCGTTTGCTCCACAGTTGGCCAAGCTTCCTGCACTTGAGTGCGTGAGATGCTGCCACACGAATTTACAAACTAAAACACACCGGGGCTTGTGAAGTGGCGTGCTACGGATTAGAGACTCAACCACCTGGGTTGTGGTCTAGGGCCACTGGGGGTAGAACACGTGGTGCCCCACAGCTGTGGCACCACGTGTCTGGGGCACCACGTGTACCCGGGTGCAACGGCACTTCTGGCTGTGTGCTGCTGATGAGTGCTGTTTGTGCTGAGTACGCACTGCTAACGAGTAGCTTTTTTTTACTATTTTTTTACTGTCTGAATGGTGTGTGTGTGTTATGTACTACTGATGAGTTGTGCACGGTACTGCGTGTGTACTGCTGATGAGTGATGCACAGTATTGTGTGTGTACTGCTGATGAGTGGTGCACAGTACTGCGTGTGTACTGCTGATGAGTGTACCAAGTATGTACTTTTGATGAGTAGACTGTGACCGTGAACTATTATTGAGTAGAGAGTGAATCTGAGGATGTGAGATTGAGGCCGATTTGAAACTTTGGGCAGATGCTTGATACACAATTTTAAAGGTGTAAGCTATCGTTGCTGAAGTTACTTATGTTCAAGTTCACGTAAATGCGTTTGTGGTTGATCCTTTCTGATCTGAGTATAGAATATTTAGTAGCCAGGTTAATGTATCTGGGTGCATTTATGACCGTGTGAGGCTACAGCTGACATTTGAGTAGCAATCGCTTGTGGCTGAGGGTGCAGTGGAGTCCAGATCAGTCATTTTGCGTGTGTGTATTCTAAACCTGTGTGTAGTTTACAAAATAACTTGTCCATAACCTGTTACTGGTTGAGGGCCGAACAAGACTTTCACACGACACTTTAACACACGTAACTTCTGACACTGGAAGGGACCTTTCAGTTGCAGAAGTTTAATGGGCACGCTAACATTTTAAACACCGTGTTCGTGTTGCCGAGTCGAAAACATCCCTTGCCTTCCCCCCACCAGTACCCGATTAGTGCGGCCAAGATGCATTCACTGATAGAAAAAGTTTGCGAGGCCACTCGTCAGCTCACAACACAGACTGCCATCATGTGGCTACGGGGCGTATTAAATGAAGTAGTTGGTCGTGTCTGGCCTATGGGCTGACACATTCCCAATTAGGCTTGCCACCTGTCTGGGGTTTGACCTGAATAGTCTGGGAATTGCTATCTGGAATTAACTGATTTGTAACGGAGATCTGGTGGTTTTGATTTGAAATGATGTGTAATAAACTTGGCGTGCTCCTGTCTGCGCTGCTGTTTTAAGATAGCGGTGCACATTTAAGCTCAGGAGAGGAGCTGATGGACGTGGAAATGGACAAAGTGCCCGGGTGCGAGGATGAGCAGGATGATGAAGATTTTGAACCATCGCAACTGGGGACCAAGTCCTAGTAAGATAACTCAATGTAACTCATACAACAGATCTACACGTGTAGATATAGCCAGGTGACATTGTGGTTATCACGCTCAAAGATCGTGAGTTATTCTGGTCAGGGGTGTATTCCTCTGGGGTAGATGAAATGAGTCTTGCTTTAAGGAAAGCCAAAAGTGCTTGGCCTAGGGAAAAACGAGATCCATCGCTTGTTTGATCGTATGGCAAACTTTGACTTTTAAAAATTAAACCAGATAATACTTCACGGGTCCCTTTCAATGAATGGCACAATGGGATTTTTCGCCAATGTTTTAATGAGCAAGGGTGGATTCCAAAGTCCCCAAGAGGTCATCAGATTATTGTACTTGCTATGCTGCCATATACTGATCTCAGCTGTACAGTTGGATCATTTGAATAAATCATAGTAGAGGGTACATTGTTGTCATATGAAAACTGTGTGGTAGCATGGTTGACATTTACACAAAAGTTCGATTCCCATTCATTTCTGCAGGGCATTATTGTCAGCCAAAGTGTGCCGCCAGTTGTTAAAATCTTGCGTATGCATTGGTATTTTTTATTGAGCATTTTTGTTCTCGTGTTATAACCTAACCCCCAACATTTTATAAATTATCCACGGCACATTTTTGACACGATGGAGAAAAATTGTCCTGCCATAACAGATGTAAAATACTCTTTGGGTCTTTCGGTAAAGTCACGTTGGTATAAAATAAAATAAATCGCGACGTTTCGGGCGCAACACAAGCGTCCGTCATCAGGTGGGAAAGCCTTGGTCTGCTGCTGAGGCAAACTGTTTTGAAAGGTTTGAAATGGGTGTAGCCCAAGGGTCATAAAGAAGTGGCCGGGGCTAGTTATGTTAATGTGAGAAATTAGCGTGTCACTGTAAGATCGGAGAGCGGCCTCCTCGACGTGGTTACGGAAGTGGCTATGTTAATGTGAGAGATTAGCATGTAACTGTAAGATATAAAATATTCACAGTGGGATCTGACTTTTTAAAATAAAAGTGTGAGCCAGTTACTGCCTGTAAAAACTCATGTATCCTACCCTAACTGCTGCCAATAACAGTGAATGTGCAATCCATTTTGCATTCGAGAAAGACCTGTAAATAGTGATTGGATCAAAAGCACTGTTAGGGTCATAACACCACTTAATTGCTAAGTGTCGGGGTAACTTGTACTGGGAGTTGTCAAATAAATAAGATTCACTGCAGTACTTGCAGCAACAGCATATTGCTTTAATGCCACTTTAATTTCCATGGGATGAGTGCCTGCCAGGGGAGATTCAACAAGAACATGTTGAAGCTGAATCTCTCCTGCGTAGAGGGCCTTTGCAATTTTTCTTGGCAACAGTAAGCTTTTTTCCATATGCAGTATAGATTTTTTAAATTGATTTAAATCACAACAAAGCATCAAGTCCTTTATTCTCACTATTGCTTAAACCGTGACATTTTATTGATGTAATGCCATTCTTTCTCGATGCAAAGTGAGCAATGGGGCAGTGTTAATCTGTTGATGGGCCAAAGCCAGGAGTGGAAATTCCACATTCCCATGACAGGGCTGTTTTTAAGTTTTCAGTTTCATGTATTAGGTATAGCCCTGTGAGCCATGCGGCCCTTGACTCGGGTGCAACCGCAACAAACAAAAACATGAACAAGAAACATCTTAAAGTGACTACACGCAACAGAAAAATCCAGGAAAATAGCAAAGTCTTCCAGAAAAAAACACTTTCAACGCTGTGTGCAAAAATCCCGGTGGGATGCAAGTCAAAAATAACAACCATAAGACAATTTAGATTAAAGTTATCAGGCTAACGATGTACTACAACAAACAAACATGGCTAAAACCAAAACGTTTTCAAAATCACCAAAATAAGGCTATAAAAACAATGTATCTGTGATTATAGAAACTGTGATTCAAATTTAACAATAAATGATATACATAACATGTACGACCAAACTTTGCAGCCATAGCTGGCTGCATGAGTCACTCCATAACAGCATGAGTATCAGTAGCAGTTTGAAAAACAAATCAATACACCTTTAAATATCAGCACACGATCATCAAAACTCAAGATCATACTTTGCAGCGGTCATCCGGAATGATACATTTGATTTCAGGTGATACATTTGATTTCTTAACAAGTGAGCCACTGTTGACAGATTTTCCACAAAGTAGTACCCATTTTCATAAACTTATAGCAGGATGATGAGTTGAACTAAGTGCATCTTATGTTCCTATTATTGTCATATTTAGGACATTTAGAAATGAGTTCCTGTTTCACGTTTCTTTACAAATCATGCAATCATTGCTATATTCATAGTTAATCTGATATGGTTTTATTATCAGGTCATTGCTGCCACCCATTTATAAAGGAATGTTTCCATCCTTATAACTGTGATTCATCTGGTTTATAGCAAAGGAATATCTTTATATTTACATAATTATCTGTTGTCCTTGCCCTGCTCCTCCGATTAGCACGGTTTGCTACATACATACATTATTGAGGCATCCGTTATATTATTTTCCTATAACAAGGAAAGCCTCAATCTCAAGACACTTTATCATGAGAGTCTGACATTGAGATATTTAGCAATTCCCATGACTGAGTGTATTTACATGTAGCAAGAAACTGGAATACATGGAGTAAGCCAACACACACACAAGGATAATACTCAGAGCTCTGCACAGATTGACTGAAAAAGCAACAATTAATTTTCTGTGATGAGTCCATTCCCAATATGGTGTGTTATGATTCATAATTGGGGTTTTAGGTTAGGTAATGTAAAAAAAGTGTGTCGTAAACCCTCCTCCATCCGACACAGCCAATTAATAATAGTGTCACGTGAACAAACATGCCAATTTGATCACTGCTTCAGCACACTCCCGGTGTGTTGGAGAGGAATCCTACAACATTTAAATGAGTATGATGTTCCACGATAGATTACATCCAACATCATCAGGTTAACAGCTCAGATCTCAGACCTAACCCAAAAACACAACTATGAATCAATGTTGAATGTGAAAGCCTACGTAAAAAAATAATATTTTGTATTGTTAGTATTAGCACATGTGCCCACTCAGGCTGTATGCTGGTGTCGTGTGCAGCTGGGAGGATGCCTACCAGCGGGAGCTGTCTCTATACAGGGACACGGGGGACGTGGGTGAGGTCTGGTAAGCACAGCACTCATTCACGTGCAAGGCCCGTTAAAACATCACGGATGACACTTCCAATGACGATTAGAAATCAGACCTGAGCCATGCTCGTTTCTTGCCCCAATGCTTCAATAAGCCACGTGATTCAGTGACCTTGGCTCCATCCTTCCATCCTCCGGTTCTCTCCCTCCCCTTTGCAGCCAGAGGGAAGCGATCGGAATTACTAGCTTTAAAAAAAAATATACATTTGCTTGGGGGAAAGCTTTCTCTATCCCAAGCTATAATAAAATTATATTCTGCCATTTTAGATTTTGTAGTTTTTTTCGACTTCACAATTTTATTCCTCGTGTGTTATCCACATCTTTGAAGAAATAATCGATTTTGAAATCTCTCAGAGCAATGTGGCTCTGTGTATCTGAAAACGTTTGCACAATATATAGTTTTTTCACCGAACTTCAGAAAAACCCTTCAAGTGGCTATTTTGTTTTATCACAAAAACATGGCCATGATCTTGATCTAAGCGAGAGATGTCACTGATGGTGCGTCTTTCTCCTCTGTATTGAGCCTGGGATTTCACAACTTTTGACTCCCCCCTACATCCGAAAAAAAATGTGTCACTTCCTTCGCAAAGCAAGCCATGTGACCCAGGAAAAGCATGCTACCATGGCTTGTTTTGAGCTGGTTTGGCCCGGTAAGGCCACCGTAGGAAACTGACTTGAGTCTACTAGCCAATTCACTATTCAGGCTAGCCGATATTTTATTGGCCGTGAGACCGTGGTATGAGATTAATTACTTCTACCGTAAGGGAGAACTGGGAAACCGTGTTTACTCTATGTATGGGTAATTCATATTCTTGCTGATGCCCAGCTTTGTCATGCTGTGGTCAGAGCTTGTGACTCACATTTCAAATCCTGGCCAGGGGTCGACTCAGCCCATCCTCCGTTTGGGGCCTATATATGAGTACATCTTTGTTAGAAGTCACCAGTGGTTGTCCCAATGCTTCATTAGGCATGGAGACTCTCTGACTTTACAGACTTTAATTTAAAAGTTAGATCTAGACTGGGACTTGAGATATTAAACTAGAACAATGGGACTTCTGTCGAAAATTATATTACTGGATCTTAAAGTTAATTAATCTTTATTTAATCAGTCAAGAGCAAACTGAGATTTAAAAAAAAAGAGAATTTGAAAGTCCAGTTGGAATGTAGTTGCACACAGTAATTTTTTAGGCAAGTTACAGCCATTATTAAAATTTAGACGACAGCAGAACCCAATGGTCTACCCTTGAGAATTACGTCACGGGGTCTTTAATGCCCCCATTACAGCACACTCTGCGCTTTGGTAATTCCCAGGCGGCCGCGTGCGCTGAACTGTCACTTTTGACCGCAGGTTTGGATGGGACAGCATGAAGCGTGTCGTGCGCTGGATAGAGGCTCGCGGGACAGACAAAGACAGCTCCGTACTGGACATTGGCACAGGGAACGGCGTCCTGCTGCTAGAACTGGTGCAGTCTCTTGTCTTCGTAATGTTGCCCCGGAACTGCAGAACACCTCTCATTCCTTCCATCACCCATTTACACGGACTGCATAAGTATTACATCACAGCTTCGCATATTCGACGTCACATTTTCTCCGCGACCAATTAACCGCCCACACCAACAATATTTGTCTGTGTGGTGTAAGTGCCATTTTTATAGATTATTTCCTAGTCCGACCTCATGCTCAGTATTGTATTCTTTATCTCACGTGCATTCACTTCTAAAGTTCAGTAAATTGTGCTCACCTGTTTAAAGCAGTTTGCCTTTATTTTTTCCGGTAACCTATTTGTGCATGGTGTAACTGTCATTGTCTCTAGATGTTCTGTACCCGCCTGGATTATAGGTACACAGGGGCAGTAAATTAGGTTTGCGAGATAAAACTTTACAAATACTAAAAAGAGACAATATAGGCCAATGGTTTAGCTCAGTTCCTGCTCAGGGTATATGAGAGATAAGGAAGGGGTGGTGGTATCAAAAACATTAGTTGTCATGACTCCTTTACTTTGATTATTGGAGACTTCTAAAACACAAAATAGACTCGTGAATCTTTGGTTCTTTCGGTAAAGTCACGTAGAATGAGAATAAAATAATAAATTGATAAAATAAAATAACACAATAATATTCTCACGACGTTTCGGCCACAACACAAGCGGCCTTCATCAGGTGAAGGTGGCGAGACTGTCTGGTAGGACTGTCTGGTAGGACAGCGCTGTCCTACCAGACAGTCTCGCCACCTTCACCTGATGAAGGCCGCTTGTGTTGTGGCCGAAACGTCGTGAGAATATTATTGTGTTATTTTATTTTATCAATTTATTATTTTATTCTCATTCTACGTGACTTTACCGAAAGAACCAAAGAAGATGAATCATTGCAGTCACGAAAGCTTTAAATCGAAATTTAGACTCGTGAACTTGTTTTTTTGGTAAATGAAACCATTTTACCTTGCCGATCTCGTCAAGGAGCATAAACCGCATCACGCGCTTTCAGATGCCCTTCTGCGGCCATCTGGAACGCTCTTCCTTCTGATATTAGGAAGCCACTGGACCTATGCACTCTTAGATCTAGATTGAAAACTCATTTCTTTATAACCGCTGTTTGAGTTTAGTTTGTTGTCCTTCCTCCACACCTCCGATTAGCACGGTTGGCTACGTATGGTGTGGAAGAAGTTCAACATACATACATTGCAGCAGCATGGTATTGAAACAAAGTAACTGCCAGGCTGCCACATGGTGGTATAACATGGGCATAGAATGATAGACCCCTGAGCCACGCTGCCACAGCATCACTTAGCCATGCCAGATCATATCCGAATTTGACATGGGCATAATGTTTAGCACCCCAAGACACTTGACCGCATCTCCAGATAAGCCCGGCTTGCCTGGCACCCTTGTCTTCTGGCTGCGTCATGTTAATTAGCATGTCCAAGTGTGTCCGTATGTCTGTGTCTCATACCCACAGGCTAAGGTAGGATTCACGCGGCTGACTGGCATTGATTATTCTGCTGCTGCTGTCAGGCTGGCCCAGTCCATCGCATCTGAGCAAGGACACCCGCACATCGTATTCCAGGTATTAGTGCCACGTGTCTCCGAGTTTGCATTATGTAGACCCATAGACACATTGTGAGCGGAGCAGTGGTGCAGTGGCTGGCACAATGCACGGTGAAACTGGCGGCTCGTGTGCCATTCCCGGAGACGGCTGAAATCGGTGGCGTGTGATGTCTGAACCAGCAATGGCTCCCCTTCATTCACTCACACTGACCAGCATGGTGAAGTATGGTCAAGTAACCACGCCGCATGGCCTTCATCCAGCAATGGATTGACTAAGGTCTGTCAGTTATTGTTAAACATTTTGACACGATGTTTTTTTAAATAGGAATAACATCTTTACTGCCAAACAATTTGCTACCAACTTTCGACTCCTTTTGTATATTAAATGTGTGACCAATTCCTACTGGCATGTGTTTGAAGCTTTAGTAATAAATATATTTGAAAGGAAGTCAACAGCATCACCCTGAAGGTTTTAGTACATCACTGCAGTGATGTCACTAGAGTATCGTGGCGATTCTCAAGACGGGTCATGCGTTCAGATATTTGGTCAGTTCCACTCATGAGTGTTTTGTACATGGGAGGAAAACAGACTACTGTACCCAGAGAAAAAACCAAAGGTAAATATAAATAACACACAAAACTCTACACAGTTTGATTCAAGATGTATTTTCTAGATAACTCGCAGCCCAGCAGCTTTGGCAGTTTACTAATCTGCATGATTCACCAATCCCTGCCTTCAAAGTGCTGCACTGCAAGCGTGATGGTGATTTTAAGCTCGAGTTTATCTTAATGCAGCCTTCAGAGATGCACAGCCTATGTACCCCCACACCTCGTGGTGGAAAGATGTTGACTCCCTCGCCGGATATACAGGAGGTATTGGGCTCGATCCCGTCCACGACGCCTGTATATTTGGAGTTTGCATGTTCTCCAGGTTCTCCGGTTTTATACATTCCCACATAATAGAGACGTAATAAGCCACTTCTTTGAGCTATCATTTGTAGCTAGGTCGTTTTTTTAAAAAGAGCTATATCGCTCAGTGGGCCTTATCTGGTAAAAAAAATGTTTATTACCACGGTTGGTTATGTATGGTGCAAAAGAAGTTCGACATACATAAAGCAAAGTGCCACTTGTTTTCGCCACCTGTTTTGGTAATCTGGTTCTGAGGCCTCACAGATAAACCAAACGGAGTCGACTTTCCTTCATTAACCAACGGACTAATTGCAGGAGGTGGACTTCCTGGCCCTGGCAGCAGCGGCGGGGGATCGCAGTTTGGGGCCGTTCGACGTGTGCGTGGACAAGGGCACGTTGGACGCGGTGTCCCTGAGCCCCGATGGGGCGACCGAGCGGCGGGCGGACTACGTGGAGGCTCTTCGGCGAATGCTAGCGCCCGGTGGACTCTTCGTCATCACCTCGTGCAACTGGACGCGGCCCGAGCTGCTCTCGCACTTCTCCGATGGTGAGAACGTCGTCGTAATACTCGACAGTGCATTAAACTTAAACTGAACTATTTATTTTTTATTTTACCAGGTAAGGTCCACTGAGCTATGTAGCTCTTGTTCAGAAGCGACCTGGCCACATGTGATAGCACACCAAAGTGGCTTCGGGGCCGTCCATAAATGACGTCACGCGATTTTTGACGATTTTTTACCCCCTCCCCTTCGTCACACGGTGTCACAAAAAGTCAGACCCCCCCTCAAATATGACGTCACAAAGTTCTGCCCCCTCTTAAACATGCTTCAAATCGCTTTAAACTATTGTCATTGTAGTGTGTATTTAATGTGGCACTGCACTCTGATTTTGTAGGAGAAAACATTTATTAAAAATATTTAATTAAGTAGAACGTGTTGCATATATTTTATTTAAAGTTGCGCATTTTGATGTGACGTCACATTTCTCAAACCCCCCCCCCCTCGTCACACATTGTCACAAATGTCTGACCCCCCCCCACCCAGGTGCGTGACGTCATTTATGGATGGCCCCTTATCATGTGGAAATGTATAGCAGCCAAATACTCTAAACGCATGTTTCTAAGTGTAGAGGTAAAAATCGGAGGACCCGGAGAAAAATCCACGCGACCACGTGGTACTTCCTCCACGTCTCCGATTCACACGGCTGGCTACGCACAGTGCGAAAGAAGTTCAACATACATACGCACACGATATCTCCCATTGAGGAGGTATTTGGGGGCTGCGTTTGAGAGGCACTTGACATGAATCTCCCACGATTGAGCTTCCATGTTTTTTGACCATTTATTTTATGGCATCCTTACATAGTATATAATCTGTAGTCGATGAGGTGTTCTTTTGGAGTTTGTTTTTTGGCGTCTGTAATATGCTCTTATTTGTAGAGTCTGTGTTTGGAGTTTTTATTTAGGATCTGAGTTTGGGATCTGTGCTCATGGGTCTGCGCTCATGGGTCTGCGTTAGAAAATTGTGTTTGGGATGAATATTTAGGTCCCTTTTTCTGGTCGATATTTAGTATCTATATGGTAAGATTTGGATATATCCAATATATGTGTGGAGTGTGCAGTATGGAGTATGTTTAAGATCTCTAAGTGGGGTTTATTTGTCTGTAATTAATGGAATTGTGTGCTTCAGGTTGGTATCAGAGATCTACATTTGAGGTCACCGAGGTCTGTATTTGGATTAAGTCTTGAAGGTCAGAGCTCTATATTTATGATTGGAGTTTGAGCTCTGTGCGTGTTGTCGCCCTGGTTCAGGGTTCGAGCTGGAAGAGCAGATCCCGACCCCGACCTTCACCTTTGGGGGCAGCACAGGGAACAGCATCACCTCCCTGGTTTTCAGAAGACGGGGCTGACAGCTCCATTGCATCTCACCGTGCCAATTGAAGCAAAGCACCAGCATATATTATTCATGAAAAAACTCACCAGCGTTTATATATTTTTACTTACAAATGAAATATGAACTTCAATATTTCTTCAGGTATAAAATTAAGCAAAGCTTGTGTACATACTGGCTGGCCAGGTGGCACTTTGGTTAGAGCACAAGTTCAATTCCTTGTCAATAGCTAACTCGGCCCATCATACCTCCAGATTCTTTAAATGTAAGAAAAATGCTTGGGATATTAATAGTAGTTATTCTATGGATTTACTGGTCTGACATGAGAATGTGGAAATCCACCACCAGCATAAGACAGCCAATTGAGATGAGGTCTGCCCCATCGCTCATTTCAGCAGGGAGACAAAATGTTACTTTGGCTGCACGAGTCTCTATCCCCTCCTTCCCCTCAGTGTCAGTATTCTGCAGGGTTTGTTGCTGGGTCCCTGACTATTCTCTCTATATTTCCTCCTGGAATATATTCTCATCTTTCTGATTTCCTCACCATTTCAATCTTTCATAAACTTAAAAAAACTGTTTTACATGTTTCACTTTTGAATGTGAATTCTATTTTCCATAAATAGTGATTATGTTTATGAAAAGTATGATCATGTATTTTGTCATTGTGAAGTGTTTGTAATTGAACAGTTTGTGTGGCTCGGTTTCACTATGTTATTACATTGTTAATAAAAGCGAGAACTTGAGTTAAAGTGTTGCAGCATATGCAGTGCAGTGTAACGTTTGAGATGACATCTTAGTTATTGTTCACAAATCAGTCAGGCTGACCGTATCACAATGATTTTGTTGGCTTTAGCACTGTATGCAATATAATTTCCCAAAATTATTTTAAAAAATATTTTGAGACAAGGCCCATTGAGCTAAACAGCAGTTTTTTTTCAAGGACGACCTGCTGATTAAAGTGGGCTTACAAGTGGTGATACCATACAAAAAACACTAAAAGAAATATAAATTACAAACGCATTTTAAAAATAAAATGACAATTCAGGAGGCCTGAAAATGCAGAAACTTAACAATTAGCAACAACAAAAGCATAGAGCATTTCAATAAACATTCAGATTGACAAGTTATTGAATATGTAATTCAATATTTCAGTGTTTCATTTGGTTAATTAGGAATTGCATTCGAATTCGTGGCAGCAATAGTCTTGAAGCAGTAATCTTAAGCCATGTAGAGACAGGAGTAATACAGTTTTCAGTGTACTGGCCATTCCAAAATTCACGTGCGACCATTGAGAAGGCTCTGGAATTTCGATTTAAAGCTTTCGTGACTGCAGGGATTCATCTTCAATAAGAAGGCTCTGGAACCCTGCGTTCTAAACCTGGGAAGTTGCATGCATTTGTAGCAGGGGTCTCAAACTCAACTTACCTGGGGGCCGCTGGAGGTAGAGTCTGGGTCAGGCTGGGCCGCATCAAGTATTCCAAAAAAAAGTACAACTGATCCAATCTCAATTTTTATTAATAACAGTTCAGAACATGAACGGTTCTTCAGAACATAGGCTTCTCTTACCTACTCCTTGCTGCCAGAGACCTGGCAGCGCTTCCTCTTCTTACACAGCTGAGCCACATTTGGCTTGAGGGAGGAAGCAATTGAGACCCTCAGTAAGTTTGGACCTGTACTTTGCCTTATTAAAGTTCATGGTGCAGAAGAGCTTTTCACACAGATATGTGCTCTCAAAAAGGCACATGGTCCGCTTGAACATCCTGGAAAGCTCAGGAAAGGTGGGGGGCAATTCTCTCAAAAATTGTCCAAGCTTGTATGCTTTAGCACTCACCTCTCTGAACTTGGCTTTGAGTTCAGAATTGCACTGCAGGTCAATTAGCTCCATTTGAAGCACAGGAGGGGCATCTTGCACATCGAAGAAGGGGTCAGCAAAAATTTGAAAAGTGGCTCTGTGTCTTAAAGTCTGCAAACCTGTGATCAAATTCCTCCTGTAGCTTTACAATGGCATCAGCATATTTCTCACCACTGAATGGTGTGCCCGCGTCCATGAGTGCCTTGCATGCTGGGAAATGGCAGAGGTTTGTCTGAGAGAGCTGGGCTTTCCATAACACAAGTTTTGTGGAGAATGCTCTGACTGTCATAGGCAGCACTGACAAGCTGCCCCTGGCCTTGTAACTTCTTGTTTAGTACATTCAGCTCCTGTGTGATGTCAACAAGAAAAGCTAAGTCCATGAGCCATTTGGGATCACTTAGCACAGGAACAGCCATCCCATCCTTCTCCATGAAGGCTTTCACTTCTGCTCTCAACTCAAAAAACCTCTTCAAGACGTTTCCCCTGCTGAGTCAACGTACCTCAGTGAAGTAGAGCACATCCTCATATGCTGACTCTATTTCCTCTAAAAAGGCGCGGAACTGCCGGTGCTTTAAGCCCCTGGATCTGATATGGTTGATGCATTTCACAACGACAGACATCACATTGTCAAACTTCAGGCATTTGCTGCAAAGGGCCTGCTGATGGATAATGCAGTGCAGAGCAATGGCTTCATCAACACCCTCCTCTTCCAGTTTTCTTTGAACAAGTGCTTTTTTTGAGCACTTCGTTTTTCTTATTAAATTTATCAATCGTGTTCTCGCTCAGGTGTTTATACCTTTCACATTCATAAATAAAGTGATCTAGATTTTCTTATTTTTGTTTACATCCTACATATCCTTATGCTCTACCAAATCTCTCTGGATGCCATTGAGCTAACTCTGGTGTGCATGTTACTCCACCTGTCTTAATTCTTAACATCAAGTGCATTGTCTCATGTTTTATATCTTTTAATATCTTGCTCTTTTTGATTAAATTGTTCTTGGTAAATTCGTTTTCTTTTGCGATTGCACATATCTGTCCTTTTTCCTTGTCTTTGTTTCTCTTGTAATAATAATCTATAACTTCTTCTTTATAATATTCAGGTTCTAACCACCATTTGGCTTTTGTTCTTGCCACCCATCTCATGCTATTTGCTATCCATGTAATTATTTTCCCTTTCCGATTGCAACACTCCGTTGTCTTTATTAGGTCACTGATTACTCTTGTTGAGTCCGCCCACTTCCTAAGTCCTCTGTACCTTGCACTGGGTGACAGGATATATTTTCCTTCCACTTGGTGTCACTCCGGAATCACGTTTCAACCAAGTGACTAACCTTCTTTGGTTCTTTCGGTAAAGTCACGTAGAATGAGAATAAAATAATAAATTGATAAAATAAAATAACACAATAATATTCTCACGACGTTTCGGCCACAACACAAGCGGCCTTCATCAGCTAGGCTAGGACCTAGGGGAGGCTATCTGACCCACCGCTGGCCCGGTGGGTCCTGACCACTGGGTATGCCGAGCCTTAGCCCTTAGAAGGGCTGGAAGGCTGGTCCAGGGTCCTAGCTAGGCTCCAGCCCAGTCTTCTGTCTTCGTGTAGGGAGAGAACTCCCCGAGGTCCGTTGGGTCACCCGTCTTATACTCCTTCGTGGCCAGGTAGAACCAATCATACATTCCCACGTGGAACCGTCTGATTGGTTCTTACCAACCCCTGGCTACGATCCGTTTCACCTCGACTGACCCCAACCGTTGTACCCAGGGGTAATGCTGCACTGCCCTGATGGCAATGCAGGTTACACAACAGCGCGTAGTTAACACCTCTACACATTAAATGACTCATTCCTTTAATCAGTTCTCATTATTGCCACATTCAATAAAACATTCTGTCCAGAACTCTCCACTAGGCTCCTCCCTGGTGCTCACCTTTGGCTTCCGGAAGGCCCGGTCGTTGCTAGGGATGCCGTTACCATGGATACCGTTTCTGGGGACACCGCTGATAGGGACGCCTGTTGCTAGGCTGGCGGTTGGTCCTCGCGGCCAGCAGATAAACATTTGATTTCGTACTGCACACAGCGGGGGTTTTTAATTATGTAGTCCGCATAAGTGCGTTTCTTTTTCGCTCATTCCTCGGCAACGTATGGTCGTAGATTTCAAAAAAAGGTTGCACATACGACGAGCATTCATATGATGTAATAAAAATGTGGATTTGTAGAACGTTTTACAAAGCTGGTGATCGGGATTTTGCCAGTGCAGCTCCAAGACAACAGAACGCGTTGCCTCTGATAAGACAATCAATATTTAGAGATATTTAAATCTGCCTTGAAAACTCACATCTTTAAAAAGGCTTTTTCCCCATAATTGTGGTCGCTTACGCTGCTGGCTCTGTCTTATTACCCAGCGTTCCATACACGGCGCATTGAGATCCTTGGATGAAATGCGCCTTACAAATGTCAATTAGAATTATAGATATATTCAATCGGCGAGATATTCATGTAATGGCCCTTCGTCGCAATTTAACAAAAACTGGTAATGAAAAAAACGAATGTGAAATGTAGTTTGCATCAAGCGACATGGTATTAATTGGTCTCCAATCCTTTTACACGCTTTTATTTAACTCACTCAAATCTTGTAACTCAATTTTGACCCACTTCCCAATGTGGTATCGACTGCAAACTTGGTATACTTATGTCATCCTGATGACAATACTATATTCTATCATTAAAAATAAAACTATTTTTAAACAATCATTTTTTATGTTATGTTTCGGCTTGGGTCTAATTGTCCACGCTCAACTGACGTTGGCTGTACATCACCACGGTCTCCTTTACGTTGTGGCAAGCTTCTGGGTCACTTCCTGGAGTCGTGGAGTTCTTACATTACTCGTAGGGTACATTTCTGGCTTCTGTGCTATGGAGAAGGGCCCAAAAAAAACGTTGCCTACTCTTTTTCCGATTTCTTTAAAGGCGGTGTTATTGACGAATGTTGGTTTATTTTACAATTATTTTAGTTGTACTTTTACGTGTGACGATATGTACAGGAGCTAAACAAACCTTTCTTAAAAAATATATAAAGTTTAGATAATTAAATGGGGGTCACAAACATGTGGACCACCCTGTATAGCACCTGTCCTGTGGTTTACCACGCGGCCCCCATATCTTGGATTTGCATGGCCACAAAACCCAGCATCTGTAAAAGTAAAAATCTGGCTGTCGCCTGATGTAATGTAGTTGTAATTACTGGTGAAACGTCGTACTCAATGTTGTGGCTTGGCTCTCCAACACACCGGTGTGCTGTACTAGTAACGAATTGGCATGATCTGTTTACGTGACAAATCTTACTGATTGGCTGTGTCGGGTGGTGGCGGATTTAACGACACACTTAAATATTTACGCTATCTAACTCCCCCCCCCCCCCCAAAAATAAAAAGAATCTGTATTTATGGAAGATATTGCTTGCGAAAGCCTACGCGTTAAACTACAGTAAAACCTTGGATTGCGAGTAACTTGGTCTGCGAGTGTTTTGCAAGACGAGCAATTAAAAAATAAATAAATATTAATTTGATAAACGAGCGAGGTCTTGCAATACGAGTAGTACGTGTACGCTTTGTACTGCCGAGCGTCACGTGATCACAACTGATATACGAGTGCTTTGGATTACAAACACGTTTCCGGAACGAGCTATGCTTGCAATCCAAGGTTTTACTGTGAAAGTGAAAAGTCAGCGTGACGCACGTGTTTGCAAAAAAAACCTAAGAATCGCGCACGTGCCGACCCCCCCCCCGCCCCCACCGTATGACGTCACTTCCGTCCGCAAACAGCTGTTCGGCCCCGAGAACGAGAGCGGCAGAACGCTGCGGTTGTGGAGGGGGGGCCATTGGGCAAGAGTCAGAGCCAGAGAGAGAGAGAGGGGGGGTGGCATTAGCAACCTCGCTGCTAACTCTTCACAAGCGCCAGTAAGCAATAAACCTGCGCCGCCACCGCTAGCTTACACACTCGTAGCAGCGCATCTACGCGTGAGAACGACCACTCCGCCTGGTGTGTGTGCGGGCACGCCGTTGCTTGCTGCTGCTGCTTTGCTCGCTGCCGCCGGAGGAATTGCTCAAGTTTTGTCACGGTAATGTGGGATGGGCTGTGTCGCGGAGGCAATTCGTGTGAGTTTGGTCACGCTTGGTGGTGAAGATGATCGTGGCGCTTGGCGATACGGATGATGGTCGCGATGGTGGAGATGTGGTGGCAGTGACGCTGGTGGGAATAGTGATGGGTTTGACTACAGTGATGTCGGTGCGAATGGTAGGCCGGCTTTCATAGGCGCTCGCTGACAGCACCTGCCCCAACAGTCGGTTAAGGGGAGGTTTGTCTTGACGCTATTGGGAAGCGGTGGTGCAGCGGTTAGCGAGCTGCGCGCTATGAACCCGGCCACTCGAGTTCGATTCCCGCACATGGCCAACACCAGTGACGATTATCTGAGCCGGTCCTGGGCCTCCCTCCCCTTGGTCGACTCGGCCTCAAAATGAGTTACCTGGTGCGTTGTGTAGTAAACATCGCCACTGGGGGGGACAAAGGCGGCCTGGTGTGGTGCTGGCCACCCACTCCTTCGTGTGCCGTGCCGACCGGTCCTTAATAAGTGACCCGCTTACAGCACTTACCCCAACAGTCTGTCAACGCTGGTGTTGATGATGGGAGGAGTGATGCTGGCGGGCATCAAGACGATTGTGACGATGTAGTTTGTGGTGGTGAGGAGAATGATTTATTTGACGTGAATATGTTGATGGCGGTGGTGGGGGATTATGATGTTAGAGCTGATGGTACTGGTGGTGCAGCGATAATGATGTTGATGGTTGTGGTAATTGTCAGAATTATGGTGACATTGACGATGGTGGTAATTATAATAATTGTGATACAGGTATAGTAACGATTGTGATGGTGGTGATGAGGTGCTTGGTGCTGTTGACGATGGTCGTGGTTATTGGGGCGCCACGGTGGCTAGGAGATGTTAGCTACCTCGCCTGGTATGCAGGAGGTCGTGGGATCGAACCCGATCAAGACGCCTGCTGTCTATTTGGAGTTTGCGTGGATTTTTCTCTGGGTCCTAAGGTGTTTCCCTCCACGTTTAGAAACGTGCGTTGAGAGTATTTGGCTGCTATAATTTTCCACATGATGGGCCACTTCTTTGAGCTGTCATTTGTGGCCAGGTCTCTTCTGAGCAAGTGCTATATATAGCTCAGCGGGCCTTACCATGTAAATTAAAGTTTCGTTTTCAATGTGTTAATAACGGTGATGAGTAAAACACAATTATTTTTTCACTCTCTATTGTTTGGTGGAAAGGTGCGATTGGTCCGATATTGGTTGTGCAATGAGGACTTGTACGTGTCAATTAGAGTGTTGATTGGAGTGGGTCATTTTGGAGTGTTCACTTTTATAAAAGTGTATGGAAGAGCTGGGCCTTTGTCAATGTAATGTGGAATGTTCACCACTGGCAGTCGTCATATCCATATAAGCTCATGAGTTGTCCTACACGTGTTTTGGCAGTGGGACACTGACATAATTTCCTTTGTTAAAAAACTACTGCTTAACAGCCCAGGGACTCATATTCTTGGTTCTTTCGGTAAAGTCACGTAGAAGAGAAAGAACCAAGAATATGAATCCCTGCAGTCACGAAAGCTTTAAATCAAAGCCCAGGGACTGTTTGTTGTTATTGCTGTATAAACAAGGGAAGCCTATGACTACATCGCTCGCAAGTAGGTCGATCCGTCAGACCTCGAAGGCTAAATAGGTTTGAGCCAGGATAGTCCTTGCATGAGTGACCACCACACACACAAATACAAGCATGAACAGCACAGAGTAGTGCAGCAAAATACATTGCTGCTCTGCATTTAACCTCCCACCCTTACCAACCCGCACTGATCAGTGGTGAAGTATGGTCAAATTTTCTTAAAGCGCCGCAAGGCATGGGGAAGCTCTCATCCAGCAGTGGATCGACACATCGGCTGTACGTGTGTATATATAAACATAGGGAAGGGAAATGCATCTCTAAGCACAAACACTAATTCGTAAGTTTAACACGTAGGCTGCCGCGGACAGTATCCAGCAGAGGAGGTTTTTGTTGGGTTCGATCGCGTAAGCATGACATCGCATACTAATTTAAAACTTAAATTTATATTTCCATGCTTACTAGCATTCAACAAGCATATCACACTGCGGTGCCTATGTGCAGTTGCTGCACTCTTCAAAGGCACTGTGCTTGCATGCAAACTTAGACTTGGAAATACACGGCCTTGTGAAACCCACGTTTTGCAATGACTTGGCATCGACACATCCCATCAGGACATAATAGTGCAGTTTATCTTCGGGGTGTCAGCTTTTAATGTAATTTGTCATGGTTAAACATCCACAAGTTGACAATTCAAAGTACAAGTATCAACTTCCTATGGCTGGAGCATATGTGGGGTCAAGCACGCACAATGTCACCCAATGTCACTCCTCTACTTACAAACATTCGACTTAAATTTTCCCGTTTGTAATTTATTTGGATTCGGACCAGCGTTACGTTATATCCGTTAAATCCGCTACGCTACGGTATCCAAGTCACTTAAATAGCGCACAATGGAGCGCTTTGTAACACCGATATCCATCCGATAACAAGCTCGTTGGTTTAGATAAGTGGTTCTCAAAGTGTGGTCCCCGGACCACCAGTTGTCCGTGATGGTCCTGCAGGTACAAATGCAGGTTAATCCTGAAATAGTCGTGGGTTTGATCCAGACCCTTACACCTGTATATTTGGAGTTTGCACGTACTCCCTGTGGTCGTGTGAATTTTTCTCCGGGTCCTCCGGTTTTTCCCTCCACATTTAGAATCAACATGCGTGTATACGGCTGCTATAAATTTCCACATAGTGCTAAGCCACTTCGTAGAGCTATCATTTGTGGCCAGGTCGCTTCTGAAAAAGAGCTACGTAGCTCAGTGGGACTTACCTGGTAAATAAAAAAATCGTTGAGTTTATTTTTTTAATGCTAACATTTTGTTTCAGACATTCATTAACATTTTACTTATGACATTTCATAAAAAATTTAGTTAGCTAAACTACCCTGATTAAACTACCTTAACCCTAAGATCTAAATGCCCTCCCCCCAAGGGAAAAAAAAAACTGTATAGCTACATTAAAGATCAATTTGTTTTTATGTTCCGATAATATTAATAATTTTGTACTAGTACTGGTCTTGAGAGTGAAAACTGAATGCGTTTTATCACCAGGGGTGTGTGGGGGGCTGGGTGATCCGCGGAAATGTTTGCATCGGCTAAGTAGTTGGCGGGCCTAAAAAAAAGTTTGCGAAACACTGGTTTAGACGAAGAAAGAAAAAAACTTGTTTTTGAAATTCTAATGAAAGCGTCGATACGTTTTGACATCATATTGGGCTACCTGATTCCAATTCCAAAGAACCTGCCCACTGAGCCTTGGGCATCATCAGTCGACCCGAAAAATCATAACGGTGATTTTTTTTATATTTCCCCTGTGCATGTAATGGCTAGATGATGGCCACTTCACGCCTTTGGGGGTTGTCGGGGGTTAATTGACTATTTGACCATACTGCACCGTTCTGGTCATTGTGGGTTAGTGGAGACGGGAGAAAATGTCGCACAGCCAACGATTACGCATGCCCAACGATTGCACAACTCCTGTTCTTAACAGATTTTGCTTGTGCGTGTCAACGAAACATTGATAAGTAACCAGCCACTGTTGAGTCTGTAGGTGTGTGTGTGTACACAACTGCTACACATGCCAACGTACTGCTTTACTTTTCTGATTAGTGGTTTCCTGGTTCATGAGTAGTTGAGCTACATATATTTTCACGGTCAACATGAGAGGGCGAAGTCAAGTCATTCCTGTTCATTCACATTAATTAATAAACATGTACGTCCCATGCATTGTTAAATTTCCCTGCTCTCCGCTGGGGAAACGTTCTTGTGACACAGCCAGTTCTGGATAGATCAGTGGTTGCAAGAATTAAGTTGCAAATTAATTTGTATTGTTCCGTGGTTTTTTCCGCTTTTATCCCGAGCGTGCTGTCGGCGTCATGCAATGAGACGAAGCATCCATTCGTAACTCCTACAGAGCAGTGCAACCCTTCATGTTAGATAACGGCCCATAGAAGCGGATAGCGCGGAACTATCTCCGCGGTCGTCCCACAAGTACTCTTTGGTCCACACACAGTAGAAAGCAGTACTTTCCACCTCCTCTGCGTATAAGAGCAATGTACATAGCATGACAGTCAAGCTAATATTTAATCCTCAGAGCTGGAAATTAGCTAAATGAAGCGCAGAGCAAAATTGAACGTGATGGAGTTTTTTGTGTGTGAAGTCATTTGTGAACGGGCTGAGACCATCAACGCACTAAATGTGAAACAAATGGACTGCTTCATTGCACCCAGCAGACTAATATGTGGCGATGTGATCTGTAGCTATTGCAGTCTATAATTCTATAAACATTTTCTGGGAATTTGTGGGCATTTGTCTTGACAGTCTGGTCACTCCAGGATTATAGTAATGCTATTAAATAAAGAGTAAAAGTGTTTTCATGCCCAAATGAGCATCAGGTTGTAATTATCTCGATTGGGAACTCTTTTCTAATAGTGGCGATTTACATTCCAGTGTCTGGCACCATTGCTTATTTCCCATAATGCATCTACACTAACAGCCATGGTCGGTGATCGATTTAAAATCCATCTAGTACCTGCCCATTGGAATGTGGCGTTCTACCGGTGACTCAGGACAGCCACGCACTACCTCAAACTCATTTGTCCCTGACTCAAGGCCAAGAGTTCACCTTGTGGCCAATGCTTTGGCTGCCACCATTGCTTTCTTCACTTTGCCACACCCCACAGCCGTTCCACAGCCGACACCCGACCTATACAATCTATCCTCACAGTATCACACCGTGAAGTTAACACGCGGGGCCCCGCTCTGTCCCGATCTCTTCCCTCATTCTTTCCTCCGTGCAGTCGGATATTGACATTGTGCACGGCGGAGCCATGCTGGGCCCATACTGTGAGGGCGGGCGGCCGGTGAGCGAGGCGTGGGTGGACGGCGGCGTGTCCCCCTGTCTGTACCGCACGCTGTGCGGGGCTGTGCCGCCGGGCGCCCTGCTGCTGCTGGGCGCTGTGCAGGGCGTCCGCTTTGCCCGCCGTGCCGTGCTCATGGAGCCCAAGTTCGTGCCGCGATCGCTGCTGCACCGCCTGCAAGTTCTGCTCACCGTCGCCATGGCGGCGCTCGCGGTGAGTTTCCCTCCTGGGCTCTGGATCTGGGGTGTGTTCCCAATTTTAGGATTATTACAAAAAAAATAATCCGAAAATTAGGTCAAAAGATGAACATTTGGACTATTACAATGTTTTTGTCTGTTTTGGATTAAACCGAAAAATGTACTTCATGGGAAGTGATGCCCTTTGTATTTTTCCAATTACTCCACAATGATGTGGAATTTATACCAGTACCTCTGGGCTTCAGCAGATATGGGTGCTGGAGTATTGTTACTTTGTTAATAGGTAGACCATGCATGTGGGACAAAGTCACGCAGTGGTTTGAGACTGGTTCTGCAAGGGGAAGGCTGAACGGAGCCATCTTTCTGGCAGAAGGAAGGAAGCAAAGCTCACTTGCGGCAGCGTCATTGGCATTGGGTGCGGTGAGCTCTTGACCTTGATTACTTAAAACAAATATCAGTTATCTATATATGCGTGCATGTGGTCCTAAATAGTTTTACATGAAGATACCGAATTCGATCTTAAGTCAGAGTGGTTGTATTATTAGTTGGATTGTAGTCATAATAGCATATTTGGCTTTCTGAATGTAAACACAAAAAATAGGCCAAATATCTTGTCTGTTTATGTACGTTCATTATTAACCACGGACACTCAGTGCATGGCTATTCACATTCGTGGGTGACAAAAATATTCTAGGAACACATCCAATTGTTAAGGAATCGATGGGTGAGAGGTCTTAAAATGTTCCCGTTTACATAATTGCCACTCAAGTTATAATGCGGCACACATTGCCCGCTCTTGTGTATATTGCCACTGGGTGTTATGAGAATCAGAATATTTATTTATACTGGAGGAATCTGATGAGCTATGATGCTATTTTCCACAGATGTCCATTTTCGAATAGAAGCTGCTGTTTGCATGGGAGAGCTGTACAGCACAACTGTGAAAACCTGCATATTAGTATCTACTAGACATCTGTGAAAAAAAGCTTTATAGCTCATCGGATTCTTCCAGTATAAATAAATATTCTAATTCTGAGTTCCTGCCAAAATTATCCTGCCACTAATGCAAGAATCAAATACAGTCTGCTCTATAATTCTGTGTGTTTTTCTTCTTTGGTTCTTTCGGTAAAGTCACGTAGAATTAGAATAAAATAATAAATTGATCAGGTGACGAAGGCCGCTTGTGTTGTGGCCGAAACGTCGTGAGAATTTTATTGTGTTAGTTTATTTTATTATATTATTTTATTCTCATTCTACGTGACTTTACCGAAAGAACCAAAGAAGAAAAACACAGAATTATAGAGCAGACTGTATTTGATTCTTGCATTACCAAAAGAACCAAAGAAGATGAATCCTTGCAGTCACGAAAGCTTTAAATCGAAATCTGTGTGTTTTCATTACGCGAATTGGATATAACGCGATGAATGTATTAGGGAGCACATTTTTTTATAACGCAAATGTGAAATAGATATAATGCGATTGAATGAACAGAACTCCGTCGCGTCAGTAGGAATAAGCGGTTGTACGGCTGCCTCGGCGTAGCATCACACAAGGTGGGATGCTTCTGGATGCTACCCACGTGCCTCGGTCTTTGTTTAGCCTGCAAACGCATCTCACGTGTTATCGCAGACTGTACTTTACGCTACATTATATATTATTTACTATAACGCGATTTTCCTTAACTCGGTGTTCTTTAGGAACGCAACCACCGCTTTATAGGGGAACGGACTGTAATTGGAATCGCATCTTCCCGTCTAAATCCCCGATCGTCGATGCCCGTGTGTCGTACCCGCAGGTGGCGTACGGCGCGTACCATGGCGCGACCGCACGCGGCGGCGTCGCGGGCTCCGTCGTGGCGTACGCCACTCTGTCTGCGGTGGGCTGGGCGGCCTCGCTGGCGCTGCTGGGCCTCGAGAGGCGACGCGCGCTGCCGGGAGACCGCGTGCGCGGCCATGGCGCCGCGCTGCTGGGGTTCTGGGGGCTGGCGTTCGCGGGAGACACCGTCGCCTTCGTCTCGTGGAGCAGCGAGCTGTGGTGGTGGCGGCTCGGCAGCAGCGAGCAGAAGGTTACGCGAGCTGTCAGCAGTGTGTATGGGTGTACAGTGTGTTGAACTTCTTTCGCACCGTACGTGGCCAACTGCGCTAATTGCAAGTGCCGGGGAAGGACAACAAAACAAAAATATCTGTTCTAAAGAAATTAGTTTTCAAGCTAGATTTTAAATTGCATAGCACAAGTGGCTTCCAATTTTCAGAATGAAGAGCGTTCCAGACGGCCGCTTAAGCGCACCTGAAAGCACGCAATGTGGTGACCGCCCTTGCCTCTGAGTTAGTGGAAACCTGGATTCCATTCCCGGGTTTGATTCGTGCTCCGGTCTCGTATAACTCATTTGTCCGGCCAAGTGGAGCTGCGGTTAGAGTCTTCAACTTACCACCAGTTTTTGGCATCCCACCGGTGGTTGTCCTGCGCAGGATATCTCTCCATAATTGGCCAATAGCATGAAGTGCTCGAGTAGGAACAATATTCTAGAGTTTACCTACCGCTTGAATTATATGAGTATCTAAAGACAGATTGCCACTGCTATCGTAATTTTTGCTACTACAGCCATTCTTATCATCACCATCTCGTTTCTGCTCCTGCCGCCATATCAGGAATGGTTGTTGATGCCTCCTCCAATTTCTGTGACGCTCTCCACACTTGGCTGAAACCTCTCATCGGCAGTATACAGCTGACGTCACTGTACGATATATTCTTCACATCTCGGCTTTGGAATTTCCTTCCTCTGCCTTTCAACCTCAGTCCAGCAGTTAAATGATCATTGCTCCTGCTGATGATGATGATAATGCGATACAAGTCAAGAACTTAGCTGTAAATGTGGCATTCCCAACACAGAATTTGGGCGGTCATTGGAGAGGAGCACCACTTGTATAAGCAAAGAGACATCTTCACTTGCATTCCAGTTTTGCTGTAAACATAAAGTAAAATTGGCTGTCTTAGAACTCTGGTATGCAGTCAGGCAAACTTTCGATGGCGGGCAGCGATTGTGTTGCTATAACTAAGCTTCCTTATGCCTGAGTCTTCAGATCCAGTTTGTCTACTTACATCTGCAGTAACTTCCCGCTTGGGTACCATGTTAATAATTTTGTTGTTTGCCCTTGTTATGTTACACATTCCCACCCTGCGATGTCCTGTCACTGCCGTTATTGCTGACGGGTCTTGGGCTGTGGTCGTCCTTGCATTGCACCAGATGCTGAGCTCAGTGGGCCCTACCGGCCGAAGTCTGTAGGGCTCTGTCTAAATATATGGGTCGTTATATTCTTGGTTCTTTCGGTAAAGTCACGTAGAAAGTCACGTAGAAGGGAAACAATAAAATAATAAAAATAAAAAATTGTTTCCCTTCGTCGTGACTTTACCGAAAGAACCAAGAATATGAATCCCTGCAGTCACGAAAGCTTGAAATCAAAATATGGGTCGTTGTATGACTGTGTGTAACTCTACGGATATGTACGTAACTCTGTGGCTCTGTATGTAACTCTCTGTAACTGCAATGTCATGTAATTGCTGCTACTCGGCTCTCGGGCTGTGGTCATCCTTGCAAAAGACCTGCTTCGCTCACTGGGCCTTTACCGGCTGAAATAAAGTCGCGAGTCTGTGTTTCTGCATATGAATCGATTGGCGGTAGCCCGGGTCACCGCAAAATGTTGGTGGGCCGGGCATAGTTTAAGGTTTTTTTCTGGGAGCATCGCTGGTACTACCACCCTGTCTTGCCGGAGGGCGACGCTGGGAGCGATGATGACGACGATGTCGATCCTGCCAGCACGACTGTGACCACCGGCCGTACCAAGAGAGCACCTGGTGCGCCATTGCCTCCAAGTGGTCTCGCTCCCAAAGACAAGGGGGTGGCCGCCCCGTAATAAGCAGAACGTGCTGGGGAATGGCCAGACCAGCATCCTGATGTACTTTCACAACAAGTGATAAACAGCCGTTGCCACGCACAAATCCCCAGCAGGCCCCCTTTTTTATGGGTGTTTTGCGTGTGTTTTTTATTTCCATATTTGGCGTGCGTATCGGGCTTGGTGACATCTCCCGTCTTCATAGGCCTTCTGGTTTCAGAGTTAAGGAGGTTTTAGCACCCCCGGGTCACGATGGTGATCCGGGTCACCGCCAATCGATTCATATGCCGGTATCGCGGCAATTGAGGAGGATTCCGCAGTAGAGGATAACTAATCATTTCTCACGGCTCTATAGATGGAGCAATCCGTGCCTAGGAGGAGCGGTTAAACAATGACACTGCAAAATGATTCAAAAAGGAAGTGTGCCACAAAGGAAGCACTTTGCAAGGCCGCCATGCTATTTTTAGGCTCCGTTTACTCAGTGCACAGGTCATGCAGGTCCAGTGTGCAGTGATAGTTACACAATAATCCGTCGTGACTGTGCACTTTTCTGCAGCGTGCCTAGTGGCGTTTTTTTGCTGGGTCATGTTTGTCTGAGTCAGCCGTGTTTTAAACAACCAATACAAGACGGCTGGGAGCCACCCACACCTTACCACCAAGCTCAATCCAGCAGTATATTGATCCTACTTTGTGTTATTTCTGTCTTGTAATCATTACTCTTACATCATGAGACCTCCTTTGCCAGTAGAAAAATATAATAATAGGTTGTTTACCCTTTTATCTGGCACAAAACTGACACCTTTTTACAAGGGATTATGTTTGCAGTAACCACAATACCTGCAGTCAAAATTCAAACAAACAACAGCACTCTGATAATGTATGCCTTTTGGCGTCATCTGGTCGAACACCATGTGAGACTGGGCTCAAAGAAATCTGTCTCTGGTGTGGACCAATCAATTTCAAGGAAAATGCAAACATCAGAGTGCTGTTTTTTGTTTGCATTTTGACGCAGGTATTGTGGTTACTGCAAACATGATCCCTTGTAAAAAGGTGTCAGTTTTGTGCCGGATAAAAGGGTAAAAAAAAACTATTATTATTCATTACTCTTCTTTGGCAGTTGCTATTTGCTTGTCTTCAGTGTCTGTTCATCAGTAACATTTGAAACCAATTTCAGGTGATAGCAGTGGGGTAAGTTACACTGGTTATTTCGATTAATTAGATTATTTGACTGCTATAAATGTCACATGATAAGCCACTACGTTGAGCTATCACTTATCGCCAGGTCGCTTCTGCAAAAAGAAGCCAATAGCTCAGTGGCTTCACCTGGTAAAATAAAAAGAAATGTGAATTTTTATTTGTTTAGTTATTTCTTTACCTTTCTGATATTTTGTGTGTACTGTTTTGTTGTTGTAACTTTCTCACCCACCCCTCCTGGATATCTGTGAAAAAAGAGCTTTGTAGCTCATGGGATTCCTCCAGTATGAATACAGATTCTGATTCGTGGAATTATGTAAATATTTGAAGATCATTGTTGCGGGCCCTTCGTAAGCTTGGGGCCTTGGTACGATGCCCACAGCTCACTGCCATCCGCAATTTAGGGTTAGCATGTCGTGTTTACTTCACGTAGCTTTTAGCGAGTCATCATTCTCAAAAGTGTGTTCACAGGGTGAATGATTCCAAGCCCCAATACAGCAACCTGTGGTTAAAGGGTCTCCTTGCTCACTGCCCCCTTCCCCTCACTCCCCCGTTTTTCCCTCCCCATTTGAATCTTCATCGTCCCCCCAACACGGGGTGCCCACATGGTTGGAGGCAGCAGGCCTCATCATTCCCCCCCCCTCTTCCGTGTGGTCCCGTTGTGCCGGGACAGGCACTGGCAGTGCCAGTGGGGGAGGGGTGGGGTGGCACGCTGCCCCCCCAATGATCCGATCGAAATCCCTAATTTTGATCGGATCATTGGGGTTTATTAGTAATACATCGGCATTTTGCGACCCCCACTGCCACTGTGTAGCATAGTATTACGTGCCAGGGACTCTATGAGATGATAGGGCAATAGTCAGAGTCCATAATTGGCAATAAGTAACGGCAAAGCAGTTATAAGTGACTGACATAATTGTGCGCAGTTGCGTATACAGAGCACGACTTCCCTGAAGGCATCAACACCTTCAGCGAGCGCGATGCCGATCATCACACAACGCGGTTCGAATTCGACCCTCGATCGATGGCTGCGCCATCGCCGCACACGCGTCGAATAAAAAACAAGGGGCAAGTCCTTACTTACTAACAACTCCATTCATTTTTCATTGTTGGAGGGGTTGGACCCCCTACCTGAAAATCCTGGCTCCACCATGGGGACAGGAATTGTCGCAGTAACCCTCTCGTTGGAACCTTTCGGCATGTTTTATTGGGCTCCCGTTTTGTTGTAATATGAAAAAATATATATTTGCTCAAATAAGTGTAGGATGGTGGTCATGCCTGCTGGTGACCTTGAATGACTAGTATATATTCCACGTCCCTAGGACAATCACTGTTGACGTCTTTATTTTACTTTATTTATTTTGCTTTACGGTACTTTATTTTGTAGACCATGGAGGCACGATGGGCTGAATACAGGTTTTTTTTGGGTTGGTTTGTAAACCCCACGACATGTGTTCGAATTTAAAATGTTGTGGATTTAATCTCCAATACGCCGGTGTGCTGTGCTTGCAACTAATTGGTACGTTTTGGTTTCCATGGCAAACCTTCATAATTGGCTGTGTCGGTTGGTGGTGGGTTTCATGACACATTTATATTCTTACGATCTAGCCAAAAAAAAAAACCTCTGGATAATATTGGTCACGTGTTAAAATGGTGGGCTGAGTTAACCTCTATTAATTTTATTCTTTTAAATAGCCTTCACAGCATGATTCAGTTCCACGAGTCTATGCAATCATAACATATTTGTATACATCGTAAAATAGTAAATTACATTTATAAAGCACCTTTCTACGAGGTACTCAAAGCACTGCACGTTACAAAAATTACATTGATCACATTGCATTGTGACGCTTCTAGTGGCTACATACGTCCACGTACAAGTTGATACTACAGAAATCGATTTTCACTCTCATGATTCAAGGCTTGCATTGTGAGAGCAAGAATCGATTTTAATCTGAACAATTATCGTTACGCCCCTACTTTACATGAAACAAGGCGAGTGTCTGCATGATTATTTATTCCTTGCCTCTCGGACAAGCGAGTCAGCTCAAGCTAGCTCAAGACGGTCATGTTATGTGAATATCCTGAGCAACCCCCCCTCTCTCTATTTACGGCCTCGACAGAGAGGCATTGGGTCTCTGTGTATCTATGTTGTGTGTCTCTCTCTGTGTTGTCTCTCTCTGCTTGTGTGTCTGTCTGTGTCTCCGTGTCTGTGTTTTGTCTCTTTCTCAAATTTAGTTCTACCTGATGACGGTTGCTTGTGTTGCAATCGAAACGTCGTATTCTGTTATTTAATTTATTTTCTTTCTACGTGACTTTACCGAAAGAACCAAAGAGTAATCCTGAGCAATCATCGCCCCCTCCGGTTCTTCGCTCGACATTTAGAAACGTGTTCAGAGTAATTTGGCTGCTATAAATGTCCATGTGCTTGAGCTGTCCACTTCGTTGAGCTATCGTTTGTGGCCAGGTCGCTTCTGAAAAAGAGCTACGTAGCTCACTGGGCCTTACCTGGTAAGATAAAATAAAAATAGTTTAATTGGCAGACTAACGACCGTTTGTGGGCCAGGTGCCGAGTCACCTTGTGCCCATAGGTACAGCTGCCGTTGAGGGAGCCCTTTGAAATGTTTTATATGCGATACGATGTAAAGCACTCTGACATACTCCAGCATCAAGGGTGTTGTATCAAAAACAAATGATATTTTTTGATGGCCACTCAAGATTGAACTCGATGCACAGATGCCAACATTACCTGCTCTATAAAATAAAGTTGTGTAAGTTTGATTTTTCATCTGCTTAATTCGGCTACAGCGTTAACAACACACAGAGGTGTGCGATGTTTACAAAGGTGTGTTGCATGTTCAAAGGCTCTCGGTCTTAAGCAGACCACCAGCTCAAATAACTAAATGTGTGGCCATTATTTTATTTAGATCGCCAATCAAGGAGTTGAGAAAATGTGGCCAGTTCATCTCCGCTGACCGTGATGTTCGCAACTCCCTCTCCCTGGCTTGCTTTCCCAAAGAAGATGCAACCCGAGAAACAAGGGAATTATCTCAGAGATACACACTTAGGCTGTGTACCTAGGCTGTCTGCCTTTATAGTTACTGTCAGGAATGCCATTATGGCACTCGCTGTGATGTCAACTACCTGTGCCACTGTTACAACACAGCCAAATTGTATTGTAACTGATTTGTAACGTTGGTGAGAGTATTATATGACCAGTGTATGGATGGTGTCTTGAATCCGACTGACTTTGGACCCTGGGTGTTGTCGCCAAATTGTACTGTGTTTCTCTTCTAACATTGGTAAGTGTAACGTGAAATTCTGACTTTGGATGACGTGTGTCTTGCAGTTTGGCTTTGCGCTGCTGTGGCCATGGCCAAATTGTATCTTGATAGTTTCGTTCCGTTGCTTTGGTACGTGTGCTGGATGACTGACGGCATGCGGTCGGCCTGTGTCATGCAGGTTGACTTTGGGCTGTGGCTGTCCCGCTTCGTGTGCGGCCTGGCGCTCTTCATCCTGGGGCTGCGGGCGCCGGGGTTGCCCCCCCGACCCTACTCCGTGCTCATCAATGAGGGCGAGCGGGACGTGGAACAGGCGAGGGTGAGGGCCTCCACTCGTCGCTCCTCTTCACCCGTCACTGCTCTTCACCCGTCGCTCCTCTACATTTGTCGCTCCTCTACACTCGCGGTTGCCCTTTATTTGTCGCTCCCCTTCACTCGTCGCTCCTCTTCACCCATCACGACTCTTCACTCCTTCTCACCTGAATCTTGGCAGCGCAGATCGCGAACGCTCCACGTGTTCATCAGGGATACTGCCACCGGCCATGCGGCTCTGTAGTGGAGCGAGCTGCTCACGATCGGAAGGTCGCGAGTTCAAAATCTTGTTTGGGGGTTGACCGAGCCCATCATTCTTCACTGTGAGGTCGATAAAATAGGTACCACTTTTGGGGGGAATAAGCAGATGCAGTCCTGTGGATAGACTTTCTTCCACCGTAGGAATGTGGAATTTCTACCACTGCCTCAGGACTTTAAACTGGAGATGAGCACCGCCTCAATGCTCATTTGAGCGGGAAATCACTCACTAAAAGTGACCCTTTAACAGAAGAGAACTGTGATGAATGTGTTATTGGCAAATGTGACGAGTTTTTGTTCATTGTGCTTGTGCACCGCTGCCAATGCAGCGTCATTGCATCTTTGTTTGGTATTGCAGATAGGTTTGCTCGATTGTTGAGTTTTCTTAATTTTTTTACGGAATCGATTATTAATTACAAAACTCACGGATTTTGTAAGATTGCAGTTCAATTTGAGTAATGATCAAGCCAATGTAAATGTGTGAACGTTCAAACGGCATGGCTGGATTCCATTGTGATTAGTTACGTGACAACCCATTACATGTGTAGTGAGTCCAACTGAGTCGCAGACGTTGTCTTGGGAGCAACACTATTTATTCCACCAACTCAACACACAACATAACGTAACCTACACTCGGGTGTTGAACGCCCATCTAGCCACGCTACGGCAGAACTAGACACGGTTCGCTATCCCGGCCCGGACCACGAGCTGGGACCCAGAGCGTGTGGCTCGAGGCTTCTTTAACCCGACGTGGATCTTCTTCACCAGCAACCCGAAGAACCCCGAGCCCCTCACGGGGGGGGGGCCCGTTATATCGGCCTGGGCTGGGGCTGGCTCCGCCCCTCGCCCCGCCCACCTTCTAGATCTCTCTGGCCCTTTCCCGAAGGCTGCCGAGAGCTCTTTTATACCACGTGACCGCCCATCGGCCCCCGTCCACCGGTGGCCCCCCTCCAATATCATCCGATCACGTGTCGACAGGTCAACCGGCGTATCATGCCCCAACGTAACCCTGGCTGGCTGACGCTCCCTCTCGCTCCCTCACCAGGAGCCCGCACCGCACACCGTACGTGGTGTCTCCTCGCTCACCAGTGCTCACCCAAGCCCCGCTAGGGCTGGTGGTACTACGCCCAGTAAGCGGGCTACACATAATGACAACACAACATCCGCCGTGGCTTCGTAAGCCCGGCACCACGCGGTGACATTCACAATCACTACGCATAGAAAAAACATGTTTAAAAGGTCTTGCTTTCAATAATCGGTGGGAGGGTGACTTGGCCCATCATTTGTGTGAAGATTATAAAATTGTTGCCACTTAATTGGCACTTGACAGTGGTCTCATAATTAAAATACTGCCTTCCACCTTGGAATTGGGGAATGTCTAAGAGTAATCGGGTAATCGTACTACGTTTCTCTCCAAAGTAGCCCTCATGACCCGAGTTGACTGTAGCAATCGTAATTTGGTCATCGTTTTTAATTGTAATAATTATCTTGGTGTAGTTGACCAATTCGAAAAAAAATTGTCCACCCATAATTACCAGATATTGGTGTGAGGGTCATGCAATTTTCCCTACACAAATATTATTAATTACATCTCTTTCTATATCGTCAATTACCCTTGTTTGGTCTTTGTACTTGCACTGCATTCTTTCATGACATTACAAATTATCTTAATTGTGGTTATCCAGAACAGACCGTACAAGATATAACTACGCAATACCTGATCCACAAATATGAAGGAGACATCACAGTGAATACATTCCGCTGCTCCTGACGCAGTTATCTGGCTTGACCACCTGAATACGAAATTGTAGTTGTTGCTCTGCATCAATGGATCAGCCATATGATAGAAGAATATCAGAGTCAGTCGTGCTGGCAGCCATTGTCATCGTCACGCTTGATGATTGGCACCCATTCTTAGTCCATCGCGGACTAAAACAAATCAAATAGAGAAACGCCCCGTTGACGATAATTTTGTCAACGTGGTGTTTAGTTTCGATGAGCATCATTGGCTACGTACAGCGCGCGAAAGAAGTTCAACGCGCGTACAACGCGCAACCTATTTCCGTCAGCGATTTCGTTCCAACGAAAAATCAACGGGAACGCTTTTCCATTTGCAGCCCCTGCTGGGGGACGCTGGTGCGGCGCGAGCGGCGCCGAACGCCTCCGCGTGGACCGACTTCCGCAAGAAGGTGCGCCTGCTGGTGCCGTACATGTGGCCGCGGGGCAGCGTGCGTCTGCAGCTCGCCGTGCTGCTCTGCCTGGTCATGCTGGCGGGCGAGCGCGTCGTAAATGTGTTCGTGCCGCTCTACTACAAGAACATCGGTGCGTGGCCTGCTCCCCCCCCAAAAAAACAAAAACAATACAAAAAAAAACGATAGCAGTGCAAAATAGAGAAAAGGTTAGCAAGTCACGAAGATTAAACAATAATAAATAGCTAAGTTACTCTGCCAGCAGTGGGGTGATGGGTGCTAATGTGTAATCACAGTTGTATTTGACTTACACCTACTCTGTTGGCTGGTTCGTGGAACCTCGGTAAAACAAGAATCGGTTTTGCGAATTTAATCTTCACCCCAACATCGTGATTTGCAATGTAAAGTAAGTGGGCGAGGGTAAGGATGTATCGGTCGCAGGGGATGGTGGCCAGTGGTCAGGATTCAAGATGACACGGAGACACCCACAGCAGGGAATGCTTTGTCTAGTTATTTTGGATGTATTGTGTTTTGACCAACAAAAAAACCTGATGGAAATGAATATTCACCAACACTAGAATAAGTACCCTATGTTATTCACATCATTTATTCATTCCCTTCACACAGTCGGCCAACAAATATGAACTTGAAATCGAGCCTCCAAGTATTTATAGCGCTCTGTCGCTAATGCACGCATGCATGTGTCAAAAATAGGTCACTGTTCACCGGTGGTTGTAAGGCAGTATGTAAGGCGTTGCATCTACTTAGGAATGCTTTTTGTAAATGTTTGCCTTTCCCTCCCAATATCATGAGACCAGTGGTCCGTTTGCAACTCTCGCATAAGCAATTCGTCACCCTCATGTTGTCGACCAAACAGCAAAAATGAGATACCAGAGAACTACTGAAACCTCAGATGACCTCTTATCCACGCTTATCGGGCAGAATTTTCCCACCCACCCTGCCCCATAAGCAGTATTTGGAATGTTCGTCACAAACTGATGTTTGAAATTTGCCAGATTTACAATTCATACAAATTGAGTACATGGCTAAATTTTACAAACATTTTTGTTTACGTGTGTGTGCAGTCATTGGCAACCAAGCCGAGTGCGACCAGCAACCGGCTCCACTTGAGAGCCATATTTAACCAATGGGTGCCTGCCCAGATTCAAACCCAGCACCTCAGCGGTGCCAGCTCTATGTGTGCCGACATTTGAGCCAACAGGCCGCCTTTTAAAAACAATGGCACATTGGACTTTACTTCCTACCCCATAAGCGTGTGATTTGTCCCATTTTCACTTATTGTTCGTTATTTATCCATAAAGCCACACTAAGCCCAATGACTATTCCTTTGGGGCACCACTTTGGGGAGATGTTGACTACTTCGCCTGATATACAGGAGGTCGTGGGTTCGATCCTGGCCATGACGCCTGTATATTTTGTGTTAGCATGTTCTCTCTCTCTCTCTCCATGGTCACGTGGATTTTTCTCTGGGTCGTTCGTTTTTTCCATCCTAGAAACATGCATTTAGAGTATTTGGCTGATATAAATTTCCACGTGATGAGCCACTTAGTTGAGTTATCATTTGTGGCCAGGTCACTTCTAAAAAAGAGCTATATAGCTCAGTGGGCCTTACCTGGTAAAATAAAAAGTTTAATCAAAAATAGTTTCTAGAAGGGCCCAATACCAATTGCAATGTAATGTTTGTGGCCATGGGAGGAAACTGAAGAACCCAGAGGAAACCCATGCAAAACAGAGGGTAAACCGTATACGCTCCACACAGAAAGGTGCTCGAGTCAGAAATCGAACCCAGGCCATTTTTTGCTGCAATGCACAATTATTACTACTGCTCCACCCTGCCCACCGCAAAGACCCATTGAGGAAGGACGAATTCACGTTTTCACGGCGACCATAATCAACGCTGCCCCTTGTCTCTTCCCGTGGTGGATCACGCAGTGAATGACCTCACGCAGGAGGCTCCCTGGAGCACCGTGGCCTGGACTGTGGTCACCTATGTGGGGCTCAAGTTTCTGCAGGGCGGAGGGGCGGGTATGTGTGCACTTGAGCGTGGCCTCGCTGTCGAGCTCCTTTCAGCGGTCGTTTTTTTGGTTTTTAAGCGAGTTGCCGGTTCGTTTGCGAAGTAGGCTTTTGGGTAAACGTTTTCAACGATGGTAATAATAATAAAAAAGCAGAATAATAAGTGGAACGGCCTCACCTTGTTTGTCTCGCCCTTTTGCCTCCTTAACACCGGGCAACTCGGCATTGTTTATTAAACCGGCCTCTCCTTGCTGATGAGTCCAGTGCGCCCATTGGTCAGTGGTCTTCAGTAAATCTGTTTTACTTGGCAATGAAGCAGATGCCTACTGCAGTGGTTGACTTTTGAATAGATTGACCCTAGCCATGAGAATGTGGAATTTCTACCACTGTTGCAGGACCACCTACAGCGATGAGCATGGTCACATTGCACATCTCAGCAAGGAGACATTTCGAGAGAGGCATTGTACATGCGACGACGAACATCCGACGACGAACATCCAAATACGTTGATGATCGTGCTCCTGTTAAGAGTCGCATGTGAATATTTTGAAATCTGGCAGGTGGAAAGTATCAACGGCATCCCATGGCGGCTATAGCTGCCCGATGCCTTTTCAGGTTGCGTGTTGCTCGGCACAGTATCTGACATTTCGCCGCAACGTGCTGGAAGCTTCTTCGGGAACCGAATCTATTCACTGAAATCCATTCGGTCGAACACGGTGTGTGTGTGTGTGTGTGGTGTCGCACCCACAATTCCTCTCCCTACTCATTCCCTTGCTGAAATGTGCAGTGTGTCGGTGCATCTGGCGTTGAAGCTCGTGGTGGAAATTCCACATTCTTATGGCCTATCCACCGATCAACCACTGCAGTCGGCATCGTGCTTCGCCATCGAAACCACTGCAAACTTTCTGAGTAGCTATCTTACAAAGAGATATGTAGTGCCTTATTCGAAGTCACTTTACAGAAATTAGAAAATTGTACGTGGGATTAACGGTGATTGAGATAAAGAGTGGGGTTATTACAAATGTAGTTATGGTAACAGGAGAATGAGTAGGAGAGGTTAAGGAGGGGTTGGGGTAGGGGGGAGTGATAGAGGTAGTGATAGGGGTAGATGTAGTGATAGGGGTTGGGATAGTGGTAGTGATAGGAGTAGTGACAGGGATTGGGATAGTGATAGGAGTAGTGACAGGGGTTGGGATAGTGACAGGGGTAGTGATAAAGTAGTGGTTCTTAACCTGGGGTGTGTGACATGCCAAATTTTTTTAGAAGGTAAATCATCGAAAGCATAAATTAAGCACGGGAACCTAAGTACAACTACTTTTGATTTAAAGCTTTCGTGATTGCAGTGATTCATATTCTTGGTTCTTTCTGCAAAGTCACATATATTTTATTATTTTATTGTTTCCCTTCAACGTGACTTTACCGAAAGAACCAAGAATACAACTACTTTGTTTAATCAAACTCTATGTATTTATTAACATTATAAATTTTTCATCGATTGAGAACCAAAGGGGTGCAAGGCTGTAGTAAAGGTTAAGAACCACTGTTTTCGAGGCAGGGGTAGTGACAAGGGTAGTGATAGGGGGTAGTGATCGGAGTCCAGGTAGGCCTGGTCATAGCTGGGGGGGTGAGGGCAGGGAGTAGCAGCAGTGGTATAACAGCTTTCCTCCCCGTTCTTGTCTCCGTGCCTCCACCCCTCCCACCGCGTGTCGTGGAGCAGGCTCGTCCGGCTTCATCAGCAACTTGCGCACCTTCGTGTGGATCCGCGTGCAGCAGTTCACGAACCGCGAGGTGCAGGTGCAGCTCTTTGAGCACCTGCACTCGCTGTCGCTGCGCTGGCACCTGGGCCGCAAGACGGGCGAGGTTCTGCGCAGCGTCGACCGCGGCACCAGCAGTATCAACAGCCTGCTCAGGTGCGTGCGTGCGTGTTCCTCAAGTGCGTAGGAGGACTCGGGTCTTAAATGAGTACCCTGTGCGGCGTGTGAATGTCATCAGCACCGGGGAGAGGAAGGCGGCTGGGCATGGTGGTGCCGGCCACCCACCCTTCCGTGTGCCATGCTGGCCTTAATAGGTGCTCATTGACAGGACTTGCTTCTCTAGTGTATGTGTGTTTGTTTGCCAGGTGTGTGTGTTTGTGTCTCAGGTGTGTGTGTGTCTCAGGTGTGTGTGTGTCTCAGGTGTGTGTGTGTTTGTGTCTCAGGTGTGTTTGTGTCTCAGGTGTGTTTGTGTCTCAGGTGTGTGTGTGTCTCAGGTGTGTGTGTGTGTCTCAGGTGTGTGTGTGTGTCTCAGGTGTGTGTGTGTTTGTGTCTCAGGTGTGTTTGTTTCCCAGGTGTGTGTGTCTCAGGTGTGTGTTTGTTTCTCAGGTGTGTGTGTCTCAGGTGTGTGTGTGTGGCACAGGTGTGTGTTTTTGTCGCAGGTGTGTGTGTGTGTGTGTTTGTTTCTCATGTGTGTGTGTTTGTGTCTCAGGTGTGTGTCTCAGGTGTGTGTGTGTCTCAGGTGTGTGTGTCTCAGGTGTGTGTGTGCCTCAGGTGTGTGTGTGTCTAAGGTGTGTGTGTGTGTGTCTCAGGTGTGTGTGTGTCTCAGGTGTGTGTCTCAGGTGTGTGTCTCAGGTGTGTGTCTCAGGTGTGTGTCTCAGGTGTGTGTGTGTCTCAGGTGTGTGTGTGTCTCTAAGGTGTGTGTGTGTCTCTAAGGTGTGTGTGTGTGTCTCAGGTGTGTGTGTCTCAGGTGTGTGTGTGTGTGTCTCAGGTGTGTGTGTCTCAGGTGTGTGTCAAGTGCGTGTGTGCGCGTGCTTCTCCGGTATATGTGTGTCTCAAGTGTGGGTGTGTGTGCGCGTGCTTTTCCGATGTGTGCGTGTGAGAGATGAGCGAGCATGCCAGCCTTCGCATGTAACGGTTCTCCCGCTTAGCGATTTGACAAATTGGATTCAATAATTTATTTTTGTATTTTTTTTCATCTCGCCTATATTGTGTCTAGTTTGTTCCATCTCCATTCTACACCGTTATCGAAATGCAGCATGCACATAGCATTTGCTTACAAGTTGCATACAATGTAAATAATCAGCTTTTACATGCACAATCCCATGCGTGTGTGTTGTGAGCCTCATTCTATAATGAAGTCTCCCAGAATAAACTCTTGTAACGATTGCGTTATCTCTGAATGCGTAATTCGTTGTGGTCCTGCAGCTACATTGTGTTCAGCATTTTGCCCACGATCGTTGACATCGTGATCGCCATCATCTACTTCGTCACGTTCTTCAACGCCTGGTTCGGCCTCATTGTCTTCGTCTGCATGTGCGTCTATCTCGGTGAGTGGAGGCTCACCCACTCTGGGTGGCTACCAGCACAGGCTCAAGGCCTGACCACTATCACCATTAACACAGACCCCAGACCTCACCACCAGCATTAACACAAGCCCAAGACCTGAGCACCACCAGCAATTAACATAGACCCAAGGCCTCACCACTACCATCATTAACACAGACCCAAGACCTCGCTATCACCACCGTGAACAATGTCTTATAATGGCCGAGCAGCAGAAGGTTATGAATTAATTCAAAAGCCAAGTCAGGGTTCTTCTTAGTCCTTTTACAATGGTTTTTATTGATTTATTTTAACACAGTTGCTGAGCACAAGGCTAAGGCCCAAAACGTCGTGTGTCCAGCAACAGCCAGCACTATCACAGTTTTGATAGATACGAATTAAGTGAAGTTATAAGAGCTTGAAGAAAAGAGACCCTGGGAGGAAATTCCATGATGTAAAGCGGTGCTTGGGCAGAAGGATAAGAGTCTCTTTGTGACCTGCAGGACATTGTGTGAACCCGGTGTGGATGGGATGAAACGGTCGGTGTGATAGAGTGCTTGACCATCGGTGGACGACCTCAATGAGTGAAGCTCAGAGGGGAACTGTAACCACGGTACTGGCAGTAGAAGAGTAATTAGTTTGGCGACCGCCCGCAAGAGAGCGACTAATTGGTGGTTGCACCCCAGGAGCTGTTTGCGGCATTTACGTTTGTTGCACTTGATCCTGTTGTTTTGTTTCGATGTATTTACTCTGATCCGAGTGCCTTTTGAAAACAAGACTCCTGGTCTGAGGTGGGGGCCCTCCCTCGCTTGCTCTCAAGTAACAAACACTCAATACGTTTGTCGACAACACTGACCCGAAAGGGAAATAAAAATAAAATGGCGAAGTTTTGGGCAATGGCCCTTGCTCTGAAGGAAGAACATTGCCCCAAATTTCACCTGTTATATATTATTATTCCTATTTTTGGTACGTTTTATTGTTGGATTTGTTGGGTTTTTGTTATTTGCGTTTGTGCACCACTGCAAATGCAGTATCAAGGGAGATTGGTGCTGCCATGAGTGATCGTGAATAACAGCACTGATGATGAAGGTTTCAAACCACTTGTCAATTTGTTTGAAGCTTATCTTTCAATGGACCGTCGCCCGGCTCGTCAATGATTGTGAAGCGTATTTGCTGATGACTGTGACCAAAATAATGGTGACAACGCTGCTGACAACAATACCGGTGACGATTGGCCCTCCAGGCATAACGATCGCGATCACGGAGTGGAGGACAAAGTACCGGCGTGAGATGAACACCAAAGATAACCAATCCAAGTCCAAGGCTGTGGACTCGCTGCTCAACTTCGAGACGGTAATGCGCAGTTCTAGCGCAAGAAAGTTATCGCAGCCACTCGTAATCCACGCGTGGTCTTGTAGGGGTTAGGCCGAATTGTAGAGCTGTGGGACTCTCCAACTCGCGAAGATGCCTGCAGTATAGCACGTAGCAAAAGCCTGTGAGAGAAGAAATTTTCAACGCGCGATCTGACCCAGATGACCACACTCGGGTGTTAAACAGGGCCCACCGCTCCCTGCAGGGACCTCCGCTGCCAATCGGGTGCAGGTGGCAGCTTCAGCTACCAGGGGCCCAGCCATGCTGGAGTTGGGAGACTCCTGCTAGTGACTGGCTCCTGGTGGTTATTGGGAAAATTGGAGATTTGATTGGTGAAGTTCGCCCCCCCTCCCCCCCCCCCCACTTTGTCGTAGGTAAGAGGAGTTTTGCGTGCGTTATTAAATCTACACAACTACTGGCTACTACTGCCTGCCAACTCTGTACTGAGCCGACTTGTGTCCGTGTGCGCTACTGTGTATTAAAGATTCCGTCGTCAACATAATCAACATTTAGTCTTGCCTTGTAGAAGGAAACATCCGGTTCCAAATTACAATGATATATATAAAAAAATATATTGTCTCTGAGACGTATCTCTAAACATTTTCTGGGTCTTCAGACAATCCCTACACCCAGTGGCTGTACCCCCGTCATCTATGCTTGGTGGCAAATGCTTATTACAGCGTTCGTGGAAATACGCAGCAATGATCATGTGCGTGAGGCTTCCATCTCCTGGCCTCCTTGCTGGGGCTGCGATTTGGTCAGGAGTTGGTCAGCAAGTGGGGTTCATGACCTCTGTGTGGGCTTTCTCTGGGTACTTCCGCTTAAAAGGTCACTATAAAGGAGCTGTTAAAATATCTGAATGCACGATCCTCCGAAAAAAGTCTCAAGGCACGGTGAGGGTGTTTTATATGAAGGACATTATTGTGAAACAGGTTGGTACCAGCCCATCCTATGGATATTGCAAATGTTTTATACGCATGAAATTGTTACAAATGTAGTGCCGTGAATTCACTCGGACGACAACCGTCTCTTTTTCCGCCGTCACTTTTATTCCATCGTTCCGTACACACAGTAATTATCTCCGTGCTCCGCCAACTCGTACACTCCGATTTACTTCAGCATCGTCCGTGCATCCCCTTCCACACACAGTGTTTCTTCGCCTATCTCTTCCCTTCCACACACAGTGGTTCGTCTTCTATCTCTTCCACACAGTGGTTCGTCTTCTATCTCCTCGCACACAGTATCGCCGCTATCTCTTCACACGCAGTGACTTCCATCCATTCATACACAGTGACTCTATCGCCGCTAACGCTGACTCTCCCTATCGCTATTTACTGTCTTTGGGGTCCGGCTCTCTATCTATTCTTCCCTAACATTTCCAGCTGTCTTCTTCGTATCTCTTCACCTCTCGCCAACAACTGCCCAGCAACAACTCCCCAGCAGCAACTCTCCAACAACAACTCCCCTCCGTTCAAACCACTTCGCGTTTTATCCCCTCTCGCATTAGCCAGCCTTAATTAATTGCCACGTGGCTCGCTGGCCGTTTCCCGCCAGCCCGCACCTGTCCCCTTCATCAGACATTCAGACGCCACCACTTAACGCTAACAGCCTCTCGACCAATCACAGCCCTCGTGCCACGACTCCCTTAATTACTTGGGTTTGTTTACGCCACTCGCGACTCGATCACCTGTTCGACCTCGTGTGACCCGTTCTCTTTGTCTGTATGTACTGTATATGGCCAATTCCTATGCGCATTATCTACTCCACTACACAAATATAATTAATGTTTTAATTACATGACAAATTTTTGTTATTAAACTCGTTTTATTTACTCCCACCTCAATTATCCGATGTGGAAGTATGTGACCATTCGGACAAAAATACAGAAGTACGATTAGTGTTACCTTGATTCTTCTTCATCTTACAAAGTTGTTCACAACTCTTTTAACTAAAAAAAAAAAACCCAAACTTGGAGGAATTAAAAAAAGGTTGAACAAAAGGGCATTGACCTGAAGGTTTGTATTTTTTCTTACAGGTGAAATACTACAATGCTGAGAGCTATGAAGTACAAAGATTCAACCAGACCATTGTGGAATATCAGGTGCGTAGGCACCTTAAAGCCACGCCTACTACACTGCACGTCATGAACATGTACCGCCTTTTGTCACCGGATGAGGGCCTCCCCCACGCCATGTGGCATGTGGGGGTTATTTGACCACACTTTACTGCGGCGATTATGGGTTTGTGAAGGCCGGGCGTACTTTCGTTGATTGTAGAAGCACAGTAGCGCAATTTTTTCTGCCCGCCGCATTGCCCTGCAGCCTAAAACAATCTTATTGTGGTGCTTGGCCAACCAAGTACTATGCAAGCTCAACCCTGCATAGCTTCCTAAATCTAACGAGATCGGGCACATTTTCTTTGGTTCTTTCGGTAAAGTCACGTAGAATGAGAATAAAATAATACAATAAAATAACACAATAAAATTCTCACGACGTTTCGGCCACAACACAAGTGGCCTTCTTCAGGTGAAAGGAACAAACCTGTCGGGACGACAGAGCTTGGTGATTTGTAAACGCTCATTAATTGGCCAATAACACCTTCATATATAGAGGATTACAGAGCTTGGGCGAGGGGGGGGGAATTGGCATCAGCTCACCATCTGGCTGATGCTGCCTTCCCCACTTGTCTGTGGTTCCTCTTCTCGCCCCTGAGTCGCTCTTTCTTTTAGAGAGAGAGCGAAATACTGTGCGGCGGTGGTGCGTTACCAGTTGAAATGATCACATTATTTGGCCATAGGTGGACTGCATGTCACTTTATGAAATATCCTTTTCATTCTTGAAGTGGTAACAACAACAATGATGATCATCATAACAACAGACAAAAACACGTACACTTCATGGAAGGAGATGACAAAAATAGAACACTTTTATATTTTTATATTTACATTCGCTAAGTGAAAGTGTTTTCTTGCTGAAAAACGCAATGTGCGAATGTGTGTCTGTGTCGCTCTGGGGAAGTGGTAGTGTAGTTGTTAGCACGCTGCGCTATGAACCTGATGACTCGAGTTCGATTCCCGCTCACGCCCAATACGATTATCTGAACAGGTCCTGGGCATCCCCTAGGTCGACTCGGCCTCATTTGAGTACCTGGTGCCGAGTGTAAGCATCGCCACTGGGGAGACAAAAGCGGCCGGGTGTGGTGCTAGCCACCCACTCCCCTCGTGTGCTGTGCCGGCCTTCGTAGGTGCTCGATAACAGCACTTGCCCCGACAGTCTGTTAAGACTATACGGGGATCTTTGTCTTTGTCTCGGTGATGCTGGGAAGGATGCCGAGTGGAAGACCAACGCTTCTCTGGCCGTGCTGAATCAAGCGCAGAACGTGGTGATTGCCCTGGGCCTCCTGGCCGGCTCCCTGCTCAGCGCCTCCTTCGTTACCCACAAGAAGCTACAGGTGAGTGCAGCCTTGAAGCCCTCCCCCGGGGGTGGTCGAGGTCACGGTTAAGCGGTTATGGTTAAGGGCCAAGGCGTGAGATAGGCTTAGTTATTAAGTCAAGGGCATGAGCTCGTGTTTAGATCTATAGATAATAATGATTGATTGCACCTGGTATGCATGATAGCCTGGCGCCTTTGTTATAGTGCAAGGCTATCACGAAAGTGCTTGGTGTGACAGACAGCCTGCAGTGGTTTTTCTTCGTTCGTAACATTGCAGCAGTGGACTAAAAAAACGAGTTTTTACCAAGGTACAAAACTTTATTTTCACTCTAGGGGGCAATGTTGCTATACGTAATCTCAATTGAGGAAATTCATTTGCAAATTTGGTCTTGTTGCCAGCGCACAATTTCCTACTCATTTCAAATTACATCAGGTGATATTTAACGTCCACTGTGAAGGAGACTGCGTGTAATGTAAGGTTACTACACCTTAATACGTAATGTAAGGTTACTACACCTGAAGAAGTAACCAACGCGGCCTGACGGGTTTGAACTGCAAAGCTCTGCGGCAAACACGGTACTGCTTGGACATGTCACCGGGCCTGGGTTGGGGTGAAGTTAGGGCTTGAGTTATTGTTTTGGTTTGGTTCTGGTTAAGGCTATATTCCTAGCATGTATGCACGTATGTATGTTGAATCTCTTTTGCACCGTACGTAGCTAACCGTGCTAATCGGAGGTGCGATGAGCCAAAACTATTTTCATCAATATAATTATAGCAAAGGTTGTGGCATCAGGGATATGGATAGAACTTGGGATTTTGCTGGGGCTTAGACTGTGCCATTAGGGCTGGCGTCAGTGGAGCCCTAATGGCTTGGATTGAAGCTTGCATTAGAATTAGGGTTATAGCGGTAATAGTCATAATAAGGAAAATTAATATAGCATCTAAATACTCCGGGGTCATAGCATTCAAAGGTTGAGAGTTAAATTCCTGGCCAGGGATAGACTTCGCCTGTGATTCCTCCATTGTTAATGTCAGGGTTCATTTTAACTCTTGAGCTAGAGCCAGGCTTAATCTTCGGGCTTTTACTAAGGTTTGAGCAGCAATGAAGTGGATTAATTCTATGCATGACAGGACATTTTATTACATTGCCATGTGCAATAAAGTATACACGATGTTGTTTGTGTATATATAAGATGCAAAGTCCATAAAAAACATACCGGACAGAAAATACATCTAGAAAATACATCTAGAAATATGTTTACCTGCATCAAGGCAGAGCGTGGCCTGCAGAACACACAGATGTCTGATTATATTCGGATGTAATTACAGTACACCAGAGTTACACAATAGCAAATGCATTTTCTCTGCAGTATACCTCTTCAAAAGGGACCACTCCAAAAAGATTAGTCCAGTCGCCTCGATTTCACGATGGGCTGGACTCATAAGAGGTGCACGGATAACAAATATAAGTGTCACTTGTGACTGAATTTAATCTGCTTTTGCAAATCGTTCATTGCGCAATCTGCTTATAACCGTATTCAAGAGAAGCTATTTTCCTGTGCCGTTTTGTAATTGGTCCTGTGGGTCTCGATTGAAAACTCATTTTGTTAGAACTGCTTTTTGTGTTTAGTTTGTTGTCCTTCCCCTGCATCTCCAATTATCACGGTTGGCTAAGTACGCTGCGAAATAAGTTCAACGTACATATATATAAAGCCAAATGTCATTGTACACATCTCATTCCAGGTGGGCGATTTTGTGCTGTTTGGAACGTACATCATTCAGCTCTACGTGCCTCTTAACTGGTTCGGAACGTATTACAGGTGAGGCTGCCTTGTCCCCAGCACGTTCGGGCCTGATTACATTGGAATATTGCATGCCGTCACTGAGAATCCCCATCAGGAAAACCTGTGTAGTGGCAGAACAGGTCTTGTGTTTTTGATCATTTAATTATTTAACGGCACGCAATAAATAGCAGACAATGCCTCCAGCCCATATTTGTCTCTCCACGTTATTTTTTTTAACACATCCCATCAGCCACACAGCCTTCCTGGAGTGCATCTATGCTGCAGCATTGGTTTAATACAAGCAAACTCAAGAACTGGCTTCGCTATTCATTGTCTCATCAGCAGAGTCAGGCTTGCTTCAACCAATGCTCCTGAACTCTCGGATGTTTAAAGGCAAGGACCCTATCCATTAGAAATGGTTTTTAGTTTGACGCACACCCATATAATACAGAACACACAATGGTAATTGAGCTTCCTCGTGCAGAATGTCAGTGTAAATTTTGAATGTAAGTAACACCGACAAATAGGGCATCTATGGTGTCATTGCTGGGCGGTCGTAGTGTTATTGCTGGGCGGTCGTGGTGCACGCCTGTAATCCAGCACCGTGGAGGCGCAAGGGTTGGTGGATCGCACAAATGTTGTGAAACTGCCTTTCCGTGGGAGTTGAAGAGCCATACCCTGGCTTGCCAGGAGAAGGCGGTAGAGCAAACGTGGACTCCATCTGTTCCATCTGCATAGATTAGCGTGTTGCCCCCTCACACGCGTGGGTCCTCTCCGGGTGCTCCGCTTTCCTCCCACAAATATAAACGCGCATTAATTGGCCAATAAGACCTTAATATATAGAGGATTACAGAGCTTGGCAGGGGGAAATGGGAACCGGTTCATCATGTGGCTGCCTATCCTGCTCGTCTCTGGCTCCTCCTTGCGCCTCAGATTCGTTCTCTCTCTCGGAGATCGAGCGCGCGAATACTACTGTGCAGCGCCGTTAGAAATTGTCAATTATTGTTATAATTACAAGTGAAAGGCGCTGATGTTGTCAATCACGCCATCTCTCTCAGGATGATCCAGAGCTCCTTTATCGACATGGAGAACATGTTCGAGCTGTTTGGCGAGGAGAAAGAGGTGAGTGACTCGTCACTTTCCATGGTTATCGTGACTCTGTGAAAGAGAGTGAGAGAGCTATAGACGACCTTCATGTTTAAGCAGCTGAGAGGTCGGTGAGACCCCGGGAGTCTTGGGAGCTCGAGGCCTGCGTTTAAACGAGGTAGAACACAATGTTGGATTCCAATGTATGAAGTGAAAAAGAGTGCAGAAAACAACCATGTTTGAAACATTTTAAAACCAGCTCCGATGAAGACTACAGTAGATCATAACCGTTAACATTCTTTAACATCGACTTAAATTCGCACCTCCGATTAGCACGGTTGGCTACGTATGGTGCGAAAAGGAGATCAACGTACAATCATACATTAAATAATTATACACAGCAAAGTTCAATGTGTATACTAAACAAGAAAGAAAGCACACAATTTAAATAAAATATGCACAGGACATTCTTACGAACAAGATATTCCATCTCGAGGTGGTTTTCTAGGCGAATTATAGTTTTAAAATAAGATGTAAAGAGCTTCCTGCATATAATAATCGTCCTAGATCAGCGGTTCCCAACCTTCTCGAGTGTGCGGACTCCTTTTCAACCTCCAATCATTTTGTGGACCACCACACGCTACGAGTTATTTGAAATTGAACCTTTCCTTGGTGACGATGTTATAATTTTTTTTATTTTCCACGGATCCCCTGCAGTAACCTCGTGGACCACCAGGGGTCCGCCGAACCACAAGATGGGAACGGCTCCTCTACAGTATGCAGCTATTAAGAGTGCATTATTGGCTATGCAGGTAACATTGATGCACTTGTCTGTAATATGCGTGGAACTATTTGGCTCTGTAGGTGGTGGACGATGTCAACGCGGTGAGTCTGCATCTCGCCCATGGCAAGGTGGAATTCGACAACGTCTCTTTCAACTACGTCAACGGGTAATTCTTCTTTCCTCACAGCTCGCTCGCAGTCAAGCCCATGTGTCTGCACGGCCCAGCGGAATGCTGGGCAGCGTCACCTCTTGTTCACTTCAGTCGGAGCACCACGAGACGTTACCGTTAAGATCTTGGGTTTGAATCTGGTCAGCCGTTTGTTAACCAGGTTCTCAAGTTGTCGCGAGTTTATGGTCTCAGCGCTGGCACTCATTGTCTGCATAAAGAAAGCCATTGCATTAAATGTGGTTTTTCACTTAATTTGGCTTCTTTAGATTTTCATGATCACAAATTCCATTTGGTTGAAATGTGATAAACACAGTTTTGCAAAGCAGAAAGACCGTATAACATATATATTAGGCCACAGTGTTATTGACGAATATTGTATTATTTTGTTATGTGTGCGTGCGCACCGCTACCAACACAGTATCACCAAATAGAGTTATATTTTGATAACACCAACAGCACGGTTGGAATATAAAGTAATAAAGAATAAGGGTATATTTTTTCTAATTGCTTGTCATTTATGAGACTATTTTGTACATTTTGACATTTGTTCTTATGAAATGTTCTCGCGTCCCTCCATTCTCAAATGTTTGGCCTTTTCACTCCTCTGCACACACTGAACCAGGAAGGACATCCTGAAGAATGTATCATTTACTGTGCCTTCAGGAAAAACCATCGCTCTGGTAAGTGTACTCTTGGATTTGTTTTTAATTTCATTTAACTACTATATATGCCGTCGAAATTCAACGATAATTGAATTACTTTGAGGGAGATTCCTCCAATGGCATGCATCTATTTGTTGTATGATTTTGAATCAGGTCTCACATGCACTGGGCTTGTGTAAATGGTATAGCAGATAAGCAGCATTGAGGCCGATGGGGCAAATTATCGAGTCAAAGGTAAAAAACAATTGTGAACTTGGCCTCGGTTGTTTAAACCATGTATCATAAGCTTTCAAGGAGGAGTTTTCCAGATGGACTTACAAACGTACAGATGAGCCGCTTGTTATGTCGGTGTTGGAGTATTAGCTTGCACACGGAAAACACATCCCAAATGTGTTTACTGAAAAATTGAAAAAATCTGGTGAAACCAGGAGAAAAACTCCCTTTCTCAACGGACTTGGCTCCGAGCGGCTTCCACTTGTCTCTGGGTTTAAGCCGCCACCCTTGGAGACAGAGATTTTCTCGTGACAGGTAAAGGACGTGTGCTGCTCACAAGTGGTTTTGAGGAGTGACACAAAGTGTGCTTCCAGCTGGGGACTGAAGCCTTGGGACATTTCACGTGAACTCCGGTCACCCTTGCAGCAGCGGCTTTTTGGCTGGCCACCGAACAAAGATGGCCACTGCATCGCGCGCTTTCAGATGCGCTTCTGCGGCCGTCTGTTAGGAAGCCACTGCTGCTATGCATTTTTAAATCCTCTCATTTCTTTGCAACTGATTATTGTGTTTAGTGTGCCCTTCCTCCGGAACCTCCGATTAGCACGGTTGGCTACGTATATTACGAAAGAAGTTCAACATACATTGCAGTGCCCAAGGGCACTGTAGGGAAATAACCGCTTCAGCGAGGACAGTCGTCATTTTGTCAGGCCGTGCGATTTTCAATTAGCCCTTGTATAAAGAGATAGACACACATGATGGCAATTGCAGGAGGAGCTTTAACCCGCAGATGAATGTAGCAGGACGGTTGTCTCCCTTTGCTGCAATGTAACTGGGTTGCTCCGTTCCACGATGATTCTGTCTGTGCTCTGACCTGGCCTGACAATGGATCTGGTGCTGCAGGTTGGTCCATCGGGTGCAGGGAAGAGCACTGTCATGCGTCTGCTATTCCGGTTCTACGACGTCAAATCCGGATGCATCAGCATTGATGGTCAAGACATCTCCAAGGTTTGTAGATTCAACCTCAAATGTCATCACGGCAAATTCTGTCCATACCCCCACGCATCGCCGCCACTTCCTTTTGCCAGATCACTCACCTGTTGCAAAGTTGACATTTGACCTCCGAGGTCTGCTCTTACAGTAGTTCCGCCCCATCCCCATGTGGATTCAGGTCTTTGGTCTCCAACCCCTGGGTGGCACTCCCGTCGTGCTAATTGGTCAGTGCTATCAATGAAAGTATAGCTGGCTGAGTTGTGCTGCTGTTGGGTTGCTCAACTCACAGATGGAGTACGGTTGCCAGTTGAAATATCGGTCGCAGTTGACTCAGCCCACCATTGTGCCTGTGGGGTCAATGAAATGTGTACCAATTTGTAAAAAGTCGGAAGTAGTTGTTCTCTGTCATAGGAATGTGGAATATTTACTATCAGCTCAGGGTACCCGGTACTCTGACCTGTACAGCATGTTCAGTTGAACAGGAATACACCTTACATTTTGACTTGATCATCATTGTCAGCCGCGATCAGGTTCACTCATGAAACACCTTACAATGAACACACTGTCCCAAAGTGAACCCCCCACAGTGCTGATAATCGGGGTAACGTTAAGAACCTTTGTGCGTTTGTGAACAACATTATTTAGCCGCATTATGTCCACAGCCGCCTCTGTGTAAGAATCCAATCGGTGACTGAATGCAATACAAATTTAATACAATGTGGATTTCAATAGCGTAAACATGTAACCATGCCTCTATGTTTATGATTCGGGAGGGGAGGGGAAAAGGTGGGGGGTGTAATGGGAAGAAGTTATTTAGTCAAAGGGGGAGAGGGAAAGAGGAATGTCTTGAGCCTGCATCTGAACAAAGGGATTAAGTCAGGAGTGTTTACAGTCGATGGCGGGAGCAGCATAGGAGGAGTGAGCTCCCATTGAGCAGTAGTTGTCTTCGGATTTCATAACAAGGACATGGCGAGATATTAACTACTTCGCCTGGTATACTGGAGGTTGTGGGTTCGATTCTGACCCTGACACCTGCTGTATATTTGGAGTTTGTGTGTCTCTCTCTCTCTCCCCGTGGTTGCGTGGATTTTTTTGCGGGTCCTGGCTTTTCCCTTCACATTTAGAAATATGCGTTTCTAAATATGACACGATGATCCACTTGGTTGAGCTATCATGTGTGGCCATGTCGCTTCAGAAAAAGAGCTCCGTAGCTCCGTGGGTCTTACCTGTATAGTTTCCTTGGCCACTGCTGCTGCGGTGTGAATGCGAAGGGTAAGTAGAGCGAGGCGAGAGGGAACCGGTGTTTGCGAGAGATAGAGAGAGTAAAGGATTGTGTTTAACAGCGCCGAGGGTGACCGTGTTGTCCACGTTTTGAACATCGCGGGTTGCGTCCAGGTGAAGCAGAAGTCTCTGCGGCAGCACATCGGGGTGGTGCCGCAGGACACGGTGCTCTTCAATGACACGATCCGCAACAACATCCGCTACGGCCGTGTGACGGCGAGCGACGAGGAGGTGGAGGAGGCGGCGAGGGCTGCGGACATTCACGACCGCATCCTCTCCTTCCCGGAGGGTGAGACGAAACGTGTCGAGTCTCGCCGAGATGCGCTGTGTGAATAAATAAGCAAATAAATAAATAAGAAGTCGTCGTTGTTGTCGTGTGGTCGCCGCGCACGCCTCTCATCCAGCACGGTGGAGGCAGCGGCGGTTGGTGGATCACCGCACGAATGTCGCGAAACTCCCCCATCTGCGTCAAGGTGCTATACCCTGGCTTGCCGGGAGAAGGCAGTACAACAAATGTGGACTCCCCTGTTTCGTCTGTACGAGGTAGAGTTTATCCCTTGCATGCGTGGGTTTTCTCCGGGTGCTCCACCTTCGTCCAGCATGCAAACCCTGATTAATTGGCTGATAACACCTTAATATATGGAGGACCGCAGAGCTTGCGGAATTGTCAGTGCTGGATTGTTGCGTGGCTGCCTCTCCCTCTTTTCTGTGGCTCCTTGCGCCTCTGAGTCGTTCATCTCTCTCCTGGAGTGAGTGAAGGTATGTATGTATGTTGAACTTCTTTCGCACCGTACATAGCCAATGGTGCTAATCGGAGGTGCGGGGGAAGGACAACAAACTAAACACAAAAAGTAGTTCTGAAGATATTAGTTTTCAATCTAGATTTGAAGTGCATAGCTCCAGTGGCTTCCTGTTATCGGAAGTAAGAGTGTTTCAGATGGCCACAGAAGCACATCCGATGTGCGATGCGGTAGCCGTCCTTTGTCCGATGGCTAGCCAAAAGCCGCTGCGAGGATGACCGGAGTTCGCCCGATGGTTTATGCCCCTTGAGGTATTGTAGTTTATTTGTGGCAAGCAGTTTACGTGAGTGCGACCATTGTTCATTATGATTGTCACCGTTGTAATTGTCGTAACGTTGCGTGCGTGCGTGCGTGTGCGCAGGCTATAACACGCAGGTCGGGGAGCGCGGCCTCAAGTTGAGCGGTGGGGAGAAGCAGCGCGTGGCCATCGCACGCACCATCCTCAAGGCCCCTGAACTCATCCTGCTCGATGAGGTGCCGCCCTGCAGCACAACAAGTGGCTGTGTCCTTGTCTCTGTGTGTGTGGGTGCGCCCACGCATGTTTGGGCTTGTGGGTGTGTGTGTGTGTGGTGAGCGGCAGTGCAACGGTTAGCGCTACGCTGCGCTAGGAACCCGGCGACCCAAATTCGATTCCCGTTCACGGCCAACACCAGTGACGATTATCTGAACCGGTCCTGGGCCTCTCCGAGGTCGATTCAGCCTGAAATGAGTAGCTGGTGCGATGTGTAAACATCGCCACGAGAGAGACAAAGGCGGCCGGGCGTGGTGTTGGCCACCCGCCCCCTCGTGTGCCGTGCTGGTCTTCATACTTGCTCGTGAACAGCACTTGCCCAACAGTGAGTTAAGGCTATACGGGGGATCTTTGTGTTTGGGTTGCCGGACGCGCGATGTCATCTCAAATTTCACGCGGAAATGCACCCAGCTCTGCGTTCGATTCCCTACTCTGGTGTCTCTCTGTGCGGAGTTTGTGTGTTCTCCCTCTGTTCTGCGTGGGTTTGCTCCGGGTTCTCCATGTATCCTTCCATACTCATACGCGAAAGCCTACGTGTTAAACTATCCTTCCATAGTTGAAAAACACGTGCAATGTAACCGGTGTTGGCCAAACGTCCCAGTGGTGAAAAATTAACTGCAAGTTATTTAATTGGGAGTACACATTGCAACATCGGCCCCCTCCTGCCAAAATTTGGCAGAACTCTTCTGAAAAGTCTTGAGACTCAATGAGCCTTTTTTGGGTAAATAAGCATAATATTAATAAAATGCATCTAAGTCTGTTCCATGACCTCCTGCCAGGGAGTCTTTGGCGCTTTACATGGCATCAACATGCACAGCCTAGCGGTAGCGTGTTCCCCGATTGTTGCAGTGGTTCATGGTTCGAAGCCAACGGGCCAGATCCCGTGACGTCATTTGCAAGAGTAGGTCATTGTGTGCTGGCGTCATGGTCCATATTTAAAAAGTTACCTGCAAATTACTGATTTGGAATTGCAAGTAGCAGCATCACCCCCCTACTGAAAAAAACTTGGCAGGAACCTCATAAAAAAAAACTGTCAGACTCAGTCAGGCTTTTTTGGGGTAATGGATATAATAATAAATGATAACCTAGCCTGTCAAAAGCACTGTGGTGACTTCACCGTCACTTAGTGACGAATGGTGGCTGTTATTGTTGCGCGTGTTTGCATGCAGGCATGCTTGTCTTTGTATATATGTACGTATATTTATGCGCGTGTGTATTCGTGCATGTAGGCATCCACAGACACATTCACCCATTATATATACTCATAGGTAAATGCATAAACAATGATTCCCAGTGTAGCATTATCAGCCAAATCATGGGGTGGTGATGGAGTTAGGAAGGGGGGATTTAAGGCAGCGCTGCGCTACGAACCCCAGCCATCCTGAGTTTGATTACCAATCGTGGCTGTCGGTGACGAGCTCTATCTGAACTAGTAATGGGCCCTCCACCTGGGTTGACTCTGCCTTAAGCAAGTACCTGGTGCTGTGTAAAACATCTGCACTGGAGAGACAAAGGTGGCCCTGGCAAGGTTGTTGACCGCATTGAGGGCCCCTATTGTTTTCTGCGCCAGGTTTTGATATATACTTGCATACTGAAAGTCCGTTCAGCGCTACGGGGACAGCTTTTTGTTTTTCATGCATGCGCTTACGCAATGTGTGGATGTGAAAAAAAAAAAACCATGGGAATCATTGGTAGTATGAATGATGCGACATAACGTGCTGCGAGTTGATGGCCGTCCTCTCTGGCCGCCGTGCGCATAGAACGGCGGCGACGCAGTGACGTCAGCGCGGTACCGCTTTGTCTTTCCAGGCGACGTCCGCTCTCGACACGCAGACGGAGCGGAACATCCAGGCCTCTCTGGCGAAGATCTGTGCCAACAGAACCTCCGTGGTGATAGCTCACAGGTGCGTGTGCGTCGTCCTTCAGTGACAGGGTGCTAACTTACATGCGTGTGCACACATAAGTACAAAAAAAATGTATTCCACGTTTATACAAAGACAATGATCCCCCGTATATCCTTAACTGACTGTTGCGGCTGTTAGCGAGCACCTATGAAGGCCGACATGGCACACGAGAGGGTGAGTGGCCAGCACCACCAGCTTTGTAACCCAAGTAGCGATGTTTACACCGCACCAGGAATTCAGTTGAGGCTGAGTCGACCTAGGGGAGGCCAAGGACCAGTTGAGTAAGAAGCTAACCCGGGTCGCTCGGTTGGTAGCGTGGTGCACTAACTGCTGTCCTTCCACTCCCCCACCACATGAATACACACAGGTGGCCACAGTCGAAGCCACAGTGCTCCAGGGAGGCTCCTATGTCATCTCATTCACTGGAAAAACTGCCACGGCAAGACACAAAGGGCAGCGTTCAAAATTGGTCCCGCTTAGTTTACACATTCCTATGACAGGAAAATGTATTTTAATCGGACAACCATTGTTGATCGCTCCTTAGGGTGGTACTAATGGTATTCAACCCAGAGCAATTAAGGGCGGAGTCTGCATCTAACCGGGATTTGAACTCTCAACCTATCAAAGCACAAGGCCCCCCGCTCTGTGCTGATGCTCCACCCAGATTGTTTACTGCAATAAAACATGGAACATTAATGCCGGACCTGCATTTGCTTCTGTTCAGACTCTCGACCATCATCAACGCAGACCAGATACTTGTGCTGCAGGACGGCCAGATTGTGGAGAGAGGGAGGTAAGTGGCTTGGTTGTCTAAATGGACGCACGACAGTTCGTCGGGCAGCATGTTGCGTGTTGTGACGTAAAGTGTGGCACTCCCACCTATCCCAAGGCATCTGACCGATGCAGAAAGGTTTCTGAAGTTAATTGTGACCCGCCCCTGTTGGACATCTGTGAAAAAGAGATCCATAGCTCATCGAATTCCTCCATTCTAAATAAAGATTCAAATTCTGAAGTAGGCCAAACTACCCTCTAGAGGTTCCTCTAGTGATGGTCAAAGTACAAGGCTGCACCTTCAGCTTATCCATATTATTATTCCTGTTCCCTGAAATAATGCTTGACAATTTTCTGGGATAGTTGAGTTTTTCTGTGAGTATTTGGAATTCCTGCTGTATGTAAAGTCAACTCAAACCCGTTTTTGCCGCTCAATGAAGTGTTGGGAGGTACTTATTGTTATTGTAGGGCCAGTGTTGAAAATTAAACGTTCCTATGGTATAAACTAGTCTCGCTGTAGGACAACCACTGTTGACGTCCTAGACAGTGGTACTTATTTAGATACCAATAGGCAGAATTTGTACTCATTAAAATGCAAATCAATTTATAACATTTTTGACATGCGTTTTTCTGGATTTTTGTTGTTATTCTGTCTCTCACTGTTCAAATAAACCTACCATTAAAATTATAGACTGATCATTTCTTTGTCAGTGGGCAAACGTACAAAATCAGCAGGGGATCAAATACTTTTTTCCCTCACTGTATTGCTTATTGCCACAACGAAGGTCACTCAGGGCCTAGTTAGTAAGTCTCTCTCGCAATTGGCCTGCTCATGGTGGGCGGGGGCATAATTCTGCTTTTAACTTCTTTCGTATGGCTGCTGATGTAGGTGCAAAGCAACAACTGCAATTTCACATTCAGGTGGTCTGAATCCAAATAATCGTGTCAGAGCAGCGGAGTGCATCGCTGTGATGTCTCCTTCGTAGTTGTGACTGGGGACATTGTGTCGTTGTGTGCTGTACGGACTGTCCTGGATGATCACAGTCGCACACTGCTGGAGAGTTTTTAGCTTGGCGAGCCAAACGGCGCAACCTTCTATTGTACATGGCCACTCCGGCCACTGTGGCGATACAATGCCACACGTACCGCGGAAGCCACTTATCATTCTTGTTAATTAAGTTCTGCCTCCCTTCCATTCTTCGTGCATCGCAGGCACGATGAGCTTCTGACCAAAGGGGGCATCTACACAGACATGTGGAGCAAGCAGTCCCAAGAGGCCTCGTCTGAGTCCGACACGGAGACCAAGGACAAGAGCTCGGAGAAGCTGCAGCCGGCGAGCAGGAACCCACAACGCGGGCACCACGCACACCACCACTGAGAGACCGACACGGGGCCATGGCACAGCCCCATTCCAGCCCTGCCCGTGAGCAAGGGAGAAACTCGCTGATGGACGAGCCTGTCAGCCCGCCTGTGTGATTGTCTCTACCTCCACACCATACATGCGGGAACGCTCATGGTTCCGTGTCGGCGCTACCGATGACACATCCAGAGTTTAGCTCGCGGGCAAAACCTACCCGATAATAAGTGTGTGTTATGGTGCAAGTTTAAGGTATATTCGCGTGTGTATTGCGCGCGTGTGTGTGTGTGTGTTTGGTAGATCGGTGCGCTTGAGCACAACGGATGTTATCTTCACTACTCTGATGTGGAATTATTCTGAATTTACGGAAGAGGATCAAGAGTTGTATACGGTGACATTGGCATGATTCCCCACAGTCTGACAGTTATTGGATGTTGTGGAAGGACCTTAAGTGCAAAGATCTGATAAACAGCTTCTTCAGGGACATGGGAAGAGAATTTGAAGAGAGAACTGCAGCTCAATGGAAACAAACCTCGAAAGTTTTTCAATCGGCTTCTCCCCTCTATAGTTGGCTCCGGTCCCTGGAGTGGAGAGTTTGATAGTGTGCTGTTCGTGTTTCTGAATATATCTTTGCACATTCTCTAAAGTTGTCAATATTCAAAGAGAAAATCACTTTTTTTCTGTGTCGCATAGGTTGGAATTATTTGTTATCAGGATGTTCTTGCACGCTTTAACAATTGTTGTCGTACATTTATGCTTGCTGATCTATTATTGTTTTGCAGCAAGCCGATAGATCTTTGTGTGTCATCTGTAAACTTGTATTTCATATCAGGCACAAAAAACATGTTATTGTATGGGAATTGCTGTTTTAGAATGTTAATCCGTAAAAGACACTTAATAGAATGCATTTTTTACATCAGATATTAATTAGAACATATTTTGGTAAAAGATAGTCGTTTTGAGGTTAAGCTCACTACTACTACTACAATAAATAGTCGTTTTTAAAAACATCAAGTTTATTTTCGTTAACGAGGTGAAAACTCAAAAGTCATTTGCAAGGATGATCTGGGTCACCAAAGTGACGAAAGTAAACGCAAACACGTAAAGTACAGCAATGAATCGATGCACGCTTCAATGTTATTTCATGCGATCATCAAGCTTGGTGCTCATTGTATAGCCGTGAATTGTGGATTGCAAGGGATTCATAAAATACATGTGTATTGCAGGGTGTGACAAATGTATTTAAAATAATACGGGATGTGTTTCAGCTTTCTGAAATAACCGCCTGGTGGCTCATTGAGTTCACAATGGCCATTTTACTATTTGTTATTTTTACCATGTAAGGCCCGCTGAGCTATATATATCCTTTTTTAGAAGTGACCTGGCCACAAATGATAGCTCAACAAAGTGACTCATAATGCGGAAATGTATAGCAGCCAAATACTCTAAACGCATGTTTTTAAATGTGGAGGGAAAAACCGGAGGACCCGGAGAAAAATCCACATGACCACGGGGAGTACATGCATACCAGGCGAGGGAGTTCATATCTTGCCACCGCGGCGCCCCAGAGCAATGAGCCGGCACTGCTTAGATCTTGGATTGAAATCCAGGCAACCACCTCTGATTGTACTTGGTTCTCAAATCTCGTGGGTTAATGGTCTCACATGGTCACCTAGAATTGAGCCAATATTCTTGGTGGATAACTTGTATGTGGGACTATTAGGTTATGGACGTATTTTTAACCGTTGTCTCCGCTGCAAATTAAGCCTCACCTTGTGGTTGCTTTAAGATAATAGTTGTGCCGTGTTATCGTCTAGGGGCAATTCCCTCTGTGATTTAATACTCCGCTGCCTGTGGTAAATTACTGTAAAGAGCGAGTTATCGCATCATACTTTAGCTTTAATGGCACAATTGATATACAGGTGTGCATAAAAACTTACGTAGAAGGCTGCTGTAGCACCTGAATATTTCTACTTAAGACCATGTTTGTTTCTGTCGAGTCTGAATTTTAATGTCATTCACAAATGTAATGGATGTGTACCTGTCACAACCATTTGTTTTTGAGTGTGAAAAGAATAGCTATAGATCGCTATATCTCACACAATTCAGGTGGTGTTTTTGTCCTTGACACAATGTGAAATGTAATTTTATGAGGATTTAGTTTTCGAAGGTTACAAATATACTGACACTAAAAACCAAGAATGCATAAACTTTCAAGCTGAATATTAATACCAAAGGAGATGCACTTCAATGCATGTAATAAGTTAAATTTCTTAAATCTAACCTGGATTGTGTGTACGTTGTACGTATATTGAACTTCTTTCGCACCGTACGTAAGCAACTGTGCTTATCGGATGTGTGGGTGAAAGGTAGTTGTGAGCGACAGTGGTTGGCGCATTGCTCGTCAAACTTGGCAAAACCGGATTTTGGTTCCCGCTGATGACAGTGACGAACATTTTCATCAATCCTGGGTCTCCCCTAGGTCGACTTGCCATGAAACGTCCGCATTGTGGAGACAAAAGCTGCTGTGCGCGATGTTGGCCATCCGCACACCCTTGTGCGCCGTGGCAGCTCTCAAAGGCGCCTACTAATAGCACTTGCCCCACAACACTCTTCAAGGCTATACGGGGGACTGCTGTCTTCGCTTTTGTGCGTGGGTGGAAGGCAGTCACATATCTCTGGCAATCAATTATCTTGATTCCAGGAGCTGTTCAGTAATGCATGACAGTGCTCCTATGCGATATTTCAAAGTAGCGTTCCCAATTTCTGCCGTGTCTCCCCTCACCCTTAGCCCAGTCGCGCTTTCGTTCCCTTTCCCTTCTTCCCGTCACTGGAACAAACTCCCACCGCACATAAACAATCATCTTCACAGACCTGCTTCCGTTCCTGCCTTTCAACTAATCTCTTCTCCCCAGCCCAGGGTTCGGCAATCTGCGGCTGCCGAGCCACATGCGGCTCGTTGGCTGCTGTGTCTGTGCACAGGTATCTGTGCGTGTGATACGGCTCTCGAAATGCTTTGGTCAAAGGCAAAACAAGAATGTCTCCTCTTTGAAAGGTTGTCAACTCCTGCCCTAGCCCATCCCGTCAATGATCAGTACTCAATGCTCCCACCCCCCAGCTATGACCAGGCCAACCCCAACCTCTATCACTACCCCCACCCCTATCACTACTCCCAACCCCTATCACTACCCCTATCACCACCCCAACCCCTATCACTACCCCAACCCCTATCACTACCCCAACCCCTATCACTACTCCCAACCCCTATCACTACCCCAACCCCTATCACTACCCCAACCCCTATCACTACCCCAACCCCTATCACTACCCCAACCCCTATCACTACCCCCAACCCCTATCACTACCCCCAACCCCTACCCCAACCCCTACCCCAACCCCTACCACTACCCAACCCCTATCACTACCCCCACCCCTATCACTACCCCAACCCCTATCATTACCCCAACCCCTATCACTACCCCAACCCCTATCACTACCCCAACCCCTATCACTACCCCCAACCCCTATCACTACCCCCAACCCCTATCACTACCCCCAACCCCTATCACTACCCCCAACTCCTCCTTAACCTCTCACGCCTGTGCTTCTGTCACGATATCTACACCAATTTTTTTAAAAAAACCCACTCGTTATCTCAACCACTGTCAACTTATGTACAATTGTCTCATTTTTGTGAAGCACCTCAGAATAAGATGCTATAAAATGATACATTGTTTAATATGTGTATTGACGTTTAGTTTTTCACACAATCGAAATGTTGCTAGTTCAAGCCCTCGTTGGAGGAACGACTCCAGCCATTGTCTCTCTCAAGATGTTTTGGGAAATCAACTGTGGCTGTTTTTGTTAGATAGTAACCCTCTCCATGAATTTCTACCACTCGCTCAGGGCTACCATTGTGGTACGAGAGCTACTCCATTGCTCATTTAAGCAGAGGGATTCCCCCTTAGACTGCTTTGGATCGTAACTGTGCTCGCAAGTGTAGTATTGTCGCCTTTGTAATTCATCATACAAACAAGGTGGTTTGATAACTAGGGAAGTGAATGTCATTGGTGAAGATTACTCGGTGTTTATTTTGTATGTTTTGTTTGCTTAAACCTATCTTGGGTGTCGCTGTCGTGATTAACTTTGTGTTCCTGCATAAGAGACGCAATGTGTTCCAGTATGGTGTGCAGCAGTGTGATTCACTCATTTGCAGAGGGGGAGCCACTTTCACGGATAATACATCGGCCACACATTTGAATCCAGTGTGGGTTGACAGCACGATGAGGCGTTTTCACATTTAATCTAGATTTGACATTTGTGTTTTCACATTTGTGTATTGTCGGGGGCCAGACTAAAGGCCACCAGTGGCAGCCACTGTCACACGGACCTTGCATTGAAAAACACTTGTGTACACACTGGCTCACCGTCTTGGGAAAGGCAATGTTGTAATTGAAATACAAGCACAGTTTCAATATATGGATATGTACATAATAAAGTATTTGGGTTAGATCGCGTTATTTATAAATGTGTCGTAACCCTCCACCACCCGACACGGCCAATCAGCAAAAATAAAAGTGTCACGTTGACAAAAGACAAATAATTCACTACTTTAGCAATTCGCTAGAATTGCCCGATGATGCTGGATGTATTTACCAGCGAAACGTCGTACTCAAACTGTAAATGTGGATTCACTCTTCAACACACCGGTGGGCTAAAGTAGTGAATTATGTCTTTTGTCAACGTGACACTTTTTTTGCTGATTGGCCGTGTCGGGTGGTGGAGGGTTACGACACATAAATAACGCGATCTAACCCAAAAACCTTTATTATGAATAATATTGGTCGCGAAAGCCTACGTGTTATATGGATATGTATACTGTATAAAGCATGTTGTATCACTCAACGTATTTAGAAACTATTTTTGGAATCTACATTTTCATACAAGACGAGGAAATGTATTGTTGTGTTTATATTATTGTAATACATGTGACTCATTTTGCAGGGCGTCATTTAAACAGAAGTTAAGTTGATGACTAAGTGGCACCAGTTTGACTCGCAGTTCGGTTGTTAAAATTCTGATTTGGAGGTGGCTAAGCCCATGGGCTTCCAGTTTGGAAGGACTGTTGAATAGTGTCATTGCTCTTCGAGAACCTGACGTAAATTTAATATGAATACATGTGATATAATACCTTTTAGTTTATAATTTTTTATGGTATTGATGAGATATTCTCGAATTAATACATTTCAATTATTCACTATAATAAATCAAATTCTGCGTTCAAACTGAGAAAACATTTTCCAACACAGCTGTAGGGATGGATGATGACACAGCAGCATCGACGGTACATTGTTTAAGCTCTTCAAGGTCCCCTTTGCTCGTGTAGGATGAACGGGCAGACTTTTCATATCAGAAATATCGTTTCTCCTGAAGCATAAAGTGCCAATTTTCCCAACTAGAACGTATACGTCTAATGCATATATTCATATCAAATGTATGTCAGTATCTCGAATAACAATAAAACTATTTGAACTTTCTTTTTGGTACTGTATATTCATTTTCGGACACACTTGATATACCACTTGGTGGTTGGGCAATGGAAAGGTCCTACAGGGGACATGGACATTTTCACTATTGTCACTGGGCCACCAATTGCTCATTTGAGCATTGCTATAGGCCCTGGCTGTATTTCCCCAAAAAATAAACTGTTAACAATGTTTTTCCTTTTCGTCCTGATGCACATTTAAAAATACTTTTTTTTTAAAACACGCTTTAATGAAATGTACCGTAGTAGTAATGGAAGAACTCTACGACTGCATGAAGTGGCCCCGAAGCTTGCCACAACGTACGGGACCGTGGTGATTTACAGCCAACGTCAGTAAAATGTTGACCGTGGACAATTAGACACAAGCCGAAACATAACATATAAAAAAGATGGTTTAAAAATATTTATTTCTAATTTTTATGATAGAATATAGTATTGTCATCAGTATGACATCAGTATACCAAGTTTGCAGTCGATGCCACATTGGGAGGTGGGTTAAAATTGAGTTACAAGATTTGAGGATATGACAACAGACAGAGTGAGTTAAATAATAAAATAAGAACAAGAAGGTATTTAAAACGCAGTTTAAATGTATTTGTTTATGAAAATGCTTAGTGACGTGATGAGAGGAGCCGAGGTGCGACCGTGCAAGACAAATCAAATATAATGCCCCCCCCCCCCCACCTGATCGATTGTCGGCCTTCGTACAGGTACACATCTGTCAACCCCAATTCACACCTTATTGGTCACCCCGTGTGACCCTTATAAATCTCAAAGTTCACCCTACAAAGTCCCAACACAAACAAATAGACAAAACATCTTTTTTTGCCCGTACTGCAACGGCTGTACACGCCGTATGGACCTGATAACTCAATTTCCCTGTACAAGAATACGTGGCAATCCGCGTGGGTTGACACGGTATGCAGGTGCTACGGTATTCGCTAACACCACTTGCCCCAACAAGTGCGTTAGAGGCTATACGGGGGACCTTTGTCTTTGTACATCCGTCGTGTGGCCATCTTGCTCAGGGATTTTTTTTGCCCCCGAGCAGGGCTCAATGGGGGGAGCCTCCTCGTCGCGTCGTGATGACGTACGATCCCTGTTGGTTGGTGGATGGTGGTGGGTGGTGGTGGTGGTGAAGCTGCCCTTGGTAAGATGGCGGCCGGGATCGCCACCCACCCCGCCGTGAGAACCGCCGCCTTCGTGGTCGCCTCCCGCGCGGCTTCTCCGCCGATTCGCCTCTCGCAGCAAGGAGCCATGGCCGCGGACAGCGAGGTAAATAAATATACGCGTTCAAATACGAGTCCGTCGACAATTACAACAACAACAACATAATTTATTGTAGCTAATTTCTAAGTTGCTGGTTGTCAGGCTGAAGGCTGATTTTGCGTGCCTGTGTTGTTTACTGGCCTGCGAGTGTGGATGCTCTGCTGTCACATGATTTAATATCAGGTTTAAGGGATTAAGGCTTTTGGTACGGGTATCGTTGGTGTGAACTTGTAATGGTAGTTTTCGTGGCGATGGAAGTATAATGTAAACATGTTTCCGGCATGTGTGACGTGGTACTTTGTCGTTGTTACTGCATTGTGTTTTTTTTTAAATCACAGTGATATTTATTACGCTACCGTAATACTCATACGTTACCCTTACAATCATATTGTTTGTGCTATTATCGCGGATATAACGTGACCGTTCAGTCGGCAGTGCAGCAAAAGACGCCTGTTACTTGTTAACTGTAGCTCCAACGGCCTCTGCGATCTATCCTCCGCCTTCTCCAAGCCGCATTGACCATCGAGGTGAAGTATGGTCAAATAGCCCCCACAAACGGTGAGTGGAGGGGGGGCGGGCTGTCATCTAGCAGTGGTATTGGCACAAGGTCTGCACATTGACGCTTTCGTTTTTATAGTTTTAAGGATACGAGTGACACTTGGTGGGAAGTCAACGGCGCTTGTTCTCCGGATGGCCTTTACCTCGCCATGGGAATGTGGACTTTCCCGCTACAGTACTGGCTCAGTGCGGCAATCGCATCAAAGATTCGGCCGGCTGCGAGTGCTGCCACCACTCCTCCAAACGATCGGACCCACATCGTAAACAAGCTTAAAGGAGGAACGGACGAGATATCCACTCTGAAAAGACAATTGGAGTGGATGGCAAATCTAAAGTTACATCTTTAATTTGCTGCTACGAATCCATACAAAAGAAGTGCGGCCGATGGACTTTGATCAACTCCCCCGCAATTGTTTGAGCAGAGAGACACCTTGACATGGCGTTAATAATGACAATTTTGCATATATACAGCCTCTTGTCAATACACTGCTGAATGAAGGCCCTCCCCACGCCGTGCCGGTTATAGAGGGCTCACTGACCATACTTCACCACGCTGGTCAGTGCAGGCACCCAGTACCGGTTCAGATGGGAATCGAACTGAGGTCGCCGGCTTCGTAGGGCAGTGCAATTCACCAACCATCACACCGCCTGTACCATAGCGTGTATAAAATATGGTACAATACTGTATTATAATTATTAGTCTTGCATTATTGGCTGTCCCAATGGCATTCTATGCAAATATTTAACTGTTACTCTTATTATATTACTGTGGTACATTGATTGGTATGTTTACGGATAATGATTAATTTCCGTTACGGTTATTATTACCGTTCCTGCGTTATTGCATCAGTATGAGCACAGCTTTGTGGATAGTCAACTGGTTGTTTTTTCTATGGTTGAACTAGCCCCAGCAGGGAAATGTGGAATTCTCACCACTGTAAAGCTAAGCCATAGGGAGCTGAGCACCATCCCATTTGAAGACGTGTGTATTACATGTGTGTTCTTGGTGTGTGAGGATGGGTGAGACCAGCCCAAATCTCCTTTTCACTGGTACTCGTAGGCAATTTTCCACTGCCGGCTCAAGGCTTCCACATCAAATTTATTTGTGGCGCTAACATGTACATAATGCATTAAAATGAAATGTACATGTACAGTAATAACCAACTAACAATTATATGTATGTAGAACTTCTTTCGCACCGTACTTAGTCAACCGTGCTGATCGGTGAAGTATGGCAGCTTTTGTTCTTTTATGACCTCAGCATCCATCAAATTGATATTCAACCCGAGGGTTCTTGGTGTTATCTTGTTTGACTTTGAGTCTCAGGTATTCACACGAAATTGTATTATTCCCTATGGTCCTTTCAACAGTCAAATTTTTGTAATTATCATTGAATCTTAATAATGCTTAGATTGTCTTAGACTGCCTGTATGACTCGAACATTGACATCCTAAATGTTTAACCGTGCACTTAGGAATTTGAGCATCTGGTATTCACACTCGACTGACAGAGTTCAGTGTGTACAGTACTGACAGGTCAAGAAGAGGCAAATGTATGCACAGATGGCCTCTACCTTGTAACAACAACGTGTTCAATCCTGTTATGATCCTCACTTAAACTATTTTTTTTGTAAACGGTTGTCAACTTCATCCAGTCACGATAAAAGTTGTTTAGTTTGAAAACTTTTGCGCTATATTTTGATGACACTACTTAATGTGCACATTTATTTCTGGTGTTTGTCACGCTACAGCCCGAGTCGGAGGTGTTTGAGATCACAGACTTCACCACTGCATCAGAATGGGAAAGGTATGGTGGAGTGTTTGGATTGTGTTTGTCTTATCATTGTTGGGGGTGGAGGACATTGTGCGACAGATCCAGCCATCCAAGTTCAATTCCTGACCACGGCTAAAATCATTGGCGAATAATGACATCCGAACTGATGTCGCGGGCCCCCCCCTTCACTAATCCACACGAAGTAGCATGGTGAAGTATGGTCAACTACACGTATGACCAACACGGTGTTGGGCCGCCATCGTCCAACAGCTTGTTACCGGGTAAAAGAAAAACAGTTTTAGCGTTGACAAAAGGTTGTGGATTGACATTTTAGGGTTCTTGCTGTTGGAAATGTATTTATACTGCTGGTGTATTTACTGTAGTAATAATGTGAACCGATATCGGTAATTGGTAGTCTACATACCGTATGCGAATGTTTACATATAATGTGTAATCATAAATGTATTGGTCTGTTAGCAACTTATACAGTCGAGTATCTCTTTGGAAGAAACATCTGGGAATAGATATACAGTATTACAGCACTGAATTAAATCACATATTGAGAGTGTGAAAAGACTAAGCATTCCTGTTAAGATTAATAATTCAGCAAACTAGTGTGGTTCACTGAAACTTTTTTGAAGGGTTATTCATTGAATTAGTTACATCATAGGTACACATGGAGCTAATTATAGAGCATTTTAACTATTTAAATTGGCTTGCCATTTTTATAACAGACTAGCTTTACTACCCGACTTCGCCCAAGACTTGGATTCTTGTCTTGGATTAATACACGGCCTACGCGGAGGGTCGGGGGGGGGGGCGATGCGTGACGTCAGCAAGCACACTGCATAACGCTGCCGCATGCGGGTGACATCATAGATGTGACGTCACCGCTCACTTGCCGTGCAAAATATATCCATTATTGCATCCCCCCCAAAATATAAAAGTCTATTTTTATACGTTTTGCATTGTGTACAGTCTGGAAGCTACCCACATGCCAAATTTCAAGTTTGTTGCATGTTGGGAAGTATGCTAAACATTTCGAACAGACACACATTCACAAATTTCCCTTTTATATATGGAGACTTACTGAATGTATCTCCACTCATAGGTGGATGGATGCGTTTCTACGGATTGAACGCTGTCTTGCCATGAATGACCACACATTAACTGCTGTAATATAAAAATATGTCCTTTGTATATCTACTGCTGGATGAAAGTCTTCCCACGCCTTGTTGACCATGCTTCACCACACTCATGAGCTCAGGTTGGTGAAGAGAGGGTGGGTGGTGCTAACCACTGCTCCATCGCTCTATTCCAGTATCATCAATTCATTTACATATTTTCATTTAAGATTCCCAAAGCTTTCTCGAGGACCTTTTTCTTTTGCTGAGACACGGATGAGTCTAATTTGTCTGCACAGCTCAATAGCTGAAGCTGGAGGTTGTAATATTGTAAACCTTTCGACTGATGTCCTTTGTAGACAAGTGCATGTTTTACCACTACATCTTCTTTCATGAGCTTTCAAAATTAATGAAAAGTAAATTTTATTTCTGAATGCCTAATGAATATAGTTGAGGATGTCTCCCCTGTTAAAGGGACAGCACTCATGTCCATTTGAGCTGAGCCAGGCTCTTCACAGGATAACCACTGTTGACTTCTCCCAAATTGGTACTTCTGACTAGGATGTGACCTCTTTTTAACCTTCCCAAAGGGTGAATTCGCACTTTAACCACAGTGCCATCTGATTGGATAAATGCTGATTGCACGAGCGATGCATATTTATTCTTGAATATATGAAATGTTGTTCCTTTACTCCAGATGTTTTTGTATTATGCAGGTTCATCTCCCGCGTGGAGGAGGTTTTGAACGACTGGAAGCTGATTGGACAATCACCGTCTCTGCCGGTTCGCAAAGTAAATAACTTGTATGATATGCTTATACATCAGGCAGCATTTTTATATTTTTCTTAATCATATTTAATTTAAATCATCATTATAAGTCATCCACTGCTGGATGAAGGCCTCCCCACGTCGTCACCATCTCTCTTTGTCCCACGATGCCACAATCCATCGCACTCATGTGCATGAGCTGATCTCATCGCTCCAGCTCTGTGGTGGTCATCCTCTCAGCTGTGTTCTCTTCTTTGGTTGCAATTCCGCCCCCATCCTCGTCCATGGGCCATCATCCTTGTAGCGATGTATTCTGTCCAAGTTTATGTACTTTTCGCAACAGTCAAGATCTCTCCAATTTCTAATTTGTTTTCTGTCCCATATGTTCCATCCGCATCTCGGTGAAGCTGCATTGGTTCATACTTTAATAATCTTTATGCCTTTATTTTTCCGATCGGATACTTTATATCAAACGAGCAATGCTCCTCTTTCTCTAATGGCAGTCCTCAGCCAATGGTGGAAAATATATTACTAGACAACCGCTGTTGATTTGCCACAAAGTAGCATGCACATTTTTCATTGATTGTAATAATAAATAAGACATTTTTAGCGAGGCAATGCTAAGCATTGATGACACTACATTGAGTAGAATTTGACTCACGGCATCAGACAATATACCCATTGTTTCACCAGATTCAAGTGTTCCATGGTTGACACTGACCTCTAAGGTTGTTTAACTACCTCTTTCCGTAAAATCCCATTGTTTAAAGTCTTGGCTTAGGCAGGACTTGACAATACAATGTTGTTGTGGTGTACAGTGTTTTGCAACTTGTGGCCTTTTAGAAGTGTCCATTTATCAAGGATTTGCCATGATGTGATGTTAAAAGTGGATGTTTAAAGAGCTTGTGACATTATTTGCAAGGGTAGAGCATTGTGTGCTTTGTGTTGTAGCTCGAATTGACTAAGTTAGAAAATGGCCTGTATAAAAATGTATATTAAAGAACTCACGTTTACCATACCAAAGAGAGAATGCTGTTACAGAACTAGAGGAGAGACCCCTTTAGCGGAATACGTGAACAATTGTTATTTCGTTCTTAATAAGAATTATGTCATTTATAATTACTGGGCCTATCGTACCTCCATCAGTAAACTCAATGAAATGTGAAATTTGTGATTTCCACAAGGGGGAGTACACGACAGGCACATGGGAGGAGGAGACGGAGGAGGTGATGTTCGCGAACTTCCGCTTCTCGGTGATCCACCACTACCTGAAGCAGGAAAGCATCGACGGCAAGGAGGCCAGGGGCGAGGCTGCCGAGGATGATGGTACAAAGTGCCCTGGTATTAGAGTGCCCCTTTACACACTTAGATCGTGGTCAAAAGGGTCAAGAGTTCATTCGTGGAAAATGTTGTTGATGCTGCCACACCTTGAATCAGCGGGGGTATGAATTAGTGAATTAGTACAGAATGGGTATGTGTTTGTAGTGCATTGTGCACAAATATCCAGCTGGGTGATGTTGGTGGCAAGATGTTCGACATATTTGTAATGAAATTTTGATTTAAAGCTTTCGTGACTGCAGGGATTCATAATCTTGTTTCTTTCGGAAAGTCAAATATATTATTTTATTGTTTACCTTCTACGTGACTTTACCAAAAGAACCAAGAATATATATTTGTAATGAGTTCAAATTCCAATTGTGCTTGTATTGTTGATAAACTTAGAAAAAAATTGCAACAAGCCAGTGGCCAGAAGTCTTATGAATAGATTGCCACCGGATGTAGGAATATAGAGTTATCGCCACTGGCTCTTGACTGATAAAGGAAAGGAGCACAGCCTCACTCTAGGTAGAGCAGGATACCCTTTTAAATTATGCAATTACCCTGCACTGCAAAAATTTGGAACTTGTTATCCACCACTGCCTTTCTGCATGATTACCATTTCCAGTTTGTAAAAGTGAAATGTTAACCACCTTACCACTCCCAGATATATATATATATTGCTGATAGCGATTAGTTTCACTGTACATTAAGTTCTTATATCATAAATGTTAAGTTCCATAAATTAAAAAACCTTGTGTTGTGGAAATTGTGACAGATGCTCTTCCCGAAGCCATGCAGGACCTGGTGTCCATGGACAATGACTTTTCTCCCAGAGCTCACTGCCTTGTGCGCTGGTAAGGCCTCGAGCACATGTTACGCATGCAAGCCCATGTCACTTAATTCTGCTGCATACAATGCATTTCAGTGCAATTTGGATTAATATTGTGTCGAAATACAAATAAAACAAACTCATATATCTTCCCTTATTCTCTCCTGCCGCTCTTGCTTGAGCCGCAAATAACTTTTATGTATTTCCGATTCAATTCCTTCCACTTTAGTCTATACTGAACACCATTTCCTCTCTATTTGTTTTGTTAAAATTGTCTTTAAACTGCTGAGCATTTTTTCTTTGAGCCAACTTCTCAACATTTTTTACTCTTTGCACTAACACAGGCATTCGTCCCATTATCTACCCAGCCCTTACGTCTGCCTGGTCACCATTACTTCACACGTGTGTCTGTGTGTGTTTACCATTTTCCGCAGGAATGGCCTGAGAAATTTTGTCATCATTGCTCCCTCGGCTGCCTCTGAAGCTGTGATCACAGAATCCAAGTGCAATCTGCTCCTGAGCTCTGTCAGCATTGCTTTGGGCAACACGGGCTGGTAGGTGGTCCAGCGTGAAGATACTTAGGGCCACATAGAATTTTATGAACATTATCACCAGCAGCAACATTAACAACATTACTGTTACCATTTGGGGCATTGTTATTCGCACATTGTTGTTAGCAGTAGCAGTAACAATCTTCATTATCAACATAATCATCAACGTAATTAGTTGTATTAGCTTCACGTCTAGTAACATGATCATCATCACACCACCAGTCGCATCACTATGAGCTTTACCAGTTGTAGCATAATCTTTAACATAATCAATAACAAAAGCGGCAACAACAGCAGCAGGAACATCAATTCCAAACAATAGTGATTGCTTCCTGTGATATTCGTAGTTTTTTTGTACTATTTATTGATTTTGATTATGCCTAGCTGTGTACACTCATCGCTAAACATTCTTGTCTCTGTATATGCGTGTGTGCGTGTGTTCCATCCACAATTTGTGTTGCATCCATTTGGGAAGCGGTAATGCAATTGTTAGGGCACTGTACCACGAACCCGGCAACCCATGTTTGATTCCCATACACGACCAATAACAGTGAAATATATCTGAACTGGTCCTGGACTTCCTCTAGGTTGACTCAACCTTAACTTAGTACCTAGTGTGCTGTGTAAACATCAGCACTTGGGAGACAAAGGCTGTCGGGCGTGGTGTTGACAAACCACGCCCTCGTCTGCCGTGCCGGCGTTCATGGACGCTCGCCAGCAGCACTTGTTCCAACAGTCTGTTAAAGGCTATAAGGGGGGATCTTTGTTGCAGCCAGGTGCCAGTATTCGTGCAGATCCAGCAGAAGTGGCGCCGCATGTTCTCTGGCCTGTGCGAGGGTCCCGGCGTACGTACGGACTTCGAAATGGTTCACCTACGCTCGCCAACAGCACTTGTCCCAACAGTCTGTTAATGGCTATAAGGGGGGATCTTTGTCTTTGTTGCAGCCAGGTGCCAGTATTCGTGCAGATCCAGCAGAAGTGGCGCCGCATGTTCTCTGGCCTGTGCGAGGGTCCCGGCGTACGTACGGACTTCGAAATGGTTCACCTGCGCAAGGCGCCCAATCACTACAATCACCTGTCTGGCCTGCTGGACGTCTTCAAATCTAAAATTGTAAGTCTGTGACAAATCTGACACTCTGTGGTGGTATTTCGATACTATGATTTGCTGAATTTGGCTGTGCAATTTTTTTTACTGGGCCAAGTTCATTGTTTAACATCTATTGTTTTTGCATGTGCACTAAGCTTGATGTTGGTTGTGTCTGTTTGCAGGCCTGCCCATTGTCCCACATACCTCCTGTGAGTGTCAGCATTCGCTTCACCTACGTGCTGCAGGACTGCCAGCAGTACTCATGGCCCCAGCCACCTCCAGGTATGCTCTTCTCACCCTACTGCATCATTACTATCATCATTGTTACCACCTGTCTCATCATGATTATCATAATCAGATTTTGTGATGGCCAGATAGCCGAGCTGTGAACACTACTGAGCCATCATGGGACCTCCTGAGCCACTATACTCTTGAGTTGTAGGTTCAATTGCCATAGTTCCTCCTCATGTTTTTGAACCGAAGGACACATTTGCATTTTTGTATCGATTGATGTGTTTTTTTAGTAGACCCACAAGAATATGACTTTCTCCCAATATGTGATTTCGGCTGCATTTGTCATGGTATTTTGATTAGTGTATGACCTGAAGTTTGTTATTGAGATGTGCTGTGCAAATGAGATATTGTATTAATTTACAGAGCTAAGGTTTTTTAGGAGTGATTATAACGATCACGACTATACATAGTGACTCACTGTGAATTGGTTCTACCGTTTCATTGTAAAGTTTAAGCATTATTTTATCGTGGCATTTTATGCAATTATACATGCCACATTTCGGTAGCGCTGTGGCAAAGTGATGGAGTCAAAATTATAAGGTTGCGATCTCCAGCCTTGGACATCATCTCGGCCCATAATTTCTCTGTGGTTGATAAAACGAGTACCATTTAGTGGAAAAACAACATTGGTCATCCTGTGGGGAGACTGGCTTCTACCTTGATAATTATGAAACTCAACACATTCTTCAATAACAGTCTTTAAAAGAAAAATCTATAATTGACGACATTTCGAGCAATGGCCCTTCTGCGCAGCACATAGAGAGTCCAGAGAGGTAGAGTGGTTAAGAGTTTTATCAATAACTTTATATACCACGAGGCTTCATAAGAACTATCATTTTTTTTAAAACGTTTCCTGATTTATATTTTTTACATAATTCATGCAGAAATGTATTTCTCGTTCCAATTTCTCATTTCAATATAATTAACTATTAGTATAATGCACTTGATGACGATGTGTTTATTTTTTTGTCCTATATGCTTGTGCACAACACAATATCACGATTATGAGGAATGTCCCCTGCTGGTTCATGGCAGCTAAAGGACTTGAATGCCACGCCAGAGTTTATTTGGTCAGCAAAACATTAATTATTTTAAACGAGAGCCTAATGATGGTTACATTGGAGCTCATTCTCTGAAGAACGTGAACTGTATAGTGCCGCGGATTTGCTTGTCGCAGACTTTGATGCCCTGGTCGGTGGCGAAGTTGGTGCTCTTGAACTCGGCAAGCTGCCCTTCGGCGCGTGTGAAGACCCTGTGAGGTGGGTGGCAATGCATATACGATGAGCTGCCTTTTGAGTGCCCTTTGATGAAATGAGGACCGTTGTGTTGGTTATCCTGTGGAGAAGGCTGACTTCGAACAAGGGGATGTGGAATGTTTATCCTTTGCAAAGGGTCGCCAGTGGATATGAGTATTGCACCATGCTGGGTTAAGCAGATACACTTCGATGTTGGTTATCTACTTAATGAAACATCAACATGTTCGGTTTCCTACGTATTTTTTGGTAAATTCGTTTAGTGTTTTTATTGTGCAAATTCATTGGTTGACTAAATTCACTCAGCTTGAGGACCTAGTTTAGTCACGATTAAACTGCCCAACAGTCAAATCCAGGTTCTTGGCAGTTCCAGCATATAACGCTTGTTTCCCATTAGGCTTAGTCTCAAAACTCTTTTTCAGATGTCAAGTCTTGGGGGGGGGGGGCGATGTTGCTATGTGTAATCTAAATTGAGTGGTTTTCAGGTACATTTTCAGCATTGGGATGTTTTTGACAAATACCAGTTAGTGTTTTTTTTCCCATGATGGTAACGACTGATGACTGGTCATGAAGATTATTAATAATGATGACAAAGGTGACAATTACGACAACGATGAAGATCATTTTAAAGCTTTCGTGACTGCAGGGATTCATATTTTTGCTTCTTTCGGTAAAGTCACCACGTAGAAGGGAAATACTTTTATTGTTTTATTTCTATTGTTGTATTATTTCCCTTCTACGTGACTTTACCGAAAGAACCAAGAATAAAGATGAAGATCATGTTGATGACGATGACTTCTGGTCCACACAGTACTGGGCAGCACTACGATGATGCATCATAGATAAGTTTACGAGATTTGGCCTAGACTGTAATAATCAGTGTTTAGATAATGGCATTACTCCCCCCCCCCCCGAGTTATCATCCCATATTGATCCTGTGGTCTTCCTTTGGCAGTGAACTGCACCTCGCCGCTACTTGGCCACATCTAACGGAAGACATTATCGTGGACAATGACGTTTACTCGTAAGTAGAGCATGCACGCATTGGATTGTCTTGTAAATATCAGGTGAGTATTTACGTGTTGCCAAGTGGTGCTGTGGCATGGGACGGTGCTTTGGTCAGTGAGAAGATTGTCAATTAAAATCCCTGTCATTGTTCAACGCAGTTCGCAATCCATCTGTATGAGAAGTCAAGTGATTCGTTTATAAATAAACTGTCTTCTGTCATGGGAATATGGAATTGGGACTGCTGAATTAGAGCTGTGAATGGAGATGAATGTTCCCCAATGTTTTTTTGGAGAGGGATGCGCTTTATTATTTTTTGCAATTAAATGTTTCTAGATCATTGGTTAATTCATCAAAGTCTGATGAGCATAAATATATTTATTTTTTATGTCCGTGAAATATCCTGAAACCTGGTGTTGTCAAGCCAAGTCTCATGCCACAAATTACTAAGAAGTGTCTGCCTGTTCTCAGAGCTTAGCACTACTACTACAATTGACAGTGACATTGTTGCCTCTGTGTCCTTGCTGTCCAGTGATCTCGACCCAGTTCAAGCCCCTCAGTGGTCCGTGCGAGTGAGAATGGCTGATAACCCACAGTGCCTTCTGGGTAAGTTGGTACTTGGCAGTTTACCCAGAGTGCCCACTGTTGTCATTGTTGTCGTTATCAGCCTCTAACTTCGGACTGCTGGGCAAAGGCTCCCACGTATTCTTTCATTCCTTTGCTTAGTTCTTGTCTGTCCCTTGACTTTTTTTTGCTTCTTTTTCCTTCTCTCAGTCTTCACTCCAAAGGTAATTTTGTCTTACCTTCTCTCGTCAATTGTTTTCATGACGTGTCCTTCCCATTTCCACATGATTTCTTTTGCTTTAACAAAGGCATCGGTGATCTATTTTTTCTTCCTTATGTTTTTTAACTCCAAAAATGTTTCATACCAAAGATGTTTAGTAAACGTGTTACATGGTTATTTGTTTACAGTGGTAACAGGGTAAGTTGATATATGCCAGTTTGCATTCATTTGCTTTTTAGTGAATTTGAACATGGCCACTTGCCCTCATTGCCTTTTAGTAAGTTAGTCCATGGCTATATTCCCATAGTGATTTATGTTTGCCAAAATATGAGGCTTTACCTATCATTTCTATTAATAAAAAATATATATTTTTTATGCATTGCTTAACAAGAACATAATTTTGTCAAAGTGACACTTTCCACATTTGCATAAATTTCTCTGCAGAAGGCTAAAACATCCTCGAGCCTATGTAACCATGTTGCCATGAAATGTGAAGAAAACAGGAAGCTTCAGGACTTAAAAATGTCAGATTTATTGTTTTTTCAGCTGGCTTATGGCTATAAACTTGAGAAGATCACTTCCCAAAAGCTACACGTTTTATAGCGTTTATGGGCTCATAAAAATATGTCTTCTACATAAGTTACACCAACTTACTGCTAATTAAAAACAGGCTGTGTTCTTGTGTTGTCATCCTTTTAATGGAGCCTCTCAACTTTGAACTGAGTATTTGTTCATGTGATGTGGGCTGTTAGTCACAAGCGCAGAGTTCATTCATAGAGGCTGTTTGTATTTTCTGGTGCAGGGGACTTCCTGTACGAGTTCCACTCATTGTGCCATCGTAAAGAATCCACCGACGAGCTGCTGGGGAAGGCGGTCTTCGACGATGAAGCCAAAGGTATTTGCTGAAACTGATATAACATTTGACAGTGCAACTATTTGTGAGTGTGGTTTAAATTTTTCAGCTGCTATGCACGTTATGGTCAAGACCAACATGGCCACAATTTGTCCCTTTGTTCTGAAGGTGTCACGTCAGTGGTGCGTGCGGCCAGGTGGCGATCCTGATGTCTAATTGCCCTTGTTGTCTTTGCTGCCTACTCCACGCCCCCATCACCAGAGGGAGCAGACATCAGCCAGGCGCTGCAGAGGCTGACAGAGCCCGTGCCCGTGCACATGCCCACGCTCTCCTCCATGAGCAGCATGGTGCAGGGCGCGCGCAAGCGTATACGCAGCCGCCGGCCTCGTGCCTCGGAGACGCCCATCCCCAACGCCCTGCTCAACTCTATGCTGCTGGTGTGCATTTGCGCGTGTGTGCGCATGGGTGCATGTATGCGAGTCGAGTGAAAGCGTGGTGGTTAGTGCGCTGCGGTACGAACCTGGCGATCCGAGTTCTATTCCCGCTCACGGCCAACACCAGTGATGAATATCTGAGCTGGTATTGGGGCCTCCCCTAAATCGACTCGGCCTCAAATGAGTGAACATCGCCACTGGAGAGACAAGGCTCCATGGTGCTGGCCACCCACCCCTTCGTGTGCTGGCCTTCATATGTGCTTGCTAGCAGCACTTGCCCCAACAGTCTGTGAAGGCTTTCCAGGAGATCTCTGGCTTTTCATCCCAACAGCCTGTTTAAAGCTGTCTAAATTGTACCCAGTGTGGCATAAATCCTGTGGTGGTAATACCACCAACACTTAATGTGGAATGGTGACTGTTATGCGGTGGTGTAGTGGTGAGTGCATGGCACTACATGGGTTTTAAGTGGTATCTATACTGATCCTGGGCCTTCTATAGATTGACTGTGCTTGCTATAGTGTGTAAACAACAGCAAATAGGGAGACTAAGATTTCATCTTCTTTGGTCCTTTCGGTAAGGTCACGTAGAATGAGAATAAAATAATAAAATAACACAATAAAATTCTCACGACGTTTCGGCCACAACGCAAGCGGCCGTCTTCAGGTGAAAGGTACAGACCTGTCGGGACGACAGCTTCAATGAACGATGTTAAGATTCGTAGCGACTTTTAAGCTGGTTGGGAGAAGTGAGGCACCTTGACAAAGGGGTTTACATATCAAATAGCTGAGGGATTAGCTTGTGACTGGTCATGGAAATGGCTATGTTAAAGTCAAAACCTACACATCCACAGAGGCAACTAGTAATTTAGCATTGAAATAGCTAAGGGATTAGCGTGTGACTGGTCACAGAAATAGATGTTAAAGTAAAAGCCTACACATCCACAGAGCTTCAATGAACGATGTTAAGATTTGAAGCGACTTTTAAGCTGGTTGGGAGAAGTGAGGCACCTTGACAAAGGGGTGTTCATATCAAATAGCTGAGGGATTAGCTTGTGACTGGTCACGGAAATGGCTATGTTAAAGTCAAAACCTACACATCCACAGAGGCAACTAGTAATTTAGCATTGAAATAGCTAAGGGATTAGCTTGTGACTGGTCACAGAAATAGATGTTAAAGTCAAAGCTTACACATCCACAGAGGCACCTCGTACATGGACGCCAAAGGGGGCTGCAACAACTCAACTGTCATACAGTAAACCGATGTGAAAAACCTAATTCTAAATTACATCATATAATAAATGTACTCAATATATTCTTCAATAAGCTGAGCTATTAACATTAACTGGGTATACACTACACTATATAATGAATACTATATAGTAAACCAATAAAAACTAAAATATAAACTACCTCAATGTTATATCACAATGTTATATGGTGAAAAAACGGGTGGATTCTTACCTTCCACTTCAGCACCACGGACAGCTACGTTCAGACGGACAAGTCCATCCATGGTTAGAGCGGAGGAGGAAGGAGGGGAGAAACAGCTGCGAGGCGCTGTTATACTCCCATGTTATGAACCATACCATTAACCGTGGTGTGAGAGGTATTAAGAGTCAGTGCCAACGAAAGAGCTGCGGTCTGAAGGTCCTCGTAAAATACAATTAATTAAGAACCGAAATGGTTTAAAACATCTTTCCAATGGTTACTAAGCCAGAATCCATCTTTTCGGTTGAAATTGTCTCTGTGTTTGTATATGTGGATGGCCTCATGAACGAATCTCATGGTAGCCGGTTGGTTTGCAAAGAACCTCTGTCTTGGAGAAGTCAATGTCATGTGAGCCCACTGAATTATAACAGTGATCTGCCACGGCAGAGGAGTTCATTCTACCGTGTTTCAAGTCTGCTTTATATTCGCGGATGCGGTCCGAGATATGTCGTTTGGTTTCTCCAATGTAGCTACTACCACAGAGGCACTTTAGTTTATAAACGCCCGGGTACTGTATGTCTGGAACAACATCTTTTACAGATGGAACCAGATCACGGATTTTATGTACTGTATTGAATCGGACCTGGATCTTGTGTTTATTCAGGATTTTGGGGATCTTTTTAGTGACCCCTGCAATGTAGGGTAAGGTGATGGTTTTGAGTGGCTCCACAAGAGGATCCTTTGATGGCTTTGCGGATTGTGTAGTCGGAGTAACCATTAGCTCTGAGAGCCTGGTGTACGTGCTTGAGTTCACTGGTAATGTGTTCCTGGTCGGAAATGCATTGGGCTCTATGGTATAGAGTCTTGATGAGCGAGTTCTTCTGGGATGGATGGTTGTGGGAATCCGGTTTCAAGTAAGCATCTGTATGGGTAGCTTTCCTGTAGACATAGTGGCTCATTGAACCATCAGGTCTCCTTTTAATTAAGACATCCAAAAAGGGTAGTTTGCCATCTTTTTCGACCTCCATGGTAAATCTGATGGCTGGGTGTATGGAATTGATGTGGTTGCGGAATTGGTCTAGAGCAGGCTGGCCATGTGGCCAGATGACAAAAGTGTCATCTACGTACCTCTTCCATAAGGTCGGGCGTAGAGTGGCAGTCTGGATGGCGTCAAGTTTCGAATTTTTCCATGAATACGTTGGCTACAACCGGAGATAGGGGGGAGCCCATTGGGGTGCCCTCAGTTTGTTTGTAGAAAATTCCATTCCAGGTGAAGTATGTGTTGGTTAAGCAATGTCTCACCAGAGGGGGTACATCAGTGTGCAGTCCTTGATGAACCAGGTCTTCAATGATAGCGATGGTGTCTAAGATTTCTTAGCATGGTGTCTAAGATTTCTTAGCATGTATGGTGCTGGCCATACTGTCCCCTCATGTGCCTTGCCAATCTGAGTGGGTGCTCACTAATAGCACTTATCCATACAGTCTGTAAGGATAATAGTCGGATCATTTATGTTTTGCGTATCAAAGTCCAAACTCAAAATGTTTCCATACCTAAAAAGCATTTTTGTTGGCATTAGCAGTGGAAATTCCACTCAACTTTTGATAGCTTGGCACCAATTTCATCAATAGATGAGTCACCCCCCCCCCCCCCCCCAATGGGATTTGAACCCAATTTTCATTACCTATCTCATTCTGGTCGTTTTTAAAGCAATTTCCAAGTCTCCTTGAACATCCTCATACTGCACGGGCTTCATCCAGCACTGTGTGAATAGTGGCTTCAAATTATTACACGTAACAGATGCGTTCCCTAATTGTTGCTCGTCACATTTTCTTGTGCTGTGGCAGTACCTTTTCCCAGATGCAGCTGACAAGTCGGCAGAAAGCCCAGATGCTAAAGCCACTTGTTCAGTCACAACAGCTCCAGTTACTGAAGATGATGAAATGGTGGTAAGTGATATGGGGGGGGCGGGGGTTGGTGGATCACACAAGCATACGTGATATGCTGCTGTGCATGGCATACCAATCAGCCTGGTAATAAGTTGCCTGTAGGATGGTAGTGCAGTAAAAATAGTCTTTGCAGTGTGTGGTCACTTGTGTGTATCTGTTTTCTCTTATATTTCTCTATTGTCTCGTGAAGTATACAATTTCATAAACGGTAAGGTCTCAGCACCCAAGGGTTAGGATCCGTGTACACACGCATAAGCGCAAATTCGTGTAAGTTGGGGTTTGTCTATACGAGTGTATGTAACATGTATATAAATGTACATAAATGTTTAATAAAGTACAGTACTGTATAGTAAATGATTCCCTAATCCGTAGCATCCACGTCAGATAGAACACTAAATCTTTTGGACTCGTTTCTTACGCGGGCGATACAGTTACATGTTGTCAAATACGCATTCACATGATGGCGGGCGCTGATTTGACTCCTTGCTTCCCACGCCGTGCGTGTTGCGAAAGCACGAGTCACAAGTGTAAGTATTAATCAGGGTCGGTCGCGTATGAGCGGGTCCGCATGCCCTGAGCCTGCGTACTCTGTGACCTTACTGTATGCATTCATAGACCACAACTACTTGATATTATCCCAACTACCCTAGTTTGATTCCTGGTCATGGCCAGCACAAGTGGTGATTATATCAAGAGGTCTTGGGCCTTCCCTAGGTTAACTCTGACTTAAATGATTGTTATCGTGTATAAATATCAGCAATGGGGAGACAAAGGTGGCCGTGCATGGTTGTGACCATACCACCCTCTCATGAGCTGTCCCGGCCTTCGTAGGTGCTCGCAAACAGTACTTTCCCCAGCAGTCTTTCTGGCTGCACACAGAATATTGCCTTTGTTTATACTCTGTGTGTATTTATGCATCTGCGCACAGCTCACAATCTCTCCGTTTGATCGCCCTGCTAGACTCTGCATCGCAGCCTCAAGTCAGCGCCGGCTGACAGCCTGACCCACAAACTTGCGCTGTGCCTATGCACCGTCAACTACCAGCACGGCGGCCTCAAGGGAGTGGCTCACCTTTGGCAGGAGTTTGTGCTGGAGATGCGCTATCGCTGGGAGAACAACTACATTATCTCTGGGTAAGAGAATCATGCACTGCTTGGGATCCTTTCACTCTTGTCCGGTGAGTCTGTCTTCAGTTTAGAAGGAGTTTTGCAAATGTGACTGCATCTGGCATTGGGTGTTACTCTTGGTCTCCAGTCTCTAGGTGCCCATTACCAATGACTGTCTCGGAGAAGAGGTTTGTCAAGATTTACACAATCGATGATTTGATGAGTTAACACGATTTGGCATTTTGATTCAAAATACAGATAGATATTTTAATACTTGTGGCAGATATACAAATCTATATTCGTGTGAATATATGAAGCAATTGGCAGGACCCCGGGGTACCATCACTGCCCCAGGGTGGGAAAAACCCGCGTAGCGACACGAGTCTTGCCTTAGCGACAACAAAACTAGTGTCAATCGATTGGCCTCGTCGAGAGCTACTCGGGGCACTAAGTTTCGTAAAAAGTTGAAAAATTACATCAACACGTTAAATTCACTGCCTGCGGGGCGGCGGGCTCGCCTTGGCAAAGAAGCTGAGGATCGACGGCTGACCATAGGGCGACTGCGGCGGACGCCCCCCGGGGCTCGCGTTTGGCCGGTGGGGTGGCGCCCATCGTGTCGATCGCCGCCTGCTGCTGGCGCTTGTTGGCAAGAGTCTGGGTGGGCGGCGCGTTGCTGTCGGGATCACGAGTGGGCGGACTGAAAAAAAATAATTATTATTGACCTGATTTTTGCGGGACTCCGGGGTCCCGCCAAATAATTCATATGTAATATATTGCGTGATAAACAAATTTGTCTCGGAAATAATTGATTGTAACGTGCACTATTCAACGTTTTTTTTAATTGTGAGTGTAATAATTAGTTTTCGTTGAGAAATCAATGAATTGTTGCGTCATGCTCAATAATAACCTGCCCTGTTCCATCCAGTCCACGTCCCACCCATGACAACCTCTTTTTCCTGATCATCTCTTTTCCACCACATTTTATTTAAAACGTTCATGCACTGGTACCCAAAGCCATAACGATTTAGCTTTTGAGACATTTGGTGCTGAGGCTGGACAGTAGGGTATCAAGATTAAGGATGAAGCAGTGTTTCATCTTCTTGGTACTTTCGGTAAAGTCACGTAGAATGGAAATAAAATAATAAAAATAAAACATAATAAAATAAAATTCTCACGACGTTTCGGCCACAACACAAGTAGCCTTCTTCAGGTGAAGGAACAGAACTGTCGGGACGACAGCGCTTCAATGAACACTGCTAAGCTTGGCAGCGTCTTTTAAGCTGGGTGGGAGGAGCAGAGCGCCTTGACAAAGGAGTTTACATATCAACAGAAGAATTTAGCATTGAAGTAGCTCTGTTAATGTGTTGGATTAGCAGGGTGTTAAAGTCAGAAATTAGCATGTAACTGGGAGATTAGCATGATGTTAGTGTGAGGGATTGGCATGTAACTGGTCACGGAAGTAGCTATGTTAAAGTCAGAGTTTACATATCAACAGAGGCATTTAGTATATTGACGCTAAAGAACTGCAACCACCCAACTATCATACAATAAGCCGATGTGAAAGAACTAAGTATTAACTACATCAATATAATAAATGTACTCAATATATTCTTCAATAAGTTGAACAATTAACATAAAGTAACTGGGTATACACTACACTATATAATGAATACCATATAGTAAACTGATTAAAAACTAAAATAAACTACATCAATATTATCAATAAACTCAATATACTCTCCAATCAGCTGAGCTACTAACAATAAGTCATTATACATTACAATTCTATGTCGAAAAAAGTGGCGGTTTCTTTTTGACGTTAGCACCACGGAAAGCGACGAGCTTTGTTCAGACGGACGAGTCCATCTGTGCTCGGAACGGAGGACGGGGGAGAGAGAGAAACAGCCACGATGCGCTGCTCTGTCCTGTGTTGCGTTACAACTATGCTATAAACTAGGCTACTATACATTACAATGTTATACCTTCCAATCTAAACTACATTGTATAATATCGTATACACAGCCCAATGTAAGCTCTAACACAGGGGTGTCCAAACTTTTTTTTCCTGAGGGCCACATACAGAAAAATACACGAAGGGCTGGGCCACTCACTAGACGTGAGGTATACTGCCTCACTTTTCATGCACTAATATTGGCAAAATCAATCAAATGCAGGTAAATTATGTTTGATAATAATTGAACATGTTTGAAGAAAAAAAGCCTCCATCATAGCTCCCCATTAGTAGATTTTTATTTTATTTTTTACAAAAAGGTTGGCAGGTCATTCTCTAAGTGATAGCCTCAGATTGGTTCTTAGGGTGCTGATCCCCCTTCATTGTCCTGTATGAAGGGAGAGACAAGAGAAATAGGGGATATGGATATTTAAAGCTTATTACACAAATAAATCATTGGGCTTGTTAACACATCATCTAACGTTAGTTAAAAAATTGTCATCAACTTTAATTGACTGAATTTATTAAGTAATTTGGCTTATTAACAAATGAAAACTGTGTGTATATTTTTAACTTACCTGTAATGGGAAGAATGTTGCGCTCAGTGGGAGCAGTGATGCTGCGCTTTGGTCTGAAGGATAGCTGGCAGGTCAGGAGTAAGTTTGGTGGTTGAGATGCGAAGGACGTCACGGAGATGGCTGTCGGTCGTTCTGGTTCTCAGTTTGCTTTTGTTCAGCGTTAACAGAGAGAATGTCTGCTCACAGATGTATGTTGAGCCGAACAGACTCATCATTCGTTTTGTGTGGCGTCTCATCAGAGGAAACTTGGCCTTTTCCAAGCTCCGGTAGAAGTTAGGTAGGGAGAGAAGCTAATGCTGATTCTTCAGAGAATCATCACACTGAATTTCGATCAGTTATAATTGCAGACTCTCCTCCACTTCTTTTGCATCCATTGAAAACAGAGCCGCAAACAGTGTGATTTCCTTCTCAATGACAGAAAAATCTTGGAAGCGCTGACTGAATTCTGTCATGAGAGATGTGATCACAGACACATATTCTCCCATTTTTGCAGAGAGCTTAGCATTTGGAAATGTGCATTTGATTTCGGTCAGCGTGGGGAAGTGCGCTACATTGAAGTTGCACAGTTGTGACTCGAAGAGACGGAGCTTCGCACGGAATGCTTTCATGTGCGCATATAGCTGTGGTACCAGCTGCTCTTTGCCTTGTAGTCTCTTGTTCAGGGTGTTGAGATGATCAGTGAGATCAACTAAAAAAGCCAGGTCTGCCAACCATAAAGGGTCACTGTTCTCATGGAGAGGTCTGCCCTTTTCTTTCAAAAACTTGTCCATATTTGATCTCATGGAATAAAACCGTTGCAGCTCGGAGCCGCGACTGAGCCAGCGCACTTCAGAATGGTAGAGTAGGTCCCCGTATTCAGCATCGACATCAGAGAGGAACGCTTGAAATTCTCTGTGGTAAATCCCTCGTGCCCGAATTATGTTGACAGTTTTCACAAATGTGTTCATCACATCGCCAAGCTGGATTATCTTGGCACAGAGGGCTTCTTGGTGGATGATACAGTGCATTTTGACAGCCTCACCTCCGCTCTCCCGCAACTTGGCACTCACCATTGAGGCCATTCCTTTGCGCTCGCCTGTCATTGCTGGAGCCCCATCCGTTGTAATTCCACACAGCTTGTCCCATTTAAGTCCAGCCTGGTCAACTGCATCTGACACAGCTTCAAACATGTCCTTCCCAGTTGTTGTCCCCTTTAGACTCCGAAGATCGAGCAGCTCGTCCGTAATGCAAATCAACTCTCCGCAAAAAAATTAACAGCTGTGCAGTGTCCGTGACATCTGTGCTGTCATCACATGCAATCGAGTGAAAATCGAAAGCACAAGCTTTATCTGACACTTGCTGTTTTAAGTTAGCCGACAAGTCTTCAATTCGCCGCACGACCGTATTTCTGGACATACTAACATCGTTGAAATCCTGCATTTTCTCCGGGCACATTATTCCCACGACTTTAGTGAGGCACTGTTTGATGAAGTCACCGTCTGAGAAAGGTTTCCCGTGTAGGGCAATGAGTTGAGCTACTTCATAAATGGCTATTGTTGCATTTTCTTGAGCTTTGTTAGTATGGAAAAAAACCTGCTGCGTTAGCAGGCTAGCTGCCATTTGCTTTACCTTCTCTTTTCGCTCAGCGCCAGTGTAGGACGTGAAGGTCTGATGTTTCGTTTCATAATGCCGTCGTACATTGTACTCTTTCATCACGGCAACATTCTCATTACAAATAAAAACAACACACTTCCCCTTGGTTTCTATGAAAAAATAATCATTTTCCCACCGAGTCTGAAATTTTCTGCACTCGCTTGCAATCTTGCGTCTCTTCGGTTCCGGCATTTCTGGTGACCCTGAGCAATTTTTTTCTTTGATTGCTTGCTTTGTGGAGACGCTGCCTTGTTCAAGACAATAGCGCCACTTAGTTTTTAAACTAAGAAGTGCAATGCAGTGGGCCAGAGTCCATTATATTTTTAGACTTTGATACGGGCCAATTAAAAATGGATGGCGGGCCGCAGTTGGCCCGCGGGCCGTAGTTTGGACACCCCTGCTCTAACATTATGCATTATATTGATATGTCTCCAACTAAACTTTTTTCTACATTACACGACTATGCACCTTAATATACACTGCCATAGACAAACCCCACCCTTGAATTATACAATGCGTTACTATACACTACCCTATACTTTAGACTATAAAATATTAGACTTGTAATATTACACTATGTATTATTCTACCAACCCTACTGTATACCACACTGCTGTATATTCACTATACAATTACGATACTATATATTGCCTTATGAATTATGTTAAACATTACACTGTTATACTATTTATTATTATACAACATGCTATAAACCATACCATTGACCGTCGTGTGAAAGGTATTAAGAGGCAGTGCCAGCGAATGGACTGCGGTCTGAACGTCACCGTAATATACAATCAATCAAGAACCGAAATGGTTTATAACGTCTTTCCAATGGTTACTAAACCAGAATCCATCTTCTCGGTTGAAATTGTCTCTGTGTTTGTATATTTGGATGGCCTCATGAACGAATCTCTCATGGTAGCCGGATGGCTTGCAGAGAACCTCCGTCTTGGAGAAGGCAATGTCATGTGAGCCCACTGAATTATAACAGTGATCTGCCACGGCTGAGGTGTTCGTCCTACCATGTTTCAAGTCTGCTTTATGTTCACGGATGCGGTCCGAGATATGTCGTTTGGTTTCTCCAATGTAGCTGCTACCACAGAGGCAATTTAGTTTGTAGACGACCGGGTACTGTATGTCTGGAACCACATCTTTTACAGATGGAACCAGATCATAGATTTTATTACTGTGTTGAATCGGACCTGGATATTGTGTTTATTCAGGATCTTGGAGATCTTTTTTTTGACCCCCGCAATGTAGGTAAAGGTGATGGTTTTTAATGGCTCCTCAAGAGGATCCTTCTTGATTTAAAGCTTTCGTGACTGCAGGGATTCATATTCTTGGTTCTTTCGGTAAAGTCACGTAGAAGGGAAACAATAAAATAATAAAAATATAAAACAATAACATTCTCACAACGTTTCGACTGCAACACAAGCAATCATCATCAGGTGTGAAAACCACAACAAGAAAATTTGAAAAAAGTGGCGGTTATTTTTCACGTTAGCACCACGGATAGCGATTTGACAGTTTGTTCAGATGGACGAGTCCATCTATGCTCGGAAAAGAGGAGGGGGGAGACAAAAAACAATTGATGCGGTCTGAAAGCCACCGTAAGCGTGAACAATCAATTAAGACCCGAAATGGTTTATCAAATCCTTCCAATGATTGTTAAGCCAGAATCCATCTTATCGGTTGAAATTGTCTCTGTGTTTGTATATGTGGATAGCGTCATGAACGAATCTCTCATGGTAGCCAGATGTATATGTGTATATGTCTTTGATTTGGTTTTGCTTAATTTATGATGGCCATCTTTTTCACCTCCAGATTAACACCTGGCCCTCCTGACTACAGCTGCTGTTTATTGCATCAAAAGCTACAGGTATTTGCTTTATGGAAATTATTTTTTCTGTACGGTGCTGTAGTCAGTCACGGTGCCTCACTTAAAATGGAACGTGGTAAGTTAAATTCCTGGTCAGGGGCTATCTTTGCCTTTGGTCTTTTCAGAGTTAATTAATCGACTACCAGTTTGGGGAAAGTCAATATATGGTTGTCCTTGGGTGGGACAGGCATCCTATGAGGAGACTAGTTCCCTGCAATGGGAATGTAAATGTGCACCATTGGCTCAAGGCTGCTGACTGAGATGAGCATCGCTCTTCACTTGTTTGAACGAGGAGACACTTTGGCTTAATGTTGTTCGTTGCATACGCCATTAGTAGATTAATGGCTAGTAATGTATCCTACGCATGCGACGCCCTTCCTGTTCCCAAGATGCTCAACTGTTGCATCGAGAGAAAGAAGAGCAGGGAGGAGAGGCAGCGCGAATCGAGCAGCGCTGGAGGAGTCGGGCGTGCGGGCGGCAGTGACACCGCTCCGTCAACCTCAAAGAACGGGCGCAGGGAGGCGGCAGCCGGGAGGGCCGGGGAGAGGCAGCAGCAGGGCGGCACATCCGCTGAGATGGCTGCACAGAAGCCATGGGATTCCTGGAGTGAGGACAGCGAGGATGAGTTCTTTGAGTGTGAGAGTGACCTGAGCGACGGTGGCGAGGGAGCGGAGGAGGGGGAGGAGGGATCGACAGAAGGGACGAGACAGAGCGGCACGGGCGTTACGAATGAGGACAATGCGAGCAAAGTCGCGGAGAGAAAGGAGGAGCGCAAAGCGGCAGCTGCTGCCAACGCGACCGCCCAGCGCAAGCCTGATGGACGGCTACACCAGCACGGGGAGATCACGCTGATCGAAAGCGGGGAGCCCCTGTACATTCCCATCACGCAGGTGACTGCAACAGCAAACTGCGCGATTGTTTTTACTTCAGGCAGTTTGAGGTGTAATGCTGTTTGCTTTCAGGCAGAATTTTGGACTGCTTGTTCTCACTTTGCGTGCACGTGAACCTGTGTGGTGGAAACGGTTACGATTCACTTTTGTTTGTGTTGATTCTTGAATTGAGAAAATGATGTTCACTTCTAGGGTTCACTTTAAAGGATGGGCTTTCATTTGATTGGAATACGTTTTTAAGTATGTGTTACATTTCAGATAATTTGCAAGTTAGAGACATATTAACTGTTAAAAAAAGCACGTGTGCTTGGCCTCAGGAGACCGTGACGGTGATAACTCGGGGAGGTTATTCGGCCAAGAATGAATAGAACATCGTTGTTTTTTTTTACATCCAGCCCCATAGTACTGTGCTTAGATCACTGAACTTACAATTAAAAGGTTGCAAGTTGAAATCCCAGTCAGGGCTTGAAATCTCAAGTCACAAAATTCTTATCACTTTGTGGGAAATCCACAGCACTTGGTCATCCTAAGGCGGAGACTGGGTATCACTGTGTAGTGGTGGTGTTGGTCCGTAATTGATCACTTTGGAGTGGGGTTTTTGGGTCATCTGCTGATTCTCAAACCTGCTTGGTTGTGAGATGACCAGGAGATGACAATTGCAGAAATTTGAGTTTTTACACTTTATTATTTTATGTTAACGCTCCATATGAACAAACTTTCTTTTGGTACTCAGGTTTCCTCCCACATGCAAAATACTAATTCTAAGAGAATTGGGTAAACATTCCGAAGCACAACCCTCCGTCAAAAATCATGGAGGTTCATTGAGATCAGAATTTCCTTTATCAAGGGCATTTAAGTTCACCCCAAGCCTGGATACACAAGTGCTGTGATGACTTCACTGCCACTCACCGGTGGATGGTGTCTGTGATGTGCAGGAGCCAGCTCCCATGACGGAGGACATGCTGGAGGAACAGACTGAGGTCCTCGCAAAGCTTGGGACCTCAGCAGAGGGAGCTCATCTGCGCGCCCGCATGCAGAGCGCATGCCTGTTGTCAGACATGGAGTCATTCAAGGTATGTCTGTCTTGCCCTCTCCGTAGAAGACCCGTGTTCGCATCTTCACTCTGAAAAAGAAATAAACTAGGGGACCACATTGGTATCGATGTACAAACACAAAAAGCTTACCACCTTAATAATGCTGCCTTGTATAGAGCTTGAATGAAGCCCATTTACCGTAGACAATACAAAATACAACAATAAAGATGATGAAGATGGAGACCGTAAAGAAGATGATGGCACTGGAGACAACACACAGACATGAACCCACACACACAGATTGGCATCCATGTTTCTGCACACATAACATACATCATCATCACTAATGATATCACACAACCCGTGCCGAATGAAAATATATTTGAAGTATGTGTTACGTTGAGAATATATTTAACATTTTCATCCCATTTTATAAAACGAACATGGTTTCAAACAGTTGTGGTCCCGTGGTAGTTCCAGTGGTCTGAGTGCTGATACTGGTGGTATAATTTGTCCAAGTAGTGGAGATCTCAGTAGTAGGCCAGGTTTGCCTTAGTATAAAAGTCATGGCGCTCCCAGTCGTAGTTGTGGTGGTCCCACTAAGATGAGTTGTGTTCCCGTTGGGCCCAGTCATCCACATGGTTGTTCCTGGTGGGGGGTTGGGGTGGGTGTGGGGCCTCATTGAGCCCTGACTTGACTCAGAGGTTGAGCTGCTCAACAGAAATGGAAGGCTCATGGGACATGGACGGCCTAGTGAATGCCATCCCAGGCACAGTGATTACCCACGTTTTCCAGACCCTCAACCAGACCCCAGGGTCTCCCATCTTTCTTGAATGCCATGATAGAATCATGGTGAATCCAGGCCAGTTCCACGTACTAGGCACATACTTAAGCATCGGGAATATCTTTAAATGGTGATTCTGGCATTAACGACCACATGGTATTGACCCCGATACTAGAGAGCCAGTTTCAACCCGGCCATCCAGGTTCCACAGAGTCTGGCCCCTCCACAGTTACACGATTCCACTGATCCCACGATCATTTTCACATTTGTATTCGATGGTAATAATCTAATCGCAGTTAAAGATAGCAATCATCAAATCGCCAAACTATGGAATTAACCACCTGTCTGCAATTTCAGATTCTTATCTGGCTTGCAATAGCCAAAGGAGATAAATGGTGCCCAATTGCTCATTTGGGCATGGAAATCAATACATTTTCTGGGAGATTGTGTTTGTGAGAGAGAGTGTTTCTTGTTACTATTATCGTTGCAGGCTGCAAATCCAGGCTGTCGTCTGGAAGATTTTGTTCGCTGGTACTCCCCACGTGACTATGAGGAGGTATGACTTCATGTTTTTGTTTTACCAATGATACCAATACTTTATATGTCATACACGAGTAGTTGAATTCTAATTGGCAGTGTGTGGGTTTATCTTTTTGCTTGAATCTGCTTTGTTTGTTAGGCTAGTTCGCTAAATTGTTTGTGAAAATGGGGATCTGTCCATGTATGTATGTATGTTGAACTTTTTTCACACCATACTTATGCAACCGTGCTCATTGGAGGTGCGGGGGAAGGACAACAAACTAAACACCAAAAAAAGTTCTAAAGATATTAGTTTTCAATTTAGGTTTAAAAGTGCATAGCTCCAGTGGCTTCCTCATATCAAAAGGAAGAGCATTCCAGACGGTCGCATAAGTGTGTCTGAAAGTGTGTGATGCAGTGACCCTCTATCTTTAATATAAAGGCAAATGCAATCCCAAATAGCAAACAGCTGATGCTTTGGAGATGCACATAACTGCGCTGAGTATTCTTGGCTGTATGACACTTTGGAAGCTTTCTTGAATGAGGAGAAATATATTTTTTTATATCATTCATTGCACTTTCGGGTCCATTGCCATAGCTCCCGATGGAGGCTTTTCAGCCACAGTGGCATAATTTCTCAATTCACAAAGTGGCAGCCCCATGACTCCAGCTACATCGCAATGCAGGGTTCATTGTGGGAGTTGACCAGCGAGAGCAGGCAGAATGTAATTACCTGGAGCCTAGATTTGAGGTGAAATAAGAGTTTCATATATATAAAGAATTAGATTTTACTTGTCACTTTGGTGTGTATTGGTATTGCTTCGATATTGTAGTCATGTACATAATTGTTTTGTGGATTGCATCTTTATATTTTTTCATAAACATGTATGTCTTCTGCCTCTTAAATTTGCAGACTTTATTTGATCAATCTTCTGCATTTGGCAACACTTTTTATTAATCACAATTGCTGAGCACAGGCTCAAAGCCCCAAAACACCAAGAGGCCAGCAACAAACAATACCATTGAAGGTGTAGTCGATAAGAGTTAATACTATTTTTTTAATATAGCAAGATTATGATAAGACCTTGGGAAGAGAGACGATGGGAGAGTACTCCAAAGTCGAGCAGTGCGACGAAAGAAGCAGAAAGAGAAATGTCGTCACCTGCAGTGTGCTAGTTGTGGAGTGTGGATGAATGAAAGCATCCAATTGGGCAGTCTGAGTCCTTAAAATCGGTAGAGGAATCATTGAGTGAAGTGCATGGGAAGAGTACCCATTGTAGTAGTGACAGATGAGTGATGAGGTGTCTGATCGCGGGCGAGCGAGTGAGTGACAGGAGGGAATCAGCGCGTGCTACGTCATCAATCAATCTGACTGCTTTACGTTGACTTCTGTCAAGTGCGGCGAGGTAGGAACCGGGGGTGCTCCCCAGCTGTGACAACAGCATTCCGACTGCAGTCGAATGAGTGCATGCTTTCTATTGTGACAGTTAAAAAGAAAGGCTTTGGCACGGCTCTCTAGGTTCCTCCGGACGAGGACGCCGCTGACTCCAGCGAGTTGGGCGCTCCAGCTGTTGCCCCCCGAGGGCGTCTGAGCGCTCGCATGCAGCTGCCAGGCAACGTTTGGGTGGAGGCGTGGGAGGCGACGCGCCCCATACCCGCTCGCCGCCAGCGACGCCTCTTTGATGACACGCGCGAGGCCGAGAAGGTGCTGCACTACCTGGCGGGCATGCGACCGGCCGATGTGACCCTCCAGCTGCTGCCCTGCGCCATTCACGCCGCTCTCCTCAAGGTCAAGGAAGGTGGGGCTCCCGGGCGAAAGGTCGGCAGCGAGGGCTCGTTCTAGAAGCAATCGGGAACCTATTATGTTTATGATGAGCAATGTAGGAACCTATGTATTTGTATGCATGTTGAACTGATTTGGCACTATACGTAGCCATTCGTGCTAATCGGAGGTGCGGGGGAAGGACAACAAACTAAACACAAAAAGCAGTTCCAAAGAATTCATAGTCTTTGTTTTTTGGAAAAGGCACGTAGGTAAAATAAATAAATAAATAGATGAAAACAACTAAATTAAATCACGACGTTTCGGGCGCAACACAAGCGTCATTCTTCAGGTGGGGACAACGTAGCGAAAGCACAAACGCTTGAGTGTGTCTCAGAGATGGCTGTGACGAGGGATTATAGAGTCGCGGGGCATGGAGGGAGGGGGGCATGGTGAGTGTGGGGACGGGGTGTGGGCTGGGAGGTAAAGTTTGGAAGCCGAGGGTGCGCTGGGAGGCAGCGACTTGGGCCGAAACTTATTTTTTTACCTACGTGACTTTACCGAAAAAACCAAAGAGTATGAATCCTTGCAGTCACGAAAGCTTCAAATCTAGAATTAGTTCCAAAGAAATTAGTTTGCAATCTAGATTTAAAAGTGCATAGCCCCAGTGGCTTCCTAATATCGGTATTGACCTTTGACCTGAGTAAGAAGGGACCCATTATGTCTTCATGCTTATATTGTGAAGTTTTCAACTTTAAAGAGATTTTGGTTTCTGATGCAATAAAATGTTATGAAGGATTTCATTGTTGGAAAGGATCACCCTGTCCATAGAACGTGTTGTTAACAGCTGGTACCTCAGTAATCCAATGTCGTGCCTCTACTGAATGAATGAATACATGTTCTCTGATCTGCTTTTGGGTCGTACCGTGTGTTATTCAGCTTTATGCTCGAAGTTTCGGACATCATCCCGAATTCCGTTTCCTGCATAAGCTCCCAGCGCGTGGAGCGAAACGTAGCGCGTCGTTGTGCCAAATAACACGTCGGGAGAGCTACGCGGCAAAACCGCGGACACCTGCACAGGAGAGTTCGCTCGTTTACGTCGCTCTTGTTTGCAGAGTCATCGGAGGACGTGCCGACAGTGAATAAGCTGCTAAAGGCGTCCGTGTCTCTCGCCAGCCGAATCCTCCGCCACCCCAACCCCGACCCACGCCGCCTGGAGGTCGGGTCCCCATGCATCCCACCCAGCTCGCTGGCAGGGGGGGCTCTTCGGCGGCTTTTCATTTAACTTTTTAACTCAAACAAATTGCGATAATTTGATGAATAAAAAAATAGCTCATGAAAATCAATGGGATGGACACAAATGATACATCCTTCCAAATCATTCAGAATCATAATATTTATTCATACTGAAGGAATCCGATGAGCTATAAAGCTCTTTTTCACAGATTTCCAGTTGGGGCATGTTAGAACATTACAACAACACATAGTACAAAAACATGATAGGAGTGCAAAGTATAGGAAAGGTAAACAAATCACTTACAACAAAAATACAACTAAATCTAAACAATTTCTATCTCACCAGGCAAAACCCACTGAGCTATTAGCTTCTTTTTCAGAAGCGACCTGGCCACAATTGATAGCAGCAAAATTATCGAAATAATCTATCCCACTTGCAATACCGGATGAACTGTATATACGTCCGATATGTTTTCTGGAATGCATTTAGGATGCAGTGAAATTAGGTGTAAGTCGTACATGGATGTATGTCATTATTTCCATTCACTTGCAGTTGTAATCTGGAACATATTATAAAACCAATGTATAAATAATGTCTATGATGCCAGTAGTGGCTGATAAAAATAAATACATCTAATTTGGAAAATGTTAATTACGTTACTTAAATTCAACTAGTGATGTAGCCCAGTTGCTTAAGTCAATTTGAGTGAATTGTCTTCCTGCTAAAATGAGTGTCGAGAAGTGTGCATCTTCCTTGGTGGCTCTGATCATGGAAACACTTTGCCTTATTTGAATGCAATAACAGGTATCGAGGTGTTCCTTCCCAATGGAGATTAATCTTATTGCATTCTCACCTGGTTAGGCAGAGGATGCTGGAGTGGACTGATTAAATGCATTTGAGCTCCCGTTTGCAGGAGGTGATAAGCCAAGTGACGCTGGCGGAGGCAGTGATCGCCCGTGGGCGCTCGCTTCGTGCCAAGTTCGCCATCAACACATTTGACAAGGAGGAGGAGAAGACAGAGCTGGAGAGGTAATTTGACCAACATCTCGATTTCAAGCTTTCGTGACTGCAATGATCCATCTTCTTTGGTTCTTTCGGTAAAGTCACGTGGACTATTCTACGTGACTTTACCGAAAGAACCAAAGAAGTTGACCAACACCATTACCATCAGCACCACCAGTACCACCAGTGTCATAATTATATGCCTCTTCATTAGCTTTAATGTCATACGTTTCTTAATTATAATATTTATCAGTAGTAGCAGCAGCATTACATTAATTACTGCAATAATTGTTTACGCCCTTTTAATCCACCTAAACCCTACACTCTGTGTTCATTGATCTCAGGTTTGTGTCGAGTTTGCTGGAGGAGCCGGAGGTTCCAGTCTTTGGTGCGGGAAGGGGCCCAGCAGGGAGCATCATCCACCGTCTCTTCATGAGTGCGCAGCAGGTACGCTGTGCCACGCCTCACCGCTCCGCAGCGTGCTAGTGTTGTGCCTGTGCAGACAGAATGTGTTTGGGATGGCTTCATGGTTGCTGGTCTGGCTGTGGCATGTATGTTTCGCAGTTTTCAGTGATTCGGATTCAGTCGCTAACCTGGGTGCGCATTCAAGTCGCATCATGTAAGTAACAGGTTGTTTTCTCACAAAGACGAGGGGCTACATCCAAACCGTGCTGGACCAACAGTGATCCTTGGATGGAGGGAATCAACAGTTTTTTTTTATACTATGAAATAATAATAATTTACTTATTCTTGGTTCTTTTGGTAAAGTCACGTAGAAGGGAACAATAAAATAATAAAAATATAAAACAATAAAATTCTCACGACGTTTCGACTGCAACACAAGCAATCATCATCAGGTGTGAAAACCACAACAAGAACATTTGAAAAAAGTGGCGGTTATTTTTAACGTTAGCACCACGGAGAGAGATTTGACAGTTTGGCTTAGCAATCATTGGAAGGATTTGATAAACCATTTTGGGTCTTGATTGATTGATCACGCTTAAGGTGGCTTTCAGACCGCATCCATTATTTTTCGTCTCCCCCTTCCTCTTTTCCGAACATTGATGGACTCGTCCATCTGAACAAATTGTCAAATCTCTCTCCGTGGTGCTAACGTTACAAATAACCGCCACTTTTTTCAAATTTTCTTGTTGTGGTTTTCACACCTGATGATGATTGCTTGTGTTGCAGTCGAAACGTTGTGAGAATGTTATTGTTTTATATTTTTATTATTTTATTGTTTCCCTTCTACGTGACTTTACCGAAAGAACCAATAATATGAATCCCTGCAGTCACGAAAGCTTCAAATCAAAAAATAATTTACTTATTTGTATCCACGAATGCCACACTGATCCCTCGGACTTTTTTCAGGAGTGTCCTGCATTGGGTTTTGACCTTACGGTGTTTTCAGTGAATTTATGACTTTATACATGCGGGAATGTAGGACACAGTACAGTCCTTTTGTTCTCCAAAAGGCTTATTCACATTCACAGTCATATTCTTTCCACCAGATTTAATCGAACGATCACATTTTGCCAACTTTTTAGATATCCACATAATGAGAAAACGTATTACACTCAACACAGGCAATGCGCTTGTTAACTTTAGAATGGGTAAAAAACAACCGCCGATGACTCATTGCTCTCTGGTGAATTCATAATCTGACACTACCCACAACCTAACCTCATCTACCAAGACTATGTTAATACTCTGTAAATCTCAATTAAATTTCTAAAGGCCAGTCATATAAAACGTTGATCTCCTTGCACTATATATGTAAAATAAACATTTATTTTTGACTAACCTTTTATTTCTTGTCAAATTACGTATGTGCACACTTGCACTTCATCATCAAGTGTGCGAGTTTGTCCGTGCAAGCATACGTTTATATTGAGTCATTTGGGAATACTATTTAATTGTTTAGCTGGAGCACATCAACATTGTGTAACAATAGGCCCCAATCGTTAGCGCAGTTGCCAGGTGGCCGACTGGCTCCGAGAAGGGGGGGAGAGGGGTTAATGCTGTGCCCATGTTAGAGGACTGAGCCATAACCGCTGACGTTCTTGATTCGCATCCGTGCAGCCATTTGTAATAACAAAGGTAGGTTGTTAAGTGTAACAAAGTCTGAACCGGGTAACCAGTGAATTACGCACAAGAATGAAATCATAAATAAATTGTGTTCATTTCAAGACCAGCTCTGAGATTGTATGCTATGCACAATGTGTCTCCCCGCTCATATAAGATTGGGGTAGAGCTCATTTCTATTAGCAGCCCGGAGTCGGTGGTGGAAATTACACATTCCTATTGTGAGGAAAGTATCCATATCGCACTCCTCATTTCATCAACTGTGGATGAATGTTTAGCTGAGTCAACTCCAAACCTGGATTTGAACGTACAGTCTTCTGATTGTGAGTTTTGCACTTGGCAGAGTCACCCAGTTGGAAATATAAAAAAATAGAATCTATTACAGATCCACACAGCTGCTTTTATAGGAAAATATCTGTAGGGTGCGCCGTAACACTGTGCATTGAATCACCTTGCTTTGCTATCTGTGCTGTCACTTGCGTTGCTCGATTACTTGTGAAAGTAATCGTTTTTTGGAGCCAGAAGCCATCACAGCATTTTTCTTGGTCTTGTCCATTAGTTATATGCGCATTAGCCTGTGCCACCAGCCTCATGAACAAAGTTGAATGATAATGCTTTCATAATGGCCAATACAATAAGCCCTCACAAGTCCAATGTCAAATGAGCGTAGTGCACTGCTTTTATTCATTTACAGCCCTGAATTAGTTGGTGGAAAATCCATTTTCTTGTGGCAGAGTTACTCTAGCCTCTCCATAGAATGGCCACTGTTGACTACTTACAAAGTGGTACTCATTTTATTTTTTTCAGAATGATGATGGGCTGAGTTGGCCACTGACTGGGATTTTAATTCACAACTTTCTCATTTTGCTCTCACCATAGTGCCACCCAGACGGATATTAAAAGCACTAACTTCTACTGTGATAAACGTATCGACAGTCAACTCGCAAGGACACATAAATGGTTAATGTGACCACAGACTGAGAGGCTTAAATCCCAATATAACAATGGCCTTCTCAAAATACCTCGCTTATGCATATACCATTTTTGATGAGCCTTTGAAGTAAACATATCAGGATAACATGACTGCTCTAAGTTAACCTTGTATGTCACCTCGTAATTTTTTTATCAGCAGTGCTTTTACAAACATTAAAGCAGTGTTTTAGGGATGCTTCAGTAGAAAAGCAATCACAGGATTGATATATTTGTGACTTAAAACAAGGAACCATACTTCACTAATGTGTGGGCAATGTGCTGTTTTAAAATGTGGTTTACGCCCACCTCTTTCAACACACCTGGTAAGCATGGAAGAGTAGACAAAATAAACAATATAACTCTCTCTAGTTGAGGCCCGTTCAGCAGCATTAGCATGAACAAGCAATTGCAGGGAGCTCCTTTAGATATACTGCATATAGTGTTGCTAAAGTGGTTAACGTACTGTTCTGTAAACTCTGCAACCTAAATTCAATTCCTGGCCACACCAGTGGCGAGTGACATCCGAACCGGTTCTGAGTTTGCCCCCCCCCCATCGTCAACCCACACTGATCATCGTGGTAGAGTATGGTGTGGGGAGGCATTCATCCAGCAGTGGATTATTATTAAACCTAACAACAGTCAAGGCTGCGATTTAAATCCTGCATGTGAAAATGCTAAAAAAGATTCAGTGTCTCATGGGCCTCAGTGCCCAAGTCAGAACAATCAGCCAGCAAACTCTTGAGTGCCTCGGTTCGAATCCATGCAGGGGTCCATGATCAAACCAGATTGTCAAATATATTGAATTTGAAGGTTTGTTCTTGGATCAATCACCAACGACATCATATTTAGGATATGTTTTGTATTTCATTCAGCTTAGCTTAGCTATGAGGCTGAATATTTATTTAAAATATCAGGATTTGATAGACCGCCATCTAGTGTTGGGTCAGACAGACTCCTTGAGTGTGTGGTGTCATTTACGAGGGCCATTCTGTGGCATGATGTGAAGATGCTGTGTCTTTTGAATAAGCTGTGGACTTAATTTTCCTTTTGATGTCTCTCCAGCAGCACAATTTGATTGCAATTCGTCATGACGTTCAAAATCTTTTATACTTTAAAACACAAACAAACACAAACACACACCATAATATCCATAAACTGACAAACACACACACACGTTTAAATTTCATTTAAGACATACGTGTCTATGTAAGTGAAGGGAATATGCAAACAACACAAACAACATGTGCATAACGTTTGCTCATTTGACCTGGAATTATTTAGCGTAAATTTCAGGAATTAATTTCACTTACTCAAAATGTTCAGGAAAAGTTGTCGTCAACTACTTGTGCAGAGTTTTGACAAGTTGTACGTCTCCTCTATATGCTTGAGCTATTTCGCATCGACTGGTTGGCAATGTACATGCCTGCAGGAAATGTCTTTGTTAAATGTATTACCTGTGTCATCATGCGGCTGTTTCGTCTCCAAACAGACAGACACTCAATGCCTGTTTCTCTATTTCTTTCTTGAAACAAACCAGCAATCCAGCCCATCAAATGGGATTATGCCTTGTGTTTAGATTCTGCATAAAAAAAAAAACGGATTGAATTGTGTTATTCTGTGAAATGGCATTAGACTTTAATATCGGCGGGGATGGGAATCATGTGGAAAGGTTTATGTCAAGAATGATCATTATTCCAGTTAGTGTCTTAGAATATTCCGAGGTATCTTTTGATGCTTTAAGCAAATTATGAACTAAAATAAATGTATTCAGCTGGTAGACGCTGTGGCACAATGTCCAACTTGAATTTAGAAGGTTGTGAATTCAAATCCCAGTTGGAGGGAAACTTTACCCAACATCTCTTGGGTATCAATAACATACATACCACATTGTGGGATGACAATAGTGCATCTGTGGAGAGACTGCCCCTCTAAAGTAATGTCGAATTTCCACCACTGGTTTTGTGCTGCCAACAGAGAAGAGCACCATCCAATGCTCTAGAGGAGTACTTTTCAAACTTCTCAGGTTGGCGACCTCTTTTTCAATATGAAAATGTTAGTGCTGTCTTGCAAACACCGTATATTTCTAAAAACAATGTTCCCCCATATAGCCTTTACAGACTGTTGGGGCAATTACTTGTGAGCGAGCACCTATTAAGGCCAGCACAGCACACGGAGGGGTGGGTGACCAGCACCACGTCTGGACACCTTTGTCTCCCCCTGTTCTGATGTTTACACACCATGTATAAGGGAGCCCCAGGACCTGCTCAGATTATTTGTCACTGATGTTGGCTGTCAGCGGGAATCGAACTAGGGTCGTGGGGTTCATTGCGCAATGCGCAACCAATGCACTGGAGCTAAATTTACTATACATACACACACATGAGTATACATACACACACAAGAACATGCACACACACACGCATCATCAAGCGCACGTGTGTGCACACGTGAATACAAACATACAAGAAGTTACACGAACAAGTGTGCGCATTTACAAACATGCGCCTGCTTGCACACACACAGTGCATGTGTGAGCACACATGTGTGAGCACACATGCACTCGCATAAGCACGCATGCGCACACATGCACGTGCTTGTACAGCACACAAGCGCACGGGCACGCAGACACATGTTCACGCTCACACAGAAGACGGGACACAGAGAGAGAAATGAGGTGAGACATGCGGAGAGAGGCAAACGGAGGTAGTCGTGAAGAGAGAGACACCAGGGAGATGAGAGGAGAGACACGGGGAAAGAAAGACACGGGTTAGATAGACACATGCGGAGAGAGACACTGAGAGAGAGTTGTCAGGAGAGAAACGAGAAAGGACATAGATGGTGGACAGTTGGGTGTACAAGGAGAGAGTGACAGCACACAAGGAGAGAGACTTGGGGAGAGGGAGATGCTCACAGCAAGAGAGACATGGGGCCCTAGACAGACCTCTAGCGATCCCACAATTGCCTTTCGTGGCCTCTGGGGATTGCGACCTTCAGATTGAGACGCACTATTGTAGAGAATAATAGCATTACACATTTCCATTCTAATTTGAGCTACATATATTCTTTGTCAAGCCCATTGTACATTGAGTAAACACACTGGTGTAAAAGGCATTTTATTCATTGGCCCAGACAACGTCGACATCTGATTAAACTCTAGGGATATCACTGGGTGTAACTCGCCAGCTTTTTTGTGACGTCCGTTCAAATGAATCTAATTTTGAGTGACGAAAATTGGCTGATATCAATCTGGCCTGTTGCGGTTATCTTTGAAGACATTGATATTTAAAAAACAGTGGCCTCTTGTTCCAACAACTGAACTCTTTGGCACAATAGAAACATGTTGCTCATTATTTCCCTTTGTTAGCCAGTAACTGCATTGACTGAATAAGCAACACTTATTTCATATTCTGATTGCGAGGTAAACCTATAAACAGTGTTTGGTATGATTTAAAGCTTTCGTGACTGCAGTGATTCATATTCTTTGTTCTTTCGGTAAAGTCACGTTGAAGGGAAACAATAAAATATATATAAAACAATAAAATTCTCACGACGTTTGGACTGCAACACAAGCAGTCATCATCAGGTGTGAAAACCAACGGCAAGAACATTTGAAAGAAGTGGCGGTTCGTATTTATTTATAATTAAACGTTAGCACCACGGATAGCGATTTGACAGTTTGTTTAGATGGACGAGTCCATCTATGTTCGGAAAAGAGGAGGGGGGAGACGAAAAATTAATGTATGCTGTCTGAAAGTTGCCTCTGTGGTAGTAGTTACATTAGAGAAACCAAACAACATGTCTCGGACCGCATTCGTGAACACAAAGCAGACCTTAAACACGGTAGGACCAACACCTCGGCCGTGGCAGATCACTGTTATAATTCAGTAGGCTCACATGATATTGACTTCTCCAAGACAGAGGTTCTTTGCAAGCCATCTGGCTACCATGAGAGATTCGTTAATGAGGCTATCCACATATACAAACACAGAGACAATTTCAACCGAGAAGATGGATTCTGGCTTAGCAATCATTGGAAGGATTTGATAAACCATTTCGGATCTTAATTGATTGTCCACGCTTACGGTGGCTTTCAGACAGCATACATTAATTTGATGATGACTGCTCTGTGTTGCAGTCGAAACGTCGTGAGAATTTTATTGTTTTATATATATTTTATTATTTTATTGTTTCCCTTCAACGTGACTTTACCGAAAGAACCAAGAATATAGTGTTTGGTATGTTTTCGTTTTTTTCATATCCGCAAATTTGACAAATACAATACATTCAGATCGCAAATGGACATTTTGCAACAACAAATTAAAAAATTTGGACCAAAGGTTGGACTTTTGAGTGTCTAGAAAATGGCAGGTCGCTCATTTTACCGAAACTTGAAAATCACTCCCAAGTTTCAGGAAGTTTACCACAATCAGAAAAATATTGACGGCATGAAATGTCGTGGTCAGTCGAAGCTGTTAAAGTTGTGCTGGCAACTTTGGTAATCTTTGTCCCCTCTACCGTGCTCTACTGTGCAGTCTGAATGAAAAGGTCTGTGCTCTTGTTTCTAAGCCGAGGACTAATATCTGGTGGCACCTTGTGTATGTTTCTATCATTTTCCAGCCTCCATAATTGTTGTCTTGTCTTGTGCCTTGTTCTTCCTTTCCTTTTCCCTCGCTTGTTCTTTGACCTCTGCTATTCCGCCCTCTCTTCTGCCAGCTCTCTGACACCAGTGATGAGGTAACTCAACTCCTCTCTACTAACACCCTGTGTGTATTATTTTCACTGCCCGCCTAGAATTGCAAGCTTTGCTTTTTTTTTTATTTGTTTCGTCTACGGCTTTTGGGCATTTTTCCAGCATGTGACCTGATACCTCCACAAGCGCCGCACTGTTGCACATCACGGTAGTGTCATTTACGTACAAAGACAAAGGCTCCAGAACCCTATAGCCATTTTACAGACTTTTGGGGCAAGTGCTGTTAGCGAGCTCCTATGAAGGCCGGTACAGCACATGGGGGGGTGGGGGGGGCAACACCATGACCAACCACCATTGTCTCCCCAGTATTAATATTTACACACCACACCAAGTACTCATTTAAGGCTGTGTCTATCTAGCGGATGCCTCGGACCAGCAAATATTTAACACCATTATTAAGCGGGAATCGAACTCGGTTCTCCTAGTTCGTGGCCCAGTGCGCATACCACTACACTACCGCTTCCCAATTTACATACAGACACGTGCACGTGCACATACATGTAGGTAGGGAATTTATATATGCAACATTTGATCTAGTTTAGCTGTATACTTTGTGTGTGTGCATACTGTTTGCTTACTTAAGTGGGCAGTGATGAGTACTCATCTCTATTGGGGGACCTGATCCAGTGGTCGGAACGGGCTTGCTTTATAGCAGCTGTTCGTTTCTCTGCATGGCAACCAGCGTTAACTTTTGACAATGTGAAAGGCTTTGCATTTGTAGAAGCTAGGTAATAACAATACACCACCTCTGTTAGGTTAAAGGGGTGAAACGTGTGCATGATACAAGGGACACGCATTTTAGTCGCTCCTATTAACGGAAGAACCGCTCACAATGTCATATGATTCTTAAAATAAATAAATAATTTCCCGTGGCTGCACATTACAATCATCCCAACGCTGCTAGGTGAAAATTACAATCTGCACCATGGATTTGAAGGCAGCCAATGTACCCATGTTCAAATAATTGACTCCAAAATTGTTCTGTCTTGCCTCTTGAAGCCTGAGAGAAAATAAGTTACGTGGACAATATAGGAGTTACAGTGAGGGAAAAAAGTATTTGATCCCCTGCTGATTTTGTACGTTTACCCACTGACAAAGAAATGATCAGTCTATAATTTTAATGGTAGGTTTATTTGAACAGTGAGAGACAGAATAACAACAAAAAAATCCAGAAAATCGCATGTCAAAAATGTTATAATTTGATTTGCATTTTAATGAGGGAAATAAGTATTTGATCCCCTCTCATGCAGAAAGATTTCTGGCTCCCAGGTGTCTTTTATACAGGTAACGAGCTGAGATTAGGAGCACACTCTTCAAGGGAGTGCTCCTAATCTCAGCTTGTTACCTTTATAAAAGACACCTGTCCACAGTAGCAATCAATCAATCAATCAGATTCCAAACTCTCCACCATGGCCAAGACCAAATAGCTCTCCAAGAATGTCAGGGACAAGATTGTAGACCTACACAAGGCTGGAATGGGCTACAAGACCATTGCCAAGCAGCTTGGTGAGAAGGTGACAACAGTTGGTGCGATTATTCGCAAATGGAAGAAACTCAAAAGAACTGTTAATCTCACTCGGCCCCCTGGCTCCATGCAAGATCTCACCTCGTGGAGTTGCAATGATCATGAGGACGATGAGGAATCAGCCCAGAACTACACGGGAGGATCTTGTAAATGATCTCAAGGCAGCTGGGACCATAGTCACCAAGAAAACAATTGGTAACACACTACGCCGTGAAGGACTAAAATCCTGCAACGCCCGCAAGGTCCCCCTGCTCAAGAAAGTACATATATGCCCGTCTGAAGTTTGCCAATGAACATCTGATTGATTCAGAGGACAACTGGGTGAAAGTGTTGTGGTCAGATGAGACCAAAATGGAGCTTTTTGGCATCAACTCAACTCGCCGTGTTTGGAGGAAGAGGAATGCTGCCTATGACCCCAAGAACACCATCCCCACCGTCAAACATGGAGGTGGAAACATTATGCTTTGGGGGTGTTTTTTCTGCTAAGGGGACAGGACAACTTCACCGCATCAAAGGGGCGATGGACGGGGCCATGTACCATCAAATCTTGGGTGATAATTTCCTTCCCTCAGCCAGGGCATTGAAAATGGGTCGTGGATGGGTATTCCAGCATGACAATGACCCAAAACACACGGCCAAGGCAACAAAGGAGTGGCTCAAGAAGAAGCACATTAAGGTCCTGGAGTGGCCTAGCCAGTCACCAGACCTTAATCCCATAGAAAATCTGTGGAGGGAGCTGAAGGTTCGAGTTGCCAAACGTCAGCCTCGAAACCTTAATGACTTGGAGAAGATCTGCAAAGAGGAGGGGGACAAAATCCCTCCTGAGATGTGTGCAAACCTGGTGGCCAACTACAAGAAACGTCTGACCTCTGTGATTGGCAACAAGGGTTTTGCCACCAAGCACTAAGTCATGTTTTGCAGAGGGGTCAAATACTTATTTCCCTCATTAAAATGCAAATCAATTTATAACATTTTTGACATGCGTTTTTCTGGATTTTTGTTGTTGTTATTCTGTCTCTCACTGTTCAAATAAACCTACCATTAAATTTATAGACTGATCATTTCTTTGTCAGTGGGCAAGCGTACAAAATCAGCAGGGGATCAAGTACTTTTTTTCCCTCACTGTACGAAGCACAAATATTCGATTCTAAACAGTGGTCATGCGGTATTGTGCAGTAGAGGTGCACAGTTGCTTTTCAGCTGGATCGCAGCCTTGTGCAGCAGCAGTACCTAACTCCACACTCACTGGCGGTCAAACACTCAACTCGGTTCGAAGCATCATCACATCCTGGTTGGGGATTTACTCTTTCCATTGTCTCTTGTGGATTGATAAAATTAGTTTCAGCGGTCCTCCTATGGAGATACTAGCTCTGAACATGGGAACGTGGAATTTCCACTGCTTGTTCAGTGGCACCAAGAGGGATCAGCACCTGTCCACATTTGTTTGAGCAAGAAGATGGTTTAATATACAGTGATCTTTACATGAAAGCCTTCATACATGCAACCGTATCGCATGCATTTGCCTACGTAAAAATATTTTAATGCAGAAATGCACAAGTACATGTATACATGAAGGTACATGTCATGCATCTGCACTCACATGCATTTTCCTTCATAGTATTTGGAATGGAGAGTGCAATATGTTAAAGAGATATTTAGAGAGTAATTAATTAATCACAAAAAAATTAAGTCTTTAATGCATCACTCATTCCCATGTCACCATAACTGTCTGATGCTTCATCTCTATTGATTGTTCGGTCACTCATCTTGCTGGTCTTAAACATAGATGTTCCCTGTCGAGAAAAAAGCTTAATTTGTCTGCTGTTTATTTTCATAGATCAACCATGTTTGGGTGTGCACTACTTGGATAGAGAAATGTTGAACAATCGGGCTAGCGTTGAAAACCAAAGCTCATGAGTAATGCATTAACATAGCAGCTCACTCAAAAAAGGTGTGGGGATGGCTGGTTTCCCTTATGATCTACATGTTTTCCACTGACAAGGCAGATTGCTGTGGTTTAGCAGGCTTGTATCCCGCTTACTGTAATCCTTAGAAGGTATTTTTGCAAACGCATAAGTTGCACGCTCTGACTTGCAATTCAGTAGTGCATGTCAAGATGAAATGTATTTAGGTTGGAAGGGATTTAGTGAGAATCTCCTACACTTGCCTTGCCCTCTCTTCATTGGTCGTAGTCAGATGGCATCCTGGAAACAGATCTGAACCTACGTGGATAGGAGCATCTTGAGAAAATAATCTGTTTATCTAAATGGGCTCTCATGTGGGGTTAATTCAAAATTTTACAATAAATAATAGTGGTTGCAGTTCACAGTGACCAGATCTTAGTAAAGGAAAAGGCTGAAAGTGTGGCCCTCACTTTCAGTCTTATACCAGCAGTTTCAGTTTTACTGTGTTACATCCCTGCAGTCTAATGCTGCCACGCTACATAGCGATTGTCACTTTTATTAAAGATCAGTTCAGTGTAGCCATGCCATCCTACTGCCACAAAACTGCTTTTTGTGGTTATGGGTGTTTCTATTATGCATTGAAGTCTATATTTATTTCACTTGAGCATGTACTGATGCTCTTTCAGCATGAAAACAGACTTTAAAGAATCATTAAATGAACGGGCAATTCACCTTTTACCATGTATCAACATTAAGTAAGGTCCTACTCTGCTTTTGTTATTGTATACATTTGAAAACTACCCATAAATTAACATTATCAGAGAGCAATTAATTTGTCCTCTTGCCCCTGCTAACCATTTTGAGCACGTTGCTCATCCGCATAAATTTCTGAGTTCATATTTTGGTCACCTCTTCATACCCTTGGGATAAATAAAATGAGGTCCTGCCTTATGGGGAATATGTAATTTAAAGCTCTGCCTTTAGGCCATAAATTGACACGAGCACTACCCTTGAAGAAGCTTCCAGCGCGTGGAGTGAAACATGGGACATCATGCCAAACAATATGCGCTATACACAGAAAACACATCTGAGACCTATGCAACACAACCGGCCAAAACCTGTGCGGTACTGTCCCATGCTCGCTTGTGCCAGGAAACACTTTGACTATCGACTCGGCTCGCTGTGCTGCGGAGTACTGAGAATTCTCTTCTGAACAAACTTGCTGAAATTCAGCGGTCGACACGCAGTCGATGAATAGGTGTCCTCTCAAGGCGTTGCAGTGCATTAATCTCATTAAATCTAGGACATTGCCCATCCGCTTTGAGATTGACTTGGCCAAATGGAGCCTCTGTTGTTGACAGAACTCAATTCCGAGTGTTTGCTGAACTGTCCGCATTCAATTTCCTTTATTGCAAATAATGGCAACAAACCGTTACGAAGAGCATGTGTTCTCTGACATTAAGGAAGCCTTTTTCCAATCTGCTGCTAGGGTGAAGCTTGCCATCCTGCACATTTTGTACTTGCGTACAGCACATCTAACGGTATTGTTTTTTACACTCATCTATAAACTTAAACGTATTTTTAGAATCATATTTCCCCACCACCGCTAACGTAAAACAATTCCCTTTATTGAAATGTGATGGTGTAAAAAATACAAGTTATTTGTTGAAGCTAATTCTTACTCCCTTGTGTGTCGACGGACAAATTATTGTTTGCGCTGACTGATGAATGAGTAGATGATTTGTACTTTTCAAATTGCATGAACATCAGCAGCCACATCTCGCACGCTTCAACATTTTCAATTAAAAGTGGTTCCCTGCGTAAATGAGCAATGTGGCGGTGCTCATCTCCATTGGCGATGCTGAACCAATGGTGGAAAGTCCACGTTTCTATGGCGGGGCCAGTTTATCCAGAGGACAACCACAGGTTGCTTTTTCACAAAATGGTACTCATTGAATGTACTCGAGGGAACTGATGCTCTGAGTCGACCCCCCGACTGGAATATAGCTACGACCACAGCACCCACCGAACTGGAATGTCACTGCTGCAAATATTTCCTATTTAAGGCAGATGTTGGAACGCAGTGCTCTGAATGATGCAGATTCCTCTTCGACTGAAATTCTCTGGGCATACCTCCCACAGGAGTTCAGTGAAAGCCATGCAAGTTTTCGCAGTTCATACATTATTCACGGATTTTGTTTATGCACAACATATGTCCCTTTTGGCTTTTAAGAGCTGCCAGTCTTTAAAGCTGCTATGTAAGCATACACTTAGCTGCGATTCTCGTCTCGCAACCCAATGTTGGTTACTTTGTTCCGTTTAGGTTTTGCGCAAATATATGTGTATATATTGCATCTCATGTTCAGTACATACTACTGCTATCCAAGCTCAACATGGAGAGCTTCTAATAAGCTCAACCCTGCTTAGGTTCTAAGATTTTTTTCATAGTGGGTGCATTCCAGACGTTTTGGTTGTAAACTAAATATAAAGCAAAAAAAAGGAAGCATCTCTGTTCTAAATTAACCACTGGGGTAGTGCTGATGTCTGTTGGAGACCTTGAGCTAATTTTAAGAATTCACCATTCCTGAAACACGGCCGAGTAGCTCAGGAGGCTAATACCTTGTCCGCGCACAAAGCTGGCACCAATTGAGGCCCTGGGTGTCAATCTGGGGTTTCAGACATAAAAAAAAACTTGATATTCACATATTGGTTAGTTATAATGGTCTTCGTCTGGTCACCATTGCCTAGAAAAAAAAAGATGACATTTGGTTTGACGCTTTAATTCAGCACGCTCTAACTGTTGACGAATGCCCTTTGCAGGGTATTTAAAAGGTGTGCCCCTAATCCGTCTAAAGAGGCCTGTTGAAGCAACTTGAGAAGTAGTTCTGTGATGTCATTTCAGAACTGTTCTCTCTCTAGATAGGGCACTGCTTGCTCAAGTTCTGAATTGAAATTTGTCGATAGCACAATGAGAATATAATTGTCGGAAAAAAAACACAAGTGGTATAGAATTGCTGATGGAATTCCGAAATTGGAAAAGCAAAACGAAAGGATTTGAAATGTTGATGCTCAAACTGAAAAAAGTAAAGGTTGGCATGAATATTGCTTCATAACATAAAATGTATAGGAGGCGAACATTTCAGGCAATGGCTGTCGTTCAGAGCAGAGAGGCCAATGAAGTTTACTGACTTGTAGTTGGAGAGTTAATATATTACAATGTCCCATTGTTTTCAAGGCTCCACATTATAAAGTGTGGTATCTGACCGTGACGGTCAATCTGGCTAACCTGTTAGTACTCTGGCAAAGGGTAATTGTTGAAAGTGTTAGCCTGATAATCTATATTTCCTATTATCAAAGTGTCTCCTTACTGTTCTAATGAACGTAGGTGGTGCTAGTCTCCCTAGGCAGCCCTGAAACAGTGATCAGTTAGAAATTAAATATTTACGTTTCAAGAGGTAGTCTCCATATTACAAATGATTTTGACTTACTAAAAAAGTGGTGCTTGTGGCGGTGGTGCTTGTGGTGGTGGTGCTCGTTTGTCACCGCCACCAAACTATCTGTCTTTCTCATTCAGCTCCATTACGGAGAGGCCGCTGGCTTTGCGAACGTCTGGCAACAGTCCTCGACTGTCGACGACCAAATCCCGTTTTGTTGCTGACGCTTCCGTGCCGCCAATACACCCCCATACATTTTCCTCTCGAATTCTCAAATGAACTCTGCCGGCCTCTCCTTTCCCACAGGTGACCTCCTTGACGCCAGTCGACGAAGACCGCTCACTGGCCGCAGGGACAGCGGGCGGCTCGGAAGAGCGACGTGGGGCGGCTCCTGCCAGCACCGCGGGCCTGGCTGGGGGCTCCGCTCAGGGCGGGCAGGGCAACGGATTCCCCGCCCCGCGGGGCCGCGAGTTCATCCTGCGCTGCACCGTGCCGCGGCCTGCGCCGTACTCGCGCGCGCTGCCCCACAGGATGTTCTGCGTGCTCTCCAAAGATCAGTTCACCCTCGCCGGGGCCTTCTCCTCAGACACGTCCTTCTACTAGCGATTTACACCGTTGGCGTTGGAATTTCGGACGGTGGCTTTTGAAAATGCGCGATGCTTTGCCCAAGGCAGAGGCACCGAGTAAATACGTTTATAAATGCGCAACTCTTATAAACTAGGTTGTCACGAGTGCGCGCTGAGCCCTGTGCTGAGATATTAGTTTTCAAAACTTGGCCTCCATTGAGCAATAGGAGTGGAGCCCATCATTGTCGGCAGGCCCTGAGCCAGTGTAAGGCACTCAATGTATAGACCCCAGGGGGATGATAGGCTGCATCAGTTCCTAAATGGGATTTAAACTCGCAGCCATACAAAATGTCATTCGAGTGCTGTAACTCTGGTGGCACTTAGCCAGATAACAATTTAAAGATAAACCTAAGAAATACATTTACTTTGTGTTGATTAAATATCGTCAGAATATCCATTCATGTTTAATGGGAGGATGTAATCAACTTCGGCAAAAATTACATTTGACATTTCGCCTCTGGCGAGAGGGCAGTTTGCCATTGTAATGTAAATTAACATGACGAGTGCCACTTGGTCGAAAGCCAACAGCGGTCATCCTGAAGAGGCTGGCCGCTGCTGTAAGAATGTGGAGCGTTTAACCACTGGTTCACAGCCGCCAACAGAGATTATAACCTCTCAATTGCGCGTATAGAGGAGGCGTTAGACACTTCATCCTTTTATTTTATTTAATATGGTGTGTCAACATCAGCACTTTGGAGACATGTCCATGCACGATGTACAAAATCTTAAATGGCTCCCACAATCCATTGTATGTCGTGACGTAACCATGGTGTTTCGGTTATCGCTTTGTGTTTAATGGAGGTGAGCGGACTCCAGCTGGCTTAGGAATTTTCATCGTGGGTGCATCTATATGCACGCATAGCTTACTGCGCTGTTTGATATTGCATTGATAGAAGAATGTCATTCGTAAACATGTCAGGATTTACCTCGTGTCCAATCAGACATGCACTTGTTTTATCTTCATGGTATTATTGCATCCTTGTGACACCACAATGAGTAAAAAATGCGTGTACAGTTAAAACTAATTTTATCCCAACAAAGTGTACTTTTTTTTCTTCTTCATTAGCCATGCTTGAAACTCACGTTAGGGTGATATACACGGCCGAGGTCTCTAATATAATACCCAATAGTTTTTATATTATACCTTCTCACAATTGGGAACATTTCTCCAAGCCTACTGAGCTATATCCAAACCAAGTATGCCGTCTTCGAGAAGTTGACAATGTAGCAAACACAGTGGCATTTTTCCCATTCAAGAGAAGGCAAGTGCAGCCTTGGGCTTACTGCTGTTATTTATCAGCCACCCACGCCTGCCATACCGAAATGTATTGCAGGACTCTTGCTATCCCTGTAATTGTTCACTTGAACATTTCTCACCCTAAACGTGTTGTCACGGTCAAAGAACCAGGGAAATGTATGGGTATTGCCCCAAGGAGCAGGTTGCTTGTCCTGTGATTTTAGTTTGTTGTAACAGCAATGGGGGCCAGCTGTAAATTTCAAAGAGGTCATCATGGTAAAGTACTGTCATGCCACCGCATCTTGCCATCACCTTGGCATCACTTCCTTATCCTGGATCTTGCGTTTGTTACACAGTCTACACATGTATGTATGCATGTTGAACTTCTTTCGCTCCAATCTAGATTTCTTTCGCACCATACGTAGCCAACCTTGATAATCGGAGGTGCGGGACATCCAATGTCTGCTTTTACAGTCACCACCAGCACCACCTTTTAGGTTTTTTAAAAATCTTGGCTGCCGACTTCTCCGTGCCAAGCCAATTCCTGTCTCGGTAACCTGCCCTCCGTCCTGCATATGTCGCCGGTCCGTCAAAACCTCCTCTGCCTGTTTGACCACGGTGGGCCGTAAGAGAAATGGGTACCACTTGAGGTGGGCAACATGTTTACTTCACTGATCTCTGTTCATGAGACCAAAACAAGTTGATGATATTACAACTCATTTTGGAATTGTTATCACATAAATTACTTAGAATGGCCTTGTAGGAAATTGGTACTGCCACATTTTAGCTAATTTAATGTTATATCCGTAGAGGGCTTTCACTGACGGCGCTTAACATAGTTTGACAGAGTAGAATGATTTAGGTGGCAGGGGAGTGCAAGGGTTGAAGAATGAGTGACTACGATAGAGGGTTCTTAGGAATCACCATAGGGTAGGGGAGGGATGGCAAGGAGTGGATGGGCGAGGGGAGGGAAGACGAAGAGAATGGGCAATAGAGCTAATTATGCCTACAACACTTTTGCCACATTCTCTTATGAACTTCCAAGTTGCTTACCCTATCATGTCATGTTGGTTTCCTATCATCATCGCGCATCCATGTGTGTCTCCTGAGCTCTCTCATGTTTCTCTAGCTCCCTCACTTCCCGTGTCTCCGTCATGCCGAGTAAAGAAGATGGGTCCACATGTAAAGCTAAATTCTTGTAAAAAAAACGGTGGCGTGTTTGAGAGATAGTGTTTGGGAAATGTTGTTGTAACCTTAATTCCCAGAACTATGGAGGGGCACCAGTTAGCTATGCCAACAGCACTTGAACACATAAACTGCACTATTACTCATTGACTCAAAACTGGCAGGGTGGCGTGGTCGTTAGGTGCCTTGGCTCAATCTGAAATTCATTATTTCAAATCCTGGTTGGGATCAACTCGGGCCAAGTATCTCTTTAGAATAGATAACATGAGTACAACATTTGTGGAAATGTAATGATGGCTAACCTAGGACGAGGCTGGCACCTGCCACCATGGGAATGGGGAATTTCCCTCACTGGCTGTCAGGGTCACACATGAAAATTAGTACCAAGCACATTTTACGCCTTCAAGAGTGCTGTTTGTTGCTGGCCACTTGCTCATTTGGCCTGTGCTCAGCCACCATTTTTAAAATCCTAGTTTTTACACATTTGTGGCTACCAGGGAGTCCATAAAGGTGTCCATTGTCAGAATTATGGCCATTGCCTTAGAGTGTCACCTATTCCCTTTTAGGCAGTCTAATTGACACGTGTTGAGCACGTAACAAGAACAGTTAAAATGTATTTGAGATGTTGCCACATACCTGGGACTCCGATGCATGCCCGCCATGACTTAACCAATGCCATGGCGGCCATACAGGTTTAGAGGGATGAAACCCATGTGATACATTCTTCATACATCTGTGCATAGCTGTATAGACTTACCTTAAAATGCCGGCTGATTATAATTATTCACCATGGATGGTACCTTTATAGACACTGGTCTATATCAAATTATACATATATGATAGCTTTCAGCTCGATTATTAGTGAATTTGAAGCCATCACTCTGAAATCGGTTAAATATTTAGGAACTCAGTTTGCATGACCAGGAAGATCTGGTTAAGTAATGAGACAAGCAGAGTATTTTGAGCCACCCAACCAAAGTTTGTTTAAAGAACCACATCCTACTAGGTAAACTTCAACTCAGGAACAGAAATCCACGATTAATTGAACAGTTTGGCATGCTGCTACAGGTTTGCGTGACTGGCTACTGGTGTATTAGGTGGTCGTATGTACAGCGATATGTTAAAATAAACGGAAGTCATTGGGTCATAACACCTTCAGAACCCTGAGGTTTATGCACATTGTCGTTTATTTTATTATTGCAACAAAAAAATGAGGCCGCGATCAGCATATGGGGTGAGCATTGTGAGAAACTTGACGTGGAAGTGCTACTTGTAATTTGGCCAGATTGAATTACTTGCTGTCAGTCGTGCCAACACGTTGCCATGTATGTGGCTTTACGAGACGGCTGCTCGAATGTAATAAAAGGATATGGGCCGGTCTAGCGCGTTATTGCTGCCGATTCTGATTAATGAAATTGCTAAGCACAAGGCACAGGTCAATTGAAGTTTGTACTTGTTCGATCAGGTGACCCGAGTTAAACTCTTCTTAATTTCCAATTAATTTTTTTTTCAATAGGATGTCACGGTGACATTTTTTGTGAAGTCAAACCAGCTGACGCAAAACTAACTGCAACGTACACCGAATCTTAAGGGCATGTGGCGTTGCATCATCACCAACTTAGTTTCACCCACTCAGGAACCATTGCAAAGGTAACCGGGGTATGATGTGAATGTGTGTTTGTCAGCATCTTGTCATGTCCGTATACTAAAATAAGTGTTGACGATGCTCTTATTCAATGGCTTTCGAGCTTTCGCTGAAAAAAAAAATCCACGTTCTTATAGTGTTAGCCACTTCCTCTCCAGCGCAATCACTCCTGATTTAACACAAATGAGTGTGTTGCCTCACCTGGTGGGGCTCATCCAATTGAACATGGGCAGACACAATGCGACTGGCTCGGGCAGGACAATTAGTTGAGGCCACAGCCTGGTCATGAGTCGTCATTCACGAGATCAGTTGGTCTCGGCTAAGACCCATTGAGCTAAGAAGCAATTTTTGAACCCCGATTAATGGTTCACAGCTCTGATACTATGATGCCAACTGAGATGCATTGTGGCCAGTGGCATTTCAGTCTTGTAGTATTTGAATGTCGGGAAGCATTTTTTTTCTCTACCGTATTCTGTGAATTCTAAAACACACTCGTTTCCCTGTATTTAAAAGCAAATGTTGGGGGTCCCATCTCATAATCTGGTTGGTGGTCATGTTTATTGGTACCGAACACATTTAGGGTGCGTATAAATTTCCCCCAGTACATCTTATAAATACAGAATACGTCATAATTTAACGTTCAATTTATATTCTTGCTGCGGAGCTGCGTGGTGGGCAGTCGAAGGCAGTTCAGCAATTTCCAAAGTTGTACCGTACGTACATGCTCTTACATGTGTGCTTTCTGCCTTCCACCCCACACCCACTATCATGGTGAGGTGTGGGTCAAATAACCTCCGTGACCCGTTTGGCGTGGGTTCTCAAAAAGGTTGTAAATGCATCTGCACAGTCCATTTTTTCCCTGCCGGGCAGTGCTGCGATTCGAATGCTTGACTCGCAATAAGGTTATAATTTCACATCTTGGTTGGAGTTTGAATGTGGTGGGTTGCCAGCGGGGGGGTGAGAGCTGAATTTTAATAAGGATAAACTTTTCCTGAACAATCTTAAATGAAACTAGACCGATTACGTTTGAAGTTTTGAACATTATGGGTTTAGCCCTGAGAATCAAGCGCTTATGTTTTATTCTCTAGTTTATCATTTGACTGTCACGTTCTCTGTGTGTGTGTGATACGTGCCAGCAAGATGCATAGTTTGTCCTCTTGCCGTTTAACCTTCCACAAATTGGTGTCAATTTCGCTCTCACAATACAAACGGCTGTAACAGAACAGGGCGAAGCGAGCCTGAATTATTGATGCGCCATTACTTTAACCATATTTTAAAGCGCTGACCTTTTTTCGTTGATAAATTATTTCTCATCGGATGCTATTGGACACAAGGAAATGTTGACCGGTTTTTTGCAATTTTGTGTTAATTTTCTGTACCCGCACACAAAACCGCCAGTGCTCGTTTCCACCAGCTGTTGTCTATTCTGAGTTATTGCTTCGCCAAGAAACGTGGTTTAAAACCTACTTGGCCTTTATTAACGGTTTAAGTGAAACGCTGCCGCATATTCTTAAGACTTTTGGAAACGTTACAGGCTAAATTGTTGTTCTAAATGTGTAGCCTACTTGAAACCTGCATTAATACGTAATACTGTTGTCTGGTTTTAGTTGTAATAGTGAATATTCGTGTGTTGGTTCTTTTTTAATCCGTACACATGCCCTTTATAATGCAGTGATATATGCATTAAATGCTACTCTCACGTGTTGCAAGCTTTATTGATTCTGTAAAAAAACATACCGCTAAGATATTATTGAAAGGTATTGTGAGGTATTTCCACCGTGCCGTCTGGCCGTATATTATTTTGAAGAAGAAAATAAAGATCCAACGACAGGGCACTGTTAGCTTTTAAACATTGTTCAAGTTAAACATGCCTTAAATAGAGCGTGTTATCAAGATCAGAATCGGAATGTTTACTTATACTGGAGATGGCATGCTCAATTGAGCACTGGATTGCACCAAATCTCCGTTGCTGAACCTGAACCCGTGATGGGAAGTCCACGTTTGTCTAGTAATCTTTAAGCGTTCCACTTTTGACTTCCCATCACCCTCACTAGGTGGTACCCATTTTACCATCCCTAGATAGATGATGATGGAAATTCATGATCAAGACTGTGGGCATATGTTACCCTAACTAGAATTTGAACCCAATACCTAAATGACTTGGGCCCCCCGCTAATGTACCAATATTGCTGCCCCCTAAACACCGTGCAAACATTTACACCATGACACCATGACAACATGTCTTCGTTCAGACTGGCACTTTAATAGAGTGCACTTAAATTCCAATGATGTCAGCTGTTCTCATTAGCATGGCATGAGTCTGAACTTGTCAGCTGATTTGATCCCTTTGGTACATTCAGTTCTCAATTGAAACAGTTTGATGTGGAATCTAAATTAGCTCTTAAGTAAGACCCCCCCCCCCCCCGGGTCTCAATAACTGCCTATTTCGTGGCAGTGCGATTCTGTCATGCTTGTCCATCTTACGGATCCCTCAGTGCACTCCGTCGGTCATCTCCCATGCCGTCTCCGCTGCCAGCTACGTGCCGTCTGTACATTATGAGACCTCTTTTTCCAGTAACAAGATGTACTAATAGGTTTTTACCCTTTTAGCTGGCACAAAAACTGACACCTTTATACAAGGGATCATGTTTGCAATAACCACAACACAAGCAGTCAAAAATGCAAACAAAAAGAGACAACTCTGATAATGATATGCACTGTCCTTGAATTGGATTGGTCCACACCCGAGACGGCTTTTCTTAGAGCCTAGTCTCCACTGGTGTTGGACCAGATGGAAATTATATATGACGCCTGTAGAAAGATTTGAATACAATTAATGATTAAATCTACCTCATAATGCAGATTGCAAAGATACCAAGAGCATCATCATCATCTGTACAGCTGTATGCCTTTTGGCGTCATCTGGTCCAACACCAGTGGAGGCTAGGCTCTAAGAAAAGCCGTCTCGGGTGTGGACCAATCAAATTCAAGGGCAGTGCATATTATTATCAGAGTTGTCTCTTTTTTGTTTGCATTTTTGACTGCTTGTGGTTATTGCAAACATGATCCCTTGTATAAAGGTGTCAGTTTTTGTGCCAGCTAAAAGGGTAAAAACCTATTACTATACGTGCCTTCTGCCCTAGCAATCAGTGTCCTCACGTCGAAACTCCCAGTCAAGCACTGTGCAATGGGAGATTGCTCCTTCTCCACTGCTGCCCCTGTTAGATCGTCATTTTCTTCCCCTGGCTGTTTACACGTTTCGTTTACTTTCCCTGTGAACGTTCTTCATGAAGGATTTGTGTTTCTCTCTTCTATGGCTGTCTCCTCTCAATGACTGTCGTCATACTCGCCTGCACCATACAATTGTCTCCAATACCCCTTTGTCCTGTGGCCGCGAAACATCTCCAAATATAACTTATATATAAAGCATCTTCCAAAGCTCGAACTATGGACACGTTCTCTTATTTTGGACAGGTCTTCACGTGGATTCAGATGTAAATGAATCTTTAGAAATCCAAAGTGTGTGTACTGTAGGCTCTGCAACACGGAGCTTAAATAAACCAAGAGAAGAGTTCCCACTTCATTGACAGCTTAATGTTCTGCTCTATGTAATATGTATTCACTGCTGTGCTACACAAGCTCTCAGGGTCATATCTGAAGTGTGGTGTTTCTATAGTTTCAATTTGATCATCTGCTTTTGCACACTTAAGAACCTCCATGGACTTACCTATCCCCTCTCATCTCACAGCTGTCCTCCGCATGCTCTCCAATCCACAACCACGGACTGATGTAGAAACCCCCAGCCAACCAATGCTTAATGAGAGGTCAATCCTTTATTGTGTTTGCCTCTCTTCTGTTATCTGATAGCTGCCCATTGTTTTGGTAACAGCTGTTCTGAATTTCCCAGCGCTCGTGACCTCATTCTAAAGGTATAGCCTATGCAGCATCCAATGCGCATGCAAATCGGGTAAAGACTGACAGGTGAACGAATGTGTCCCGTCATGTGTCTGTCGATTGAAAGGCATCGAAAGCTGAGCCTACGTTGTGGAATGTGAGAACTGCTACCATAGCATATGCTATAATTGTCTTCAATGCAACTATTCCAGTGTTGCAGCCAAAGTATTTCAGTTTGTAGGGGATACATGAAATAGCATTCCTTTTTTATAATTGAGAGGTTGGTATCCGGCTGGGTTTGTCCCGTAGTTAGATCACTTGGCTCAGAATCCGAAGGTTGCGAATTAAACTCATGATTGGTGGTCGACGATCAGCTCATTCGTCCCTTTCCGGGTCAATACAATGGGTGCCACTTTTTGGGGGAAATAGACAATGGTTTTACTTCTAAGATGCTGGCCTCTGCCGTCCAAATGTAGAATTTCCACTGCTGCTTTAGAGTTGTTATGAAGGGCGAGTACTTGTGGACTCCTGTTTGAGCACTACTTTTTTTGGCGATGATTCGGACATCAAGCTGGCACTGACATTAATTTTGTTGGCTCCTTATTTAAATTAACGTGCAATTGTTTCTCATCTCCCCTTCAGTGAATACAGCGAATATTAAAGAAGATAACACGTTCATAATGTTGCAATTGAGTAGCAGGGATGGAATGATGCCTCGATTAATATAGCAGAGTAATATATAAATATCAAAATTTCTTATTATTTAGCTCACGATTTGGACATACATTTCCACGTGGAAAAGGTCATGGTTTTAGATCCCTGTATGTTTTGTATATTTTATTAAACGGGTTCACATCATGCCTGCAACCATTAGAGTCACCAAAATGTAAAAAAAAATAGTTGATGCTTGAATCGAATCTTATCCCTGAATCACAACAGTGCGTTACATCTGGCGGTGAATTTTTCCACCCCAAATGAATAGGCAAGATTTTGTAACGTAGTTTTGTGCCCATAGTACGTGAATTAATCTATGACATCTGCAGAAAGGGGCCGACTTGACTCAAATAACGCACAATTCCTGGATAAAGTATGACAAGTCTGCAGAAAACCTGAAACAACGGTTTATTCTCTGCTCAGACTGAGTTTGAACTTGTATCAAATCCCAAGAGGCAGTGATTGTACGTTGCCATTTGCCTATGTGACATTCGTGCCCTTGATATTGCTGTAATAAAACAGGCAAAAGGGGTGTCTGTCGCCAAGTCTCTTGTGTCTTGACGATGCATTGCGGCTTCACTGCTCCACTGGATTGCCTCTAAAGCACGACGCCTTCGGGGTTAGCTCTGTACTTCCTCCAGCACCAGTGGCAACTCGGACATGATTGTGTTTTTATTCTATTCAACACGTAGCAGGCTTTCGCTTATAAACTCGCCACCATCCCACAGCCAATTAGTAAGGTTTGTAACGTGAACAGAACGTGGCCAATTCGTTACAGGTACAGCACACCGGTTGTGTGTTGGGAAGAGTAAATCCACAGCATTTTTTCAATTCGAGTACGACGTTTCGCCAGTAATTACAAATAGCATCGTCAGACGACAGCCAGAGTTGTGGAGAAATCCTGGTGGCACGTGCCCCCCCCCCCCCCAATGATCTGATCGAAATCCCTAATTTCGATCGGATCATTGGGGTTTATTAGTAATACATCGGCATTTTGCGACCCCCACTCCACTGTGTAGCATATTATTACGTGCCAGGAACTCTATGAGATGATGGGGCAATAGTCTGAGTCCATAATTGGCAATAAGTAACGGCAAATCAGTTATAAGTGACTCAGAATTGTGCGCAGTTGCGCATATAGAGCACGACTTCCCTGAAGGCATCAACACCTTCAGCGAGCGCGATGCCGATCACACAACACGGTTCGAATTCGACCCTCGATCGATGGCTGCGCCATCGCCGCACACGCGTCGAATAACAAGCAAGGGACAAGTCCTTACTAACAAGTCCTTACTTACTAACAACTCCTTACTAACAACTCCTCTAGCATTTCTCATTGCTGGAGGGGTTGCCCCCCCCCCCTACCTGAAAATCCTGGCTCCGCCATTGAATGTATGCATGTGAATTACAATGGAGGCCCTTTACCGGTTAGGTTATGCATATGGTAATCGACATACATTATGCATCTACATTATACATGCACACCGTGCATGTACATCCTGCCATTTTTGTGTGCAAGAAATCGCAATACTTGTTATTGTCTGCTCAAAGTGAATCACCATCGACGTATGGTGGTGACCTGTATGGGCATGCAGTTAAACGGTGTATTGATAATTCTCTGACAAGCAGCACTAAGCCTGTAGCTATCAGAACGGTTATTGTTATTTCGCTCAATTGCGATAGATTATTTAATTATTCTTGGCCAGTAGTAACGAGTTTTGAACAGAACTTTAACATCAAATCAATTGAGTGTCCTTGTTGACACGCGTGTTCTGCTACTGCTGACAGTTTTTGGGATATTTTTGTTCATCTTTCTTTGGTGTTCTGTTAGTTGACGGTCAAACGGAACGACAGGCTTTTGTAATCTAGTTGACTCAAGCGTTTAGTCACACCTGTCCCCTCTTCTTCTTCCAATACTGAATAGTATCAGGTCAGTCAATTAGGGAACTCTGTAAATCTGTTTATACATTTTTAGAGACAGCACTTTGGTCTTCGTCAGCGCACTGCAATCTCTAACAACGTTACTAAAAACAGCCTAGTCTGCGTCTTCGCCGATGCTCGTTAATTTCATCTCATTCAATCGTGCTTTGATCTCTC